GAAATGCAACTCCCTGCAACGCCACCTCAAAATCCAACTCCCTGCAACGCCACCTCAAAATGCAACTCCCTGCAACGCCACCTCAAAATGCAACTCCCTGCAACGCCACCTCGAAATGCAACTCCCTGCAACGCCACCTCAAAATGCAACTCCCTGCAACGCCACCTCAAAATGCAACTCCCTGCAACGCCACCTCAAAATGCAACTCCCTGCAACGCCACCTCAAAATGCAACTCCCTGCAACGCCACCTCAAAATGCAACTCCCTGCAACGCCACCTCAAAATGCAACTCCCTGCAACGCCACCTCAAAATGCAACTCCCTGCAACGCCACCTCAAAATGCAACTCCCTGCAACGCCACCTCAAAATGCAACTCCCTGCAACGCCACCTCAAAATGCAACTCCCTGCAACGCCACCCACCTCAAAATGCAACTCCCTGCAACGCCACCTCAAAATGCAACTCCCTGCAACGCCACCTCAAAATGCAACTCCCTGCAACGCCACCTCAAAATGCAACTCCCTGCAACGCCACCTCAAAATCCAACTCCCTGCAACGCCACCTCAAAATGCAACTCCCTGCAACGCCACCTCGAAATGCAACTCCCTGCAACGCCACCTCAAAATCCAACTCCCTGCAACGCCACCTCAAAATGCAACTCCCTGCAACGCCACCTCAAAATGCAACTCCCTGCAACGCCACCTCAAAATGCAACTCCCTGCAACGCCACCTCAAAATGCAACTCCCTGCAACGCCACCCTCAAAATGCAACTCCCTGCAACGCCACCTCAAAATGCAACTCCCTGCAACGCCACCTCAAAATGCAAGTCCCTGCAACGCCACTTCAAAATGCAACTCCCTGCAACGCCACCTCAAAATGCAACTCCCTGCAACGCCACCTCAAAATGCAACTCCCTGCAACGCCACCTCAAAATGCAACTCCCTGCAACGCCACCTCAAAATGCAACTCCCTGCAACGCCACCTCAAAATGCAACTCCCTGCAACGCCACCTCAAAATGCAACTCCCTGCAACGCCACCTCAAATGCAACTCCCTGCAACGCCACCTCAAAATGCAACTCCCTGCAACGCCACCTCAAAATGCAACTCCCTGCAACGCCACCTCAAAATGCAACTCCCTGCAACGCCACCTCAAAATGCAACTCCCTGCAACGCCACCTCAAAATGCAACTCCCTGCAACGCCACCTCAAAATGCAACTCCCTGCAACGCCACCTCAAAATGCAACTCCCTGCAACGCCACCTCAAATGCAACTCCCTGCAACGCCACCTCAAAATGCAACTCCCTGCAACGCCACCTCAAAATGCAACTCCCTGCAAAGCCACCTCAAAATGCAACTCCCTGCAACGCCACCTCAAAATCCAACTCCCTGCAACGCCACCTCAAAATGCAACTCCCTGCAACGCCACCTCAAAATGCAACTCCCTGCAACGCCACCTCAAAATGCAACTCCCTGCAACGCCACCTCAAAATGCAACTCCCTGCAACGCCACCTCAAAATGCAACTCCCTGCAACGCCACCTCAAAATGCAACTCCCTGCAACCCACCTCAAAATGCAACTCCCTGCAACGCCACCTCAAAATGCAACTCCCTGCAACGCCACCCTCAAAATGCAACTCCCTGCAACGCCACCCACCTCAAAATGCAACTCCCTGCAACGCCACCTCAAAATGCAACTCCCTGCAACGCCACCTCAAAATGCAACTCCCTGCAACGCCACCTCAAAATGCAACTCCCTGCAACGCCACCTCAAAATCCAACTCCCTGCAACGCCACCTCAAAATGCAACTCCCTGCAACGCCACCTCGAAATGCAACTCCCTGCAACGCCACCTCAAAATCCAACTCCCTGCAACGCCACCTCAAAATGCAACTCCCTGCAACGCCACCTCAAAATGCAACTCCCTGCAACGCCACCTCAAAATGCAACTCCCTGCAACGCCACCTCAAAATCCAACTCCCTGCAACGCCACCTCAAAATGCACTCCCTGCAATGCCACCTCAAAATGCAACTCCCTGCAACGCCACCTCAAAATCCAACTCCCTGCAACGCCACCATCAAAATGCAACTCCCTGCAACGCCACCTCAAAATGCAACTCCCTGCAAACGCCACCAGTCAAAATGCAACTCCCTGCAACGCCACCTCAAAATGCAAGTCCCTGCAACGCCACTTCAAAATGCAACTCCCTGCAACGCCACCTCAAATGCAACTCCCTGCAACGCCACCTCAAAATGCAACTCCCTGCAACGCCACCTCAAATGCAACTCCCTGCAACGCCACCCTCAAATGCAACTCCCTGCAACGCCACCTCAAAAATGCAACTCCCTGCAACGCCACCCTCAAAATGCAACTCCCTGCAACGCCACCTCAAAATGCAACTCCCTGCAACGCCACCTCAAAATGCAACTCCCTGCAACGCCACCTCAAAATGCAACTCCCTGCAACGCCACCTCAAAATGCAACTCCCTGCAACGCCACCTCAAAATGCAACTCCCTGCAACGCCACCTCAAAATGCAACTCCCTGCAACGCCACCTCAAAATGCAACTCCCTGCAACGCCACCTCAAAATGCAACTCCCTGCAACGCCACCTCAAAATGCAACTCCCTGCAACGCCACCTCAAAATGCAACTCCCTGCAACGCCACCTCAAAATGCAACTCCCTGCAACGCCACCTCAAAATGCAACTCCCTGCAACGCCACCTCAAAATGCAACTCCCTGCAACGCCACCTCAAAATGCAACTCCCTGCAACGCCACCTCAAAATGCAACTCCTGCAACGCCACCTCAAAATGCAACTCCCTGCAACGCCACCTCAAAATGCAACTCCCTGCAACGCCACCTCAAAATGCAACTCCCTGCAACGCCACCTCAAAATGCAACTCCCTGCAACGCCACCTCAAAATGCAACTCCCTGCAACGCCACCTCAAAATGCAACTCCCTGCAACGCCACCTCAAAATGCAACTCCCTGCAACGCCACCTCAAAATGCAACTCCCTGCAACGCCACCTCAAAATGCAACTCCCTGCAACGCCACCTCAAAATGCAACTCCCTGCAACGCCACCTCAAAATGCAACTCCCTGCAACGCCACCTCAAAATGCAACTCCCTGCAACGCCACCTCAAAATGCAACTCCCTGCAACGCCACCTCAAAATGCAACTCCCTGCAACGCCACCTCAAAATGCAACTCCCTGCAACGCCACCTCAAAATGCAACTCCCTGCAACGCCACCTCAAAATGCAACTCCCTGCAACGCCACCTCAAAATGCAACTCCCTGCAACGCCACCTCAAAATGCAACTCCCTGCAACGCCACCTCAAAATGCAACTCCCTGCAACGCCACCTCAAAATGCAACTCCCTGCAACGCCACCTCAAAATGCAACTCCCTGCAACGCCACCTCAAAATGCAACTCCCTGCAACGCCACCTCAAAATGCAACTCCCTGCAACGCCACCTCAAAATGCAACTCCCTGCAACGCCACCTCAAAATGCAACTCCCTGCAACGCCACCTCAAAATGCAACTCCCTGCAACGCCACCTCAAAATGCAACTCCCTGCAACGCCACCTCAAAATGCAACTCCCTGCAAAGCCACCTCAAAATGCAACTCCCTGCAACGCCACCTCAAAATCCAACTCCCTGCAACGCCACCTCAAAATGCAACTCCCTGCAACGCCACCTCAAAATGCAACTCCCTGCAACGCCACCTCAAAATGCAACTCCCTGCAACGCCACCTCAAAATGCAACTCCCTGCAACGCCACCTCAAAATCCAACTCCCTGCAACGCCAACTCAAAATGCAACTCCCTGCAACGCCACCTCGAAATGCAACTCCCTGCAACGCCACCTCAAAATCCAACTCCCTGCAACGCCACCTCAAAATGCAACTCCCTGCAACGCCACCTCAAAATGCAACTCCCTGCAACGCCACCTCAAAATGCAACTCCCTGCAACGCCACCTCAAAATGCAACTCCCTGCAACGCCACCTCAAAATGCAACTCCCTGCAACGCCACCTCAAAATGCAACTCCCTGCAACGCCACCTCAAAATGCAACTCCCTGCAACGCCACCTCAAAATGCAACTCCCTGCAACGCCACCTCAAAATGCAACTCCCTGCAACGCCACCTCAAAATGCAACTCCCTGCAACGCCACCTCAAAATGCAACTCCCTGCAACGCCACCTCAAAATGCAACTCCCTGCAACGCCACCTCAAAATGCAACTCCCTGCAACGCCACCTCAAAATGCAACTCCCTGCAACGCCACCTCAAAATGCAACTCCCTGCAACGCCACCTCAAAATGCAACTCCCTGCAACGCCACCTCAAAATGCAACTCCCTGCAACGCCACCTCAAAATGCAACTCCCTGCAACGCCACCTCAAAATGCAACTCCCTGCAACGCCACCTCAAAATGCAACTCCCTGCAACGCCACCTCAAAATGCAACTCCCTGCAACGCCACCTCAAAATCCAACTCCCTGCAACGCCACCTCAAAATGCAACTCCCTGCAACGCACCTCAAAATGCAACTCCCTGCAACGCCACCTCAAAATGCAACTCCCTGCAACGCCACCTCAAAATGCAACTCCCTGCAACGCCACCTCAAAATGCAACTCCCTGCAACACCACCTCAAAATGCAACTCCCTGCAACGCCACCTCGAAATGCAACTCCCTGCAACGCCACCTCAAAATGCAACTCCCTGCAACGCCACCTCAAAATGCAACTCCCTGCAACGCCACCTCAAAATGCAACTCCCTGCAACGCCACCTCAAAATGCAACTCCCTGCAACGCCACCTCAAAATGCAACTCCCTGCAACGCCACCTCAAAATGCAACTCCCTGCAACGCCACCTCAAAATGCAACTCCCTGCAACGCCACCTCAAAATGCAACTCCCTGCAACGCCACCTCAAAATGCAACTCCCTGCAACGCCACCTCAAAATGCAATTCCCTGCAACGCCACCTCAGAGTGTCTCATGCATACCAGCCCCACACCCTCCAGACCCCCAGTTCTAACTTTATTCTCACCATGACGCCCTCCAGCCCTCCAATGTCGTTCCACAAGACAGCAGGCAGCTCAGCCGCCACGCCACGAGTCACAGACAGGCTTACACGAGAGAGCACAGCTGTCTGCGGCACATACAGCAGTTTCCCCTTAACATACGCTCTCACCTTCACGCCCTCTAAGCCTCCAATGTCGTTCCACGTGATGGCAGGCAGCTCAGCGGCCACGCCGCGAGTCACAGAAGGCCCCACACGAGAAAGCGCCGCTTCAAAGTGCCTCATGCATACCAGCCCACGCTGATTGGTGCGTGTGGGTTTTAAGTTGCTGCATGCAGTGCTGGCATCTGTATCAGTGGCAGTAGCAGTGGGGGTAGCAGCAGTACTAGTAGCAGTATCAGTATCAGTTTGAGTAGCAGTAGCAGTGCTGGTATCGGTCGTGCTGTTTGCTTTGATTGCACTGCTGCCAACGTCATTCGTTCTGCTGGTCATGCAGCTGCTGCTGATGGTGGTGGCGGTGCTGCTGCTTTCCTTTGCATGGGCGCTGTTGCCATCCAGCCTCTCTACACCAGAAACCACCTCCCCTTCTCCAGATAACGCCTCCCTTCTTCCAAATAACACCTCCCCTACTCCAGGAACACTCTCCTCTTCCCCAGCAGCCATCTCCATGAGGGCAGCAAGAGCCGCCTCCTTTTTCCCCAAAACCGCCTCCCCTTCTCCTACCACCGCCCCTCCTCCCCCAGAAAACGCCTCCCCTCCCCTCTCCTCCTCCCCAGCAGCCATCTCCATGACGGCAGCAAGGGCAGCCTCGCGACACACCGCTGCCAGGTCAGCGCCCACGTAGCCCTTGCAACGCGCCGCCAGTTGCCGCATGTCCACGTCAGCATGCAGAGGGAGGGAGCGCGCATGCAGCTGGGGGAGAGGCGGGAGGAGGGAGACAGAGAAGACAAGTGAGCAGCAGAGATTGTTTTGAAAATTCTCAAGGGAGACCGGGAGAAAGCAATAATAAGATGGCTGGATTTCCCTTCATGATTTTTACTCACCTTCAGTATCGCCTCTCTCTCCCTCGTGCCTGGTACGTTGATTGCAATCTCGCGGTCGAATCTTCCCGGCCGGCGTAGCGCGGTATCTAGTGCGTTGGGGCTGCCATTGGAAGGGAAGGGGTTTAAGGTGCGGAGGGTGGATCAGGAAGAAAGGAGGGCTGGGTGAGGAGTGGGAGGTAGAGGAAAGGAATCGGCATAGCAGGAAGGTATGAGAAGTACTCACTTGAAACAGGGCTGTTTTGTTGCAGGGAAGAGGAACGGAGGCAGTGATATGTGGAGGTGGGACGAGGTCGGAATAGGTGGGAAAGGTTTCCCTTACCGATTGGTGGCAGCGATGGCAACAAGTGGTCGGGAAGGGTGGGAAGCGGTGGATTGGGAGGAGGAGGATTGGAGAGGGGAGGAGGAGGGGAGTGAGGAAGTGGAAATGCCGTCCATGAGAGTGAGAAGCTGAGACACTATTCTTGTCTCGTTCTGCCGCCTGCTCACACACAATCAGAGCCACAAGATCAGAGCCACACACTCAGAGCCACACAATCAGAGCCACAAACTCGAGAGTCAGAAGAATAGGGAATGCTGTTCAAGGGGGCACACCACGACCACGTGCTTGTTCACATAACCTCACTTAAAGCCCGTTTGGGTTCTTTCAGTGACCCATAAGTCTTGTTTACATAGCCTGGAGTCTCGTTTGGGGCACAGCACATCAATCTTGATCTTGTCGATAAAAACAAACGAGGGCCGCACATTTGACTGTAGAGTAGAGTTGACCCGTAAGTCGCTCCTATGCTGGCTGGCTCATAAGCCACACACTGTGTGCAGCAAGCTACCAGGAGTTTCTTCCCACTCCCTTGTGCGGTAAGCCACCTACCTGGAGTGTCGTTTGGGGCACAGCACGCACGTCAATCGCATCCATGAACACAATGGACGGCCGCACATCCGCAAACCCCTCTGAACCACCTCCCACACCTCCCTCTGTAACTACCTTGTGAGCTACCTACCTGGAGTGTCGTTTGGGGCACAGCACGCACGTCAATCGCGTCAATGAAAACCAATCGACAGCCGCATATCCGCCCCTCCTTCTGAACCCCTTTTAAAGCACGCCTGTTATAGGCCACACACTTTCTTGGGAGTAAGCCACCAACCTGGAGTCTCGCTTGGGGCACAGAACATCGATCTCGTCAATGAACACAATCGACGGCCGCACACCTGCAAACCCCTCTGAACTACCTCCCAACACCTCCCTCTGTAACCACCTTGTGAGCCACCTACCTGGAGTCTCGCTTGGGGCACAACACGTCAATCTCGTCAATGAAAACAATCGACGGACGCAAATCCGCGCCTCCCTCTGACCCTCCCTCAGTAACTCCCTCCCCCAGTCCCCCCTCCCCATCCTTCCCGCCCCTGGCGGCATCAAAGACATCTCTCAGGCGCCTCTCGCTCTCCCCTGCGTATGCTCCGAAGATGGACGACGACCTGCATGCATGCAAAAGAGAGGGTGACGGGCAGCGAGGGTTGGAAAAGGTTGTTCCGAGGTGCCTTGAACAACCTATCGCTCTCCCCTGCGTATGCTCCGAAGATGGATGGCGACCTGATGCAATGCGGTGGTGTGGGGCAGGAAGGGAAGGGACTAGTATTAGTGCATGCCTCGAGCATGGCTCTCGCGCTCCCCTCCTGCGTATGCTCCGAAGATGGATGATGATCTGATGCAATGCGGTGGTGTGGGGCAGAAAGGGTGCAGCAAGGGAAGGGAAGGGACTAGTATAAGTGCCTGCCTAGAGCAGGGCTCTCGCTCACTGTTTAGAGCAGGGCTCTCGCTCACTGTTTAGAGCAGGGTTCTCGCTCACTTCTCTAAAGTGATTCCAACATAAGGACGAGTTTTGAGTCGACTCAAAACTCTTCTCAAACGAGATTTCAACATTGGGACTAGTATAAGTGCTTCAAGCATGGCTCTTGCTCACCCCTCCTGCGTATGCTCCGAAGATGGATGTTGATCTGATGCATGGAGGGTGGTTGGGGCAGAGAGGGTGTAAGGCAGATGTTTTTCATCCTCCATACACTATGAGCAGAGGGTGTTTTTCATGCACTTTGGGCCACACACGAAGACAGGTGTCTACTTAAAGTGCCTCAGGCGCCTCTTGCTCTCCCCCGTGTATGCCCCAAAGATGGGTGACGACCTGACCTCATGCATGCAACGCAAGAGTGGCGAAGAGAGGATGGCAGGGTTGTTGCGGGGCGGTGTGCATGGCAGGGTGGTTGCAGGGCGGTGTGCTCACTCACGTGACGGTGAAGAGCCGTGCGTTGCACTCCCGAGCTATCTCCCTCACCATTAGCGTCTGCCATGCCATGCCATGCACACACGGGATGGGATGGGATAGGATGGCATGGGATGGGATGATATGACATGGTTTGAAGAGTCCAGATGCAACCTAGGATTCAAGGGAACGAAGTTTATAACCTATCATCTCACACACTCACCTCGCAGAAAAAAGCGACTCCCAACGCCTGTCTCAGACCGGCACTCGCTCCGCCAGTGTCTCACACACTCACCTTGCCTGCGAGGTGACTTTTAGTCGACTCAAAAGTCGTTTCACGCGCTCACCTTGCCTGTGCCTGGCGGACCATACAGCAGCACACCTGATGGCCACTGCACAGGGAATGTGGGTGGGGAGAAAGAGGGGTTGGAGAGGGAGTAATTTCAAGGCGCATCAAAGAAAGGAAGGGGCCGGAGTGGGAGGGCCGTACAGCAGCACACCTGACGGCCACTGCACATGGAATGTGGGTGGGGAGGAAGGGAAGGTGTGTGGAGTGGGTCTGTTTTTGAGACGCCACAAAGAAAGGGAGAGGGTGTATTGGGATGGCCATACAGCAGCAGCACACCAGATGCTGCAAAAGGAACGCGTGTGAGGGGGAAAGTAAAGGGAGAGTGTGGAGTCGGATATTCTTGAGACGACACAAAGAAAAGGAGTGGGTCGATTGGGATGGCCGTACAACAGCAGCACACCTGACGGCTGCTGGGGAAAGCGCAGCAGCAGGGAAAGCACGTGGGAGGAAAGGGAGGAGGCAGAGTGAGTCTGGCTGTGAGGCGCCATACAGAATGGGGGAGCGGAAGGGGGAGGGGGGAAAAGGGAAGGGGAGAAAGGGGGAGAAGGGAAGGGGAAAGTGGAGGAGATGGGCCAGTGTTGGGAGGGGGGTAGGGGAGGGTGAGTGTGGGGCTTCCATGAGGGGAGCTTTCCCCTCATGGAAGGGAAGGGAGCTGAAGGTGGAGTCAGTGGAAGCCGCACACTCACCCTCCCCTCAGGGGAGGGGGGTGTGGGGCCAGTGTTTGGAGGGGGTTAGGGGAGGGTGAGTGTGAGGCTTCCACTGGCGCTTCCATGAGAGTAGGGAAGGGAGCTGAAGGTGGAGGGGAGGGGGGGAAGGAGTCGAGGGAAAATGACGTCCTGCAGACCGAGTGAACACAAGGAATGACCTCAGAGGTCTCGGGTTCAGGGTTTAACCCCTCAAGGTCCATACTTGCACGCTTTTACAGGGTGTAGGGTTCTTAATCACACGCACCTTCAGGCCTAGCGCGGCGGCCTCCTTCGCGTACTTAATCGGCCACACTACCACTTCCCGCAGCGCCTGCATGCTCTCGTCCATCCCCGCCAGCTGCGCCGCATTCCCCGCCGCCTCTCCCGCCGTCAAACCCGCCGCGCATTGCCAAGTGCCGCCGCCAGCGCTGGCGGCGCCATCGGCAGCAGCAGGCGGAGGAGCGAGCATTGCGAAGGGACGCGACGCGGGCCTGGGAGCGCGGCACGAGAGTACAGACTTGATGTGGCCCGGCAGAAAAAGATCGGTGGAGATAGAGAGAGTGTTGAGGAAATACAAGTTGGCGGTTCGAACCTCTCGATTTCGCTACTAATGCCCCCGCATTCGGCGCGTATTCTGAGAAGCAGAAGGCAGGGGACGCGATGCGTGTGAGGCCACGCGAGGGAGGGCGGCACAAGCGGGGCGAGAGGTGGAAATGTGATCTTTTCAAGACGTGTGGTGTGGAGAGGGACGGACAGTCGGAGGCTGGTTTGTTTATCTCCGCGTGGGTCACGCAACGGGTTCGTGGATTCAACTCGGAATTCAACAATGCGCGTCACTGAATTAGTGTGACCTGTAGGGATGTTGCTGGTGGGACTGGGGGAATGTGCCAAAAACAGGAGAGGCGGATTAAGAGACATGAAAGACAGAACGCAAAATGGTATTGGAGAAGTGGGGTATCGATCCCCATACCTCTCGCATGCTAAGCGAGCGCTCTACCATCTGAGCTACATCCCCATGGCAAATATCCCTTTTCAATTTATTACCATTAAATTTTTCTTGAAAACTCTAATTTCCCCTACCTGTTTTCTAGTGATCATCATCACCCTTCGCCGCTCCGCCTCACATGCGCTTCCGCATACCCCTGCGCATGGCGCTGCTTTCCAGCTCACCCTCCCCCTCCCTCTCCGCGCTCCTCTCCTCCCGCCCCTTCTCCGCCCTCTCCCCCCTCGCTAGCGCCTCTTCCGCCTTCCTCTCCCCCAACCCCCTCCCCATTCCCGCAGTTTACGCGCCTTCCGCCCAACGGGACCTCGATCTCCGCCTACCCGGCTTCCCCGCGCCACCCGCGCTTCCGCTGAAACAATCCCCCCATGTTCCGCGCCTTCCGCCGTTGCTGGGGGACCCGTTCCCGGGTTGCGGATCAGGGGAGATTCGAGAAATCGCGGTTCCGGGGATAATTATTCCCGCAAGGGGCTTCCCCCTCCCGCTTTCCGCGCCCGCGCATCCCGCGCTTGCGCCTAAGATATGGGCGGGGGGAGGTCCGCGGACGTTCCCCGGCGGAGTGACGAAATGGCAGTGGAAGCGCATGCAGGAGAAAAAGCGGCGCGCGCGCGAGCGCGCGCAACTGATCCGCGAGCAAGAGGCGTTCGAGGCGAAGCGGCGCGAGCAGCTCCGCATCTTGCGCGGCCCGGAGCGCCCCTGGGGGGACGACGCCGACCACGGATGGGGGAAACCCCCGCGGGAAGGGCGGCTGCCGCCGGCTTTTCCGCCTCGATCCGCGGGGCCGCCGCTTCCGTGGGAAAAGCCGCGCGGGGGAGATGGCGCTGCGCGCCGATGGGGTGAGGAGGAGGGGGGCGGGGGACTTTGGAAGGGGTTGGGGGAGGAGGAGGGGACGGGGGGAATGATAGTCCCGTGGGAGAGGCAAGGGGGAAAGGCGGGAGAGGGAGCGGGTTGGGGGCGCGCGCGGGAGGAGCAACCAGGGGGGAGTGATTGGCGGAACCAGGGGGGCATGGCGGAAGCGCTGGTTGGAAAGGGGGAGGGGGGACCAGTCCGCTGGGAGCGGCTTCCGCAGGTGCCATTGGCGGAGCGGAGAAGGCAGGCAAAGGGGGAGCGCGCGTGGGGGGTAGATGGCGCTGGGGGGGAGCAGCGCACTTGGGGGGAGGAGCGCCAGCGGGAGGACCAGCGCAATAGGGGGGAGCAGCGGGAGCGCATTGCGCCAATGGCGGGGGAGGATGTGCGCCCGTGGCAGCGGGAGGGGGAGGGGGAGATGGGCGAGGGGGAGTGGAGGATACGCCAACAATGGCGGAGAGGGGAGGAGGGGAGAATGCGCCAACAGGAACGAGGGGAGGAAGGGGGGCGCGTGTGGTGGGAGGAGGATGCGGAGGTTGGGGCGGAGGGGGGAATGCGCCCTCGGGGAAGGGTGGAGAGGGGGAGAGGGCAAGGGGGAACAGCAAGGGGCGGTAGTGAAGGGGTTAGAGGGGGAAGGATGAAGCAAGAGGAGACACTGGAGGGATTGACAGTGGAAGGGAGGGAGGAAGAGGGAGAGGAAGGGGAAGAAGGCTGGATGTGGTGGGAAGAAGGGGGGCTATATCGGCGAGGTAGGGGAGGAGGGAGGGAAGGCGGAGGGGGGGGGAGGCGGAGGGAGGGACGAAGGAGAGCGGAGAGAAGGTGGGAAGGGCGGAAATGGGATGGGAGCAGGGAGGGCAGGAGGTAGAGGAGGAGAAGGAGAAGGAAAGGCGTCTTATGAAGCGCGCCAAACCAGGCAGGGACAGGCACGAGCAGCATTCCCTGAAGCAGAAGCAGAGGCGGGAAGGGGGGGGGCGGGGGAGGGAAGGCGCATGGGGAGTGGGCGGAGGACGAGGGGGAGGAGGGGCCGGAGGGGGAGGGGGAGGAAGGGGAGGGAGAGGCGGGGGAGGAGGGCAGAGGTTAGCATATCAAGGATCAAACCGGACGAGCAGGGGAGGAGGGCAGAGGTTAGCATATCAAGGATCAAACCGGACGAGCAGGGGAGGAGGGAGGGGAGCATCATTGGTGCTGCCTGCGGTACCGGAGGAGGTGATTGGTCGACACGTGAAGCTCAAACACGTGGAGGATCTGTGGAACGAGGATGACGGCCCGCTGGAGAGAGAATCAGGGCCTGCTTATAACGAGTATGGGACTCCGCCTGGTGCTGGTGCTGCTGCTGCTGCGGATGGTGATTTGAGTGTTGGCCAAAACCACTCAAAGGAGGAGGAGGAAGAGGAGGAGGAAGAGGAGGAGGAGGAGGACAGGAGGGCTGTTTCGCGGATCCCATGGTTGGCTTATGCTGCTGCTGACAATGATGGGGATGATGGGGATGATGGGGATGATGGGTATGGCAGTAGTGGTGGCAGCCACACCGCCAGGATTAGGAATGGCAGCGGTGGCAGCAGCGACAGAAGCAGCAGTGGCCGCGGCGGCAATAGCAGCAGGGGACGTGCATGGAGGAGGAGAGATGTGTCGGCATCTGCTGTTGCCACTGGTGTAACCATGCGCGGACACATGCCCATGAGCATGCCCACGCCCATACGCATGGTTATGGGTATTGCCATGCCCATGCCCATGCCCATGCCCATCAGCATGTCTCTGCCCATGCACATGCCCATGGGTATGCCTACTGCTACCAGCATCGTTGCTGCCTCTGCTGCCGCAAGCTGCCGGCGCTTTACCTCCGCTGCAGTTGGTGCTGCTGCTGCTGCTGAGGGTGCTGCTGCTGAGGGTGCTGCCACTAGAGCTCGTGATGACTCCGTTTGGGGCAGCAGAGAACACAACGCCAGCATTCCCAAGGGTGACAGCAGTGATGCTGACAACACCGAGCGTGATAATACCGGTGATGGATGCGAGAACAACAGAAGCGGCTCAGTGGGAGTGGAACCAGGCACTTTCGCCGCCTTACCTCTCTCCCAGGCCTTGCTTTCAGCCGTCAGCAGCAGTATGGGCTTTAAGCGATGCACTCCCTTGCAAGCTGCTGTCATGCCACACATACTCGCAGGTATGTTGGTACCATTGCCATTGTCATTGCAATTCTCGTTCTCCCTTGCAAAATTGCGGTTTTCCTTCGTGTCCTTTTGAGAATTCCTCCCCTCGTCCGCCTTGCTGTGTCTCCTTCATTTTTATTCCCCTCTTCTCTCAACATGCATGTCCCTCCCTTCCTCTCCCTCCCTTCCTCTCCCTCCCTTCCTCTCCCTCCCTTCCTCTCCCTCCCTTCCTCTCCCTCCCTTCCTCTCCCTCCCTTCCTCTCCCTCCCTTCCTCTCCCTCCCTTCCTCTCCCTCCCTTCCTCTCCCTCCCTTCCTCTCCCTCCCTTCCTCTCCCTCCCTTCCTCTCCCTCCCTTCCTCTCCCTCCCTTCCTCTCCCTCCCTTCCTCTCCCTCCCTTCCTCTCCCTCCCTTCCTCTCCCTCCCTTCCTCTCCCTCCCTTCCTCTCCTCCCTTCCTCTCCCTCCCTTCCTCTCCCTCCCTTCCTCTCCCTCCCTTCCTCTCCCTCCCTTCCTCTCCCTCCCTTCCTCTCCCTCCCTTCCTCTCCCTCCCTTCCTCTCCCTCCCTTCCTCTCCCTCCCTTCCTCTCCCTCCCTTCCTCTCCCTCCCTTCCTCTCCCTCCCTTCCTCTCCTCTCCCTTCCTCTCCCTCCCTTCCTCTCCCTCCCTTCCTCTCCCTCCCTTCCTCTCCCTCCCTTCCTCTCCCTCCCTTCCTCTCCCTCCCTTCCTCTCCCTCCCTTCCTCTCCCTCCCTTCCTCTCCCTCCCTTCCTCTCCCTCCTTCCTCTCCCTCCCTTCCTCTCCCTCCCTTCCTCTCCCTCCCTTCCTCTCCCTCCCTTCCTCTCCCTCCCTTCCTCTCCCTCCCTTCCTCTCCCTCCCTTCCTCTCCCTCCCTTCCTCTCCCTCCCTTCCTCTCCCTCCCTTCCTCTCCCTCCCTTCTCCCTCCTTCCTCTCCCTCCCTTCCTCTCCCTCCCTTCCTCTCCCTCCCTTCCTCTCCCTCCCTTCCTCTCCCTCCCTTCCTCTCCCTCCCTTCCTCTCCCTCCCTTCCTCTCCCTCCCTTCCTCTCCCTCCCTTCCTCTCCCTCCCTTCCTCTCCCTCCCTTCCTCTCCCTCCCTTCCTCTCCCTCCCTTCCTCTCCCTCCCTTCCTCTCCCTCCCTTCCTCTCCCTCCCTTCCTCCCTTCCTCTCCCTCCCTTCCTCTCCCTCCCTTCCTCTCCCTCCCTTCCTCTCCTCCCTTCCTCTCCTCCCTTCCTCTCCCTCCCTTCCTCTCCCTCCCTTCCTCTCCCTCCCTTCCTCTCCCTCCCTTCCTCTCCCTCCCTTCCTCTCCCTCCCTTCCTCTCCCTCCCTTCCTCTCCCTCCCTTCCTCTCCCTCCCTTCCTCTCCCTCCCTTCCTCTCCCTCCCTTCCTCTCCCTCCCTTCCTCTCCCTCCCTTCCTCTCCCTCCCTTCCTCTCCCTCCCTTCCTCTCCCTCCCTTCCTCTCCCTCCCTTCCTCTCCCTCCCTTCCTCTCCCTCCCTTCCTCTCCCTCCCTTCCTCTCCCTCCCTTCCTCTCCCTCCCTTCCTCTCCCTCCCTTCCTCTCCCTCCCTTCCTCTCCCTCCCTTCCTCTCCCTCCCTTCCTCTCCCTCCCTTCCTCTTTCTTGTGCCAGGAGCTGATCTCTTGGTCAAGACCAGTCCTGGCAGAGGGAAGACCGTGGCTTTTATGGTAAGCCCACATGCTATAATAAATCTGTATATATTATAACGAGGCTAGAGAGATTGTTGTGCAGCTAGAGATATGCAGGGTGTTTTTTGAGAATTCTCAATAAAAACGAGGCTAGAGGAATTGTTGTGCACAGCTAGAGATATGGCAGTGAGGCTACCAATGTCATAGTGTGTGCAGACACAGGGAAGACCATGGCTTATATGGTGAGCTAACATCCTATATTGAATTTGCATATGATATAGTGATTCGATTTATGCAAGAGTGGGGTCCTGACCTCCCACTGGACTGGCCGAGCGAGAACAGCATCTGGTTGGTTTTGGTGGTGTGCGCTCCCACCAGTGGAGGTGCTGCTGGTGTGCTGTGCGCTAACAGAGAGCGAGCTGAGAGGGACCTGGAGGAGACCCGGCGATCCTTTGTTGCCAATGGCCCTATATCCCATGTTCTCCTGTTGTTGCCAATGGCCCTATATCCCATGTTCTCCTGTTGTTGCCAATGGCCCTATATCCCATGTTCTCCTGTTGTTGCCAATGGCCCTATATCCCATGTTCTCCTGTTGTTGCCAATGGCCCTATATCCCATGTTCTCCTGTTGTTGCCAATGGCCCTATATCCCATGTTCTCCTGTTGTTGCCAATGGCCCTATATCCCAATGTTCTCCTGTTGTTTCCCGCACTACTCCGCAGATCCCCTGTCTAGACAGGCTCATTTCCAACCACTCCGACTCTCCCACTCGGCTGCTTGCTGGTGCCGGTACCCCAGTGAAAGTGCTGCTGGTGAGAGCAAGCCGAGAGAGTTGACTTTTGAGTCGACTCAAAAGCCAGTGAAAGTGCTGCTGGTGAGAGCAAGCCGAGAGAGTTGACTTTTGAGTCGACTCAAAAGCCAGTGAAAGTGCTGCTGGTGAGAGCAAGCCGAGAGAGTTGACTTTTGAGTCGACTCAAAAGCCAGTGAAAGTGCTGCTGGTGAGAGCAAGCCGAGAGAGCTCCGGGACAGGCTCAGCGTGTGTTCTTCTGTTTCTCCCCCTCCCACTGCCCTGCAGATTCCCTGCCTTTACAGGCTCGTTACAGACTTCTTCGACTCTCCCGCTCGGCCGCTTGCTGGTGCTGGTACCCCAGTGGAGGTGCTGCTGGTGTGCGCTAACAGAGAGAGGGCTGAGAGGGCTCTGGGGCAGGCGCAGCAGCTGATGCAGCTGCTTCAGACGCCGCAGCCACAACAGGTGCAGGGGACTCCGCGAGGGCAGGAAGGAATCGGGGAACTGGGAAGAAAGGAAGCAGCAAGAGGAGGATTAGGGGACAGGAGGAGAGGAGGAGGAGTTAGGGGGAGGCGTGCTGACCGAATGAAGGGCGTCAGGCAGGGGGGGGAGTCGGGAGTGGGGCCACAGGGAGTGGGGCGGCAAGTAGTGGGGGTGCAGATGGTGGTTGGAGGGTTGAGTATGGACGGTGAGGGGAGGCGGTTGCAGCAGGCGCCGTGTCAAGTGCTGGTGGCGACTCCTGCTCGGCTGTTGGAGCACCTGCAGCAGACCCAGGGCATGCGGAACCGAGTGCAGCAGGTGAAGGTGAGTGCAGCAGGCGAAGATGTAGAGCACGTGTAGGTCTGGTAGGGAGAAAGCAAGTGGGTGCATGCGCAGATGGAGCAACTGCAGCGCCAGTAGCACCACCAGCTGCCTTGCAGCAGACTCAGGGCATGCGGAACCGAGTGCAGCAGCTGCAGGTGAGTGGTAGGAGGTGAAGGTGACTGGTAGGAGCTTAAGGTGAATGCAGAGAGCAAAGGTGAGAACAGCAGGCACTGTGTGTGTGAGCACTGTGTGTGTGAGCACTGTGTGTGTGAGCACTTGCTCAGCTGGTGGCAACTCCTGCTCAGCTGTTAGAGCACTTGCAGCAGACTTAGGGCATGCGGAACAGAATGCAGCCGCTGAAGGTGAGGAGGTATGCAGTAGAGGAGGGGAAGGTGTGTTCGAGGACTTAGAGGGCGAGGACTTAGAGGGCGAGGACTTAGAGGGCGAGGACTTAGAGGGCGAGGACTTAGAGGGCGAGGACTTAGAGGGCGAGGACTTAGAGGGCGAGGACTTAGAGGGCGAGGACTTAGAGGGCGAGGACTTAGAGGGCGAGGACTTAGAGGGCGAGGACTTAGAGGGCGAGGACTTAGAGGGCGAGGACTTGCAGGACTACCCATGACATACCGTGTGAGCAGGTGTGCTTGTATCAGACATATCACATTGCCGCCTACCTACCTACCCATCACATACGAACAGGTGCTTGTATTGAAGGAGGACATAGAATAGACTGCATGGTGGTCGTGGGGGGTGCACATCACATACCGTGCGTCCTACCTATCAATCACATACCGTGCGTCCTACCTATCAATCACATACCGTGCGTCCTACCTATCAATCACATACTGTGGGTGTGTGCTGTGCAGGCTGTGGGTGTGTGCTGTGCAGGCTGTGGGTGTGTGCTGTGCAGGCTGTGGGTGTGTGCTGTGCAGGCTGTAGTGTGTGCTGTGCAGGTGCTTGTATTAGAGGACTTCACTCGCACCATACACGCCATCCTTCCGCTCCTTGTTGCACGACTTGTGCTCTCATTCTCACATTGCTTCTCACCTTCCGTCACACACCATGCGTGCAGGTGCTTGCATTGGAGGACCTAGACCGCATGGTGGACATGGGGTTCACTCGCACCATACACACCATCGTTACGCTCCTCCCACCCACACGCCAAACACTACTCTTCTCAAACACTCTCTCCAATGAGGTACAGTACCCTGCATTCTCCCTTGTGCCTTTCGAAGCTTCCCTCCCTACACGACCAACTTTTGCTCTTCTCAAATGCCCTCTCCGATGAGGTACCCTGACCTACATTCTCCTTATTTGATTTCCTCTGCCCGACCAATCTCCCCTGCCCTCTGTTCTTCCAAACTGACAGTGCCGAAGTCTCCCTGCCCTTTGATTCACTCGGCTCTGTTTTGTAAGCAGGTGAAGGATCTTTCACAGCTTATGCTCAAGGCTGATTATGTATCGCTTGATGTGGAGAGTGCTTGACTGGGGGAGTACCGGTAATAAGCGTCACTGCAAACATCACTCATTATTGGGTACATTTTTAAACGTAGCTTTTGTCATTATTCTTTATGGTTAAAAAAACAGAGAGAGTTGGAGTTGCCATTTCAAGGTTGTGTCCGTAGCTCTCATAGCTGTAATGCCTTGTACTGTTTACGATTGATTGTTTTCTCATGTACCTGGGTCCGGTACTTCTGCTCATGCTTTGTTTTTCACATCCCTCAAACAGTCACCCCAAGATTTATTAATATTGTTTCCATTTTGACCTGCCTGCACCAACTACAACGAACTAGTTAACTGGAACCATCTCTCAGTCGGCATGGCTCAGCTCAGCAGCACAGCTGGTCAAGGGTCACATGCAGAAGAATACATCCCCACAACCCAGCCAGACCACGCAACCATTCACATTTACCAAACCCGCCATTCTGCCATGCACCTACAACCCCCCTACACATCACAATTATAAGTTGTGTGACTCTGATACAGTAATACTACGGTACTAGAGTACCAGCACTTCTACAGTCTACATGCATGCATCCACTAAACAGAACAGCAAAGAAACCAGATTAAAAGGATCCATGCTGATCCTCTAGGCTTCAGGTCAGTCTTCTCTTCATCAGCCTGAATTTACTCCTCCACTGCGCCCCCCCCCTCCTCCCCCTCCACCCCCCCCGCTCTCCCCTGCACATCCCCACCGATGTGCTCACATCCCAATCTCTCAAACCAGCTCTCCCCTGAAACAAACACAACTCCCCAGACCACAGCTGCTACCTTCTGGCGCTAATGCAAGCACATGCACTGGCAGAGCCAAAGGAAAGCAAGCAGCTGAGGGAGGAGCACAGAACACTGTGGGTGGCCTGCTTTGATGACACAGTGCAGCTTTGCAGTTAGCAGCTTCGCAGTTTGCACCTGTGGTTCCAGCAAGCCTGAGGCCACCCATACAGACGTGCTCTGTCGTCGCTCTTTGCTGCTTCTCTTGACTGCTAACAACCAAAAGCCCGGCTCCCCACCACAAGCAGCATCACACTCTACATTTCTGCTTCCACTGCAGCCATCACCGCCAGTCCTCTACAGCTTCACAGAGCAGATCGCGTCTCACTGCTAGCCTTTCAAGGTGAGGCGCGCATAAATACCCCGCAGTCCGCCCTGCCTGTCCAACCCCAGCGTCCTTGAACCTTCCGACTTTAAGGCTCAAGGATCCCAGCTTGAGTCACCACAGCCATAGCAGTCTACTGCTCCAGGCGCCCGCAGCAACCTTTAGAGCAACCACCGTCTTGACTCAAGAACCATGTCCCTCATCTGTATCCCCCTCACCCCGCACCCTTCTTCCTCCATTCCTCTTTCTCCACTCCTCCCCCACTTCCTTCTCAAGTCACCAAATCTCGCCACCTTACTCCTCACGTTTACCCCCAACGCTGGCGGCCGCAGCAGCGGACTGTTCCTGAGCCGCAGCAACCCACGAGCGGAGCACGCCCTCTTCCTGCAACCCCCTCCTCCCCCACCCACCCTTCCAGGCCATCACATTACCACACCCTATTCCCCTCCCCCCTCAGCGCTGGCAGCAGCAGCAGCGGACTGCTCCTGTGCCACAGCAACCCACGAGCGGAGCATCCCCCTCTTCCTGCAACCCCCTCCCCCACCCACCCTTCCAGGCCATCAGATAACCACACCCTACTCCCCTCCCCCCTCAGCACTGGCAGCAGCAGCAGCAGCAGCAGTGGACTGCTCCTGCTCCGCAGCAGCAACCAGGGGACAAAGCGTTTCCACCATATCACTGATCAGCGCCCGCAGATTCGGATCCTCCTCAATACAATGCTTCGCAGTGCTATGCTTCCACCCAAGCACCCAAGCCCAAGCGCCCATCCTGATAAGTATCCGACCCAAGCGTCCCACCCACCCCTGTTGACTCTCCCCACCCCCCTGTTCTCCCTCCCACCCCTGGGTCAGCGCACAGAAGCCCTACTCCCCGCCCCCTCCAGCGCTGGCAGCAGCAGCAGCCGACTGCTCCTGAGCCGCAGCCACCAGCGGGCGAAGCGTCTCCACCATATCACTCATCAGCGGCCGCAGGTTCGGATCCTCCTCGATACAATGCTTTGCCGAGATCGCCAGCTTATGTGCCGCCCGCTGCGCCGCCTTCGTGGTAAACTGATCCAGCAGACACGGGTCGACGAGAGCTCCAATATCCGGCTTTCGCTGGTTCAAATACTGCTGCGCCCAGGCCGTGAGCGGCGGCATGCCCTGCTGCGTTTGATCCATGGCGCGTTTCCCTGTGAGGAGCTCGAGGAGCATGACTCCAAAGGCGTAGACGTCGGATTTGCGGGTGAGCTGGCCGGTTTCCATGTACTTGGGGTCGAGGTACCCCATGGTGCCCATGATGCGCGTCGTCACGTGGGTTTGGTCCGTGTCCGCTCCCTTTGCCAACCCGAAATCCGTCAGCTTCGCAGACCAGTCCTGGGTAGGGAAAAGGAGCGAAGGGAGAGGGCGAAAATGACAGGGAGAGGGGAGGAGAAAGCGGGGAAGGTGTATGAAGATGGTGTGTGCACAGGCAAGGCATGCGGGTGAGCTGGCCGGTTTCCATGTACTTGGGGTCGAGGTACCCCATGGTGCCCATGATGCGCGTCGTCACGTGGGTTTGGTCCGTGTCCGCTCCCATTTAGTCAGTGCCCACTCCCTTGGCCAGTGCAAAGGCTGTCAGTTTGGGGGACAATATCTGGGATTTAGGGTTAGGGGAAAGGGGGGAATATTGATGGGAAACGTGAGGCTGCTTAGCGGGCTTTGGGTGAGCGGAATGGGAGTACAGACATCAGCAGTACAAACATCGCACTCACATCATCGAGCAGGATGTTAGGAGCCTTAAAGTCGCGGTGAATGACGTTGTTCTCATGCAGGTACGCCAGGCCCGCAGCAGCATCCAGCGCAATGCGCAGCCGCACCTCCCATGGCAGCGGCGTGGGGGGGGTAGGGTCATCCTCCTTGGGCTCTGATGGGCAAGGAGGGAAGAGAAGAGGGGCGGAGACGGGCAGAGAGGGGAGGAGAAAGAAGATGAAGACTGACAAAAAGGACCTGCCGGACCTCCCATGGAAGAGGCGTGAGGGGCGTGAAGGCCGTAACTGCGTGGGCTGGTAAAGTGGTAGAAATCGGTAAATAACTACGCGCCTGACCTGGTGAGTGATAAATATCGTTCTTGACCTGTCAATAACGAGTACAAAACACTCACCAGGGAAGACATGGTAATCCAGACCCGCTTTTCCCGGAAACTCAGGCACCAGCACGCCCTGGCACCACAGTGAGCCTATTCCCACCACAAGTAACAACTGACTGACCTGGTAAGTGGTGGATGTCAAACCTGCCCATAACAAGTATGCAGCTACTCACCAGGGAAGAGGTGGTAGTCAAGACTGCCCTTGCCCAGGAACTCGTACACCAGCATACCCTCGCACCACTCTAGGCTTACTCTTACAGCCTTGTAACAACTGACTGACCTGGTGGTAAGTGACAGAAATCGAATCTGTCAATAACGAGTACAAACCACTCACCAGGGAAGAGATGGTAGTCAAGACTGCCCTTGCCCAGGAACTCATACACCAGCATACCCTCCCCGTTCTCCGCGCAGTATCCGAGGAGCTTCACCAGGTTCTGATGGCGCACACGACCCAGAAGCAGAATTTCGGCCTGGGGGGACAAACAAGACAGGGGCATGGGGGTTTTGTTGACATCATGGTTTTCTAACGGTCACAAAGCAAAAGCAGCAATACCCAGGATATCTCGTTTCTACATATTTTTTTCCTGCCTTTCAAAACACGTACTAGCTTCTCCGCATGCACATTGCCACCCATGCCCCACCATATCCACTCACCAGCCACTCCTGCTGGCCCTGGAAGCTGTTCGAATTGAGTTTCTTCACAACAATGGGCATGGCCTCCCAGTCCTTGAGGAACCCTTTGTACACCTTGCCGAACCCGCCCTCGCCCAGCACGCGGACTCACCACCAGCCATTCCCTTAGAAATTTTCTCAAGACTCACCAGCCACTCCTGCTGGCCCTGGAAGCTGTTCGGGTTGAGCTTCTTCACAGCGATGGGAAAAGCGTCTTTGCTGCCCTCCCAGTCCTTCAGAAACCCCTTGTACACCTTGCCGAACCCGGAAAGTTTTTTCTTATCAACTCAACTCTATGGCAGCCATCAAGTCAACTCACCAGCCATTCCTGCTGGCCCTGGAAGCTGTTCGGATTTAGCTTCTTCACAGCGATGGGAAAAGCATCCTTGCTGCCCTCCCAGTCCTTGAGAAACCCCTTGTACACCTTGCCGAACCCGCCCTCGCCCAGCACGTTGTCGGGCTCCTTAAAGCCCTGCGTGGCCTTGTGCAGCTCCTTGAACTTGAACGTGCGCAGCTCGAACGGCGCCGCCGGCATGTCCAGCCCCATCAGCGCGTTGTCGCTCTGCGCTGGCGCTGCTGGAGGAGGGGAGAATGGGGGGAGGGGAGGGGCGAGCGGGGGAGGGGGAAGGAGGGAGGAGGGGAAAAGGAGAGGGGTGGAGAAGGAGGGGGAAGGAGGGGACGGAAAAGCAGAGGGGAGCGAAGCGGGGTGTGTATGAGGCGTGTGACAACGCAAGGCGAGGAGCACGTTGTCGGGCTCCTTAAAGCCCTGGCTCTCCTTGTGCAGCTCCTTGAACTTGAACGTGCGCAGCTCGAATGGCGCCGCCGGCATGTCCAGCCCCATCAGCGCGTTGTCGCTCTGCGCCGGCGGTGCTGGGGGCGGGCGGGGGGGGGATGGGGAAGAGTGGCGGGAAGGGCAGAAGGAGTGGGTAGGGGGGAGAAGAGTCGGAAGGGAAGGGGGAGCGGGGGCGGTAAGAGGCCGGAGGAGGGACGGGGAGGGGGAAAGGGGGGAGAACAAGCAACAGCGGGGGAAGAGAGACATGGTGGTAATTTCTCTTGTTCTCCCTCCGCTTCGTAGGTTCGAACTACCACGTATCAAGAAAATCAAATACCCACCTGACCTAACACGAGAAAAGGCAGAAAGCATACCCTGAAATCATTGTTGCCGCTTGTCACAACCCTAACCAGTCAACGCATGAAAAGTACGATGCTTTCCTGTTCCTTCGGTTTCAGCTCTGGTATATTACAGCCTGACACTTAAACGCGTTTAACAAAGATGATGTTGTGCGACAATGTTAGCACAAGAAACGTACGAGGCTTCTCTGGTTCCTTGGGTTTCGGCGGCTCTGGTGCGGATGGCGCGGGTGCTTCATGTCCGTTCACGTTTGCTGGAAGGGGGAAAATAGAGCGTACGAAGAAACGGAGTAAGGGTGGGTAAAAATGGAAGATGGACACTAAAGAGCCAGGAAAGGGACTGTTTTGGTTGGAGAGAGGTGTGAGAGCTGTAAGCGTTAGCAAGTCATCATTATTCGAAAACCGGTAAAAGGACGAAACATTGCGAGGAAACGGGAAAAGCAGGCTGCAAGTGGGACGCCGTCACAAAAAAAAAAAACAAGAAAGAAGAGCGTTTGACAACGGGAATAGAACGACGGGAACCGAATAGAAGAAATAAATGTCGGCGAAGGAACAAAGAGTCGCAGACTGGAGAAACGCCATACATAGCTCGAGGGAACCAGGAAGGTGACTTTTGAGTCGACTCAAAAGTCAACCTGGAGAAACGCCACACGTAGCTTGAGGAAACCGAAAAGAAACTTTGTATCAAGTAACAAAAGCCAGAACTGGACGGCGCGTCTAAGGTGACATTTGGTTAGACCCTGATATCGTTCCAATTAAGTTTGGTGAGCGCTTATTGAGACGGAGTTTATTATGAGGCCATGATGTGTCGACTCAATAGTAGCTTTTATTTTTGCACAATAACTAAGACCGAAGAATAAAAACTGTACCTTTGGCAGGAGCTTCATCAGTTGGACTCGACTCCGGAAACCGTTGGTCGACCTCCCCTCCTCCCCCTCCCCCTCCTAAGCAGTTACCCATTTCAGATAGTTAGCTCTACAAGACAGCTATGTCTTCAGCAGTCAACGTGTCTTTCCATTGACTCCAGCCACAGCGAAACGTGTAAGCTTTCCAAGTAAGTCGACGACACCCTAATATTCTTACAAGTATTATATACCAGCAACTTAATGGTACCCGATTACTAGGCAATGACGACTCGGGCCCTAGAATCAGTCGTAAGAAGCTGCAACGGAAACCAGGCTCAAACAGTACAAGTTTTAATAATAGGAGATGTTGAAAACGTTAGTGTCTAACTGGCGTGGAAATAAGCTATCAACCTTTCCAAACAATCGGCAATGCCTAGGTTTGGTTTGAGTCGCGCCCTAGACTTAGGTCCCCTTTTCCCAACCGATGCAGGTTAGTTAGGAGAAAGGTAGGTGGAGGGGGCACGAAGGCTGCCTTGGGATTGTCGTGCTTGTTGATTGCGATGTCGCGAAACGATTTTGTATCGAGTACGAAAAAAGAAAGGTCCCTTTGGTGGTCGTTGGATGATGTTGAAACCAGGTGATTCTCAGCCACAAACGAGTACAGCAAGGTTTACTTTTGGCTTTTGGATCCTTCACGAAGGCAGATTCGAGTACACCCCCCAGCGTCACGAAAACTGGGCAGGGACGGTGAGTTTTAACTGTTTCTCGAAACATTTTGCGGCTCCCAAAATACTCTATTATGGGTAAATTCCATGGATGCCATCAGACTCGAGAGGTTACGTCTTCTGCACTACGAATTTTGTTAGTAATGGTGGATACATGGTGCCTCCTGGGTAGCCCGAGACGGGTAAGTAGTGTCAAGTTGGACATCTGGTCGGCTGACTGGGATGTGATTGTGCGGCTCGTTGGAGGCTTGATGGACGTGAGTAGATGTAATGGGGGGTCGCTATCAAAACTGAAAAGTTCATTACAGGTCTAGAGCAGCCCAAGATTTTATAGACAGTATAAAGAGTATCTATAGTAGTAAGTAAACTATCAGCCAGCCTTCACATTAGCATCACTCCAAAACTAACTTACGCATGACCGCTAACCTAATGCTCTAAATTATTCCGCCTTGGTTGGCTTGGGAGCTGATTTACCACGATTAAGGCGAGATGCCGGTGTGGAGTGCTCTGATTGAGTGAACCTGATAAGCACTTGCATTACGCCGAGTACGACAGCCACGCCGACAGCGATCCATCCCAAAGTTGCCCAAGTGAAGGTGATTGACGATAAGTTCCGCGTGAAGATCCAGCCATATACCACGAAGTTCAAAACCGTCCAGAAGCACGTGTGCTGTGGAATGTCAGACGCACAGGCGGTGGCATCAATAACACAAGGAAAGGCAAAAGGGGCATGGCATGAGACATGGTACAGACACCACCACTGATATAAACCATTGACATTTGGGATCATCTTCATCACCCTTAAAAAGAAACAGACCAAAACAGTAAGGAAGCAAAAGAACAGCAAAACAGAACTGCAGAGCTCCAGACTGACCAAAATGGATTTCGGAGACTTGGTCGTGTTGAGCCTCATTTTCTCATCGAAGCCGTTGTGTTCAACATAATAATCCAGGTTCTTGTCCTGCTCATATCACATGAGGAGGGGTAGGTGACATAACAAGAGGATTGGGGGAGGGCGAGGAAGGAGGTGAGAACGTCAATGTGGTGGAGGGGAGATGCCTGTGTGAATATGCTTCGTGAAAGGATTGTTTTTGAGAATCTGAATATGCTTCGCACATTGCATGGCGGAGAGTCACAATCTCAAGGCCTCCTAACAGATTGACTCATCAGCCGCGCATCCCCCACTGTTCCATGCCTAATGAACAACAGACTCGAGTCGTAGACGCAAGGAAACCACCTGACTGGCATGTGCATATGACTTTTAGTCACGTGGCAACCTGGGCATGTGCACCCAACTTTAGACACATCTCCACCTGAGGGGCATGCGTATAGGACCCTAGTCACGCCCCCCGTGCCGCTCGCTCTGCTCTTACCTTTTTCACGTATAATTTTTGGCGCCAAGTGGTTTGTGTTGCCCTCTGCAACTGAGAAATCTTGCTTTCAGACATCTCAACACGCCCATTGTGTGCCTCTTACTCTGCTCTTACCTTTTTCACAAACGATTCTTGGCACCACTTGGAGATGCCCTCTGCATCCTGAGGGATTTGGTCCATGGGGACCCGCTCATAGTACACGTCAATCTGAGGGCGATGAGGACGAAAAGGGTAATGGGGTTGGAAACGCAAGGGATGGGAAGGGGAGAGGATATTTGAGTTGTCTCAAGAATCCATTTAGTGATGCCTTGGCATCCTGCGGAATCTGGTGGTCCATGGGGACCCGCTCGAAGTATACGCCAATCTGAGAGCGATGGGGTTGGAGAGGGTAATGGGTTTGGAAAGGGCAAGGGGTGGGAAGGAAAGAGCGATGTCATTTGGAGATTCCCTCTTCATCCTGCGGAATCTGGTCCATGGGGACCCGCTCGAAGTATACGTCAATCTGAGGGTGATGAGGATGAAAAGAGCAAGGGGTGGGAATGAGAAACAATGAGAACGGTTAAGGGGTGGGGAACGTGAGAGGGTTGACAGTGGGCGAAAGGTGGGAAGGAGAGAGGGGCGAATGCTTCAGAATGGGGATGCACAAACGATGGGAACGGACTTGGAAGGAACGGGAGCAGGAGTGGGCTGGTAACACAATGGAATGCTAACAATGGAGTCACTTTAAGCATTCTCAAAAGTGACTCCGTGGGATGGGAACCGAAGCAGCATGGTGGCACAATGGATCGCTATCAACAACCACAATCGAGGCTTCAACACAGAGGGATGGGAACACAGTATGCTGCACGCAGGTGGGGAGATTTTTGAGACGTCTCAAAAATACCCTCAACACTGGTGGCACAATGGATTGCTATCAACAAACCACAATTGAGGCTTCAACACAGAGGGACGGGAACACAGTGTGCTGCAGGTAGGTGGGGAGATAGAAGAAGGAATGGGGAATGGGGAGAGAAGGAGGGGCGGAGTGAGGAGGGAGAAAGGAGGAGAAGGGAAGGGAGGAATTTAACAAGTGAAAGGGGGCAGGCAGAGAGGCTGATCACTTCCCTGCAAGGCCTTTCTCTTTAGAAATGTTAGTTAACGTCGCAGGTGTTGACTGTTTTTCTTTCTTTCTTTCTTTCTTTCTTTCTTTCTTTCTTTTATTTCCAGGTTTTTAGCAAAGACCTGTTGCCGCAAGAAAGGGCGGGCCGCTTACCTGCGAGGCCTTGCGCTTGAAAATGTTAGCGAACGTTGGGGGGTTCTTTCCCACGGGGTAGTTGACGGTGAAGTCATAGATAGCCCCCGCATGTCCCCGCATCTGCTCCACTGACATCACCAGGCCCTGATTCCAGAGACAGATGCATGGGAGGGCGGAGTAGGACAGGAAAGAGGCATATGAGAACATCTCAATTGGGGGGGGTTCCCCCAAAGGGTACTTGACGACGGTGAGGTCGTAGATGGCACCCGCATGGCCCCTCGTCTGCTCAACTGACATCACCAGGCCCTGATTCCAGAGACAGATGCATGGGAAGAGCGGATGGGTGGAGAAGAGGCATATGAGGTAGAGTGGAACAGCTGAACACCTTGGTGCAGGGCACGAGCACGTGGTGGGGGGGGGGAAGCCCGGCTTCCTTGGCGTAATCCTGCGCCGCCTTGAGCACTTTTCCTGTGGCGCCCCAACAGCCAAATACTGCTCGGTTCCTATCCACCTTGATGCACTCCTGCCCACCGTACTGCACTCCAGCCCACCGTACTGCACTCCAGCCCACCATACTGCACTCCCGCCTACCCACCTTGGTGCGGGGCACGAGCACGTGGCGGGGGATGGGCAGCCCCGCCTCCTTGGCGTATTCCTGCGCCGCCTTGAGCTTCTCAGGCGTGAAGCGCGTGCCTTCCATGAACAGAGCCACCCAGAAGAACCGTGGAAAGCTGCGCAGCCGAGCGTAGCCGTCCTGAGCGGGCAGGGAGGCAGGAGGGGTGTAGGGACAGGGATTGTCAGGCGTCTTAAAGGGCAAACGGGGAGTGCAAGGCGCCTTGAGCTTCTCAGGCGTGAAGCGCGTGCCCTCCATGAACAGCGCTGTCCAGAAGAACCGCGGGAAGCTGCGCAGCCGCGCATAGCCGTCCTGAGGGAAGGTGGGAGAGAGAGAAACAAACCGGAGGAAGCAGGAACGTAAGATATAGGGGTTGAGGGAGCAGGGGATACGGGAAGAGAATTCTAGGGGCTTGTAGCTGCGGAGTACCTGGAACCGGACGAATATGGGGCAATATTTCGCAAGGGTGGTTATCTTCACAAGTATTCTGCTCAAAGGAGAATTCTAGGGGGCTTGCCGCGCAAAAAAGCACAATTCTTACGAGTATTCTCCGCTGGTCGGTGGCGTAGTTACGGGCGATGAAGAGGTACTCAGAGAACCACATGGACCAGCCAATCACAGGCATCCACTTGGCCTCCTCCTTGATCAGCGCTCGCGTGCCTCCAAGGCAGCCGCACCTCTGCAGTGGCGTGGGAAACAGAGGGGAGGGGCCGGCGATGAGCGGGGAGGACGGAGATGAGTGGAGGGAGAGTGGGTGGGGGGGGGGGGAGCGAGTGGGGGATATCTCTCCGTTCTGGCGACTCTCCTTCTTCGCATCGTTTCACTGCTCTAATAGCTCTGTGAAGGTTCCGTCCGTGCTTACATGAAACATCAATGTTACTACCCATGTTCCTAGGATGTATGCGAGGCCGCTACAGATTGAGCGCATAATGAGAAGGATCGAGAGACACCCACCTGGGAGAAAACCCAGCCGATGGCCCAGTCAACGTCGCTGCGGTGGTTGCTCACACACAAGGCGCTCTCCTTGCCTGTCGGACAGCACGAACGGAGGAGAGCGCACGAAGCAAAGAGATTCGCGTGCAGCACGAGCGGAATGAGTAGGTCGCGAAAGGATATGCAGATGCAGAAGACAGCAGGATCATCAGCTGAGTGACGAGTGTGCTTCGCAATGTCGGATCGGTGGGGAAGATGTCTATGTGTTCAAAGTCTTAATCAACCGCGTACCGTAATATGCGTGATCCTTGGGATCGCCGTAGAGCCGGACCTGCGGAACGCGTTGACGCACGAGCACAGCGGAATACGAAGTTTCCGTCAGGTGTTGCGTCAACAACGTGTTCTGTCTTACTGAAGAAATAGAGCTTTCTCGTAACTCTCCGTATATTCACACGTTTGAAGCGACGAATCGGTAAGAGCACGCACCTCGACGCGGCCCCACCACTCGATGAGCCAGATGAGCATGGCCCAGAAGGACCCCATGAGGTACCAATTGATGATGCGGTACGTGCGAGGGCTGATGGGGAACACGAAAATGGAGAGCGCGATCTGCGGAAACGGGCGGGAAATCGAGGAATAAAGGACGGAACGCGAACGAAGAGAGGATGCAAAAGTTGAGACGTCGTCAGAGCGGAACTTAGGGCGGCGTTTGAAGCTTCGGCTGCGAGATTCGGTAGATTTCATGAGAAGCACACCTGGATGGTGGTGACTATGAGACTTGATGCAAGGAAGTTGACGGCAATCGGGATGGTGAAGATAACGGAAGCCATGGCGGCCGTAGGGGTCCAGCAAAAACCTGGCACCCTAGAAATCAGTGAATCAAGCAGGCAGATTCACCCTGTGAGAATGGAGAACCTGAACTCCTAAATTAGCCTTGAAAATGGATGGTAGCTTGGCTGAAATAGCGTCTCTCCCTAGAGTCTGTCTGCTGATGTACAGTACGGTTTCAAGGAGGTGTGGTGTGTGGTCGGAGTGAAAAACCATATTCGAAGGCCACCCAGGACCCGTGAATCCTAGGGCTGAGAGGCTTCGAACGGCTTGGCGCGAAAATCGATGAGAGTAGGATCGAGGGAATCTGATTGGCGGGTGTTCGTTTTCTTGATGAAAGAGTGCATGGCGGAGGTTCGCAAATTCTGATGAGGTTCGAGTGTAGAGTTGCTTCAAACAAAGCAAAGACACTTCTATGCACACATATAGAAATATATTTGACAAGTCAGTTCATGCAACCATTAATCCAACCAACGGCATTATGAAATAATTTTCCCAATAAATAAAAGAATCATAATCAATGTTAATCCCCAGGGCTATAACAATCATAGGCCCCCATCCCTAAAACTGGTAAGAATATCTAAGCCCCTGTAGTCTGTATCTGGAGGTATACGGTATCAGAAACAAGCATCACGCTCAACCATTTTAGTGAACCTAGGGATTCTAATCCCAGTCACAGATCTTCACCAGGGACATCCTGGTTTCCAGCGAGTCCTGCCATCAGACTTGAAGCTCCACCTGCAACCTGCCATATCCTGCTTATATCAACGTACATACAAAACCTATTGGCTAGTAAACTAGATTTAGGCGAGGCCACAAAGATAACATAAGGATAAGGCATGCTAGACGAGAGGCATAGGAGGGTCAAAGCATGCAGAAACGGTATTGATGCACTCTTATCACATGTCTGAGTCTAGGTTGGTTCCATGTGCATTATTCAGTGCATTTTGAATTAGTTGCTTCTGTGGGAAGATCGGGCCAGACAATGGAGAAGACTGGTTAGTGAAAGTGTGAAGTGCGGGAAAGTGCGAAGCCTGTTGAGGAGTCGTGCTAAAAGATGGCTTGTCCAGGACGTTAGGGGTCGTGCAACCTTGGCCGATGTCGCGCGTAGCGAACGAACTCAAAGAATCTGTTTATCACCTGCTGGCGAGGAAGGTGCAAGGGGCAGTAGAAATTGCCGTGGGTCGTGTTTCAAAAGCGTGGCTTGCGCATAATGGCAGTGTGGATCTCTGACGGGTGGGGGTCGCCTCGCCATGTCGTGGTGACAACTCACGTTCACGTCTAGTAATATTTTGGTCGGCTCGCCGTGAGTGTACGAAATGCTGCTGACGCATGTCCTTGAAGGATCATTTTCGAGGAATGTGCAATTACTCGCTTAAGATTGCTGAAGCCTGATGCTTGGCGTCGTGAAGAAGCAAAAGTGGATCACAGTAATTCAGTATGTCGACCCTGTAACACAGCAAGATAACGCAATCTTCATCATTCCCCTCACCTGCGGCTTACCGGCTTTGTTACTCTCGATGTAGGATCACATGTTTGGAACACCCATTTCTGGCCATTTGGCACCTGAGGCCAGAACGAATCGCGTCGTTAAGTCATGGCTCTAGTTCAGCCAGAGGCGCTTGTGCGCAGCCCAAGAAAAAAGAACGAGGGGGCTAATCTCGCGATGCGTGGCAGCATTGAAACAACTGCTGCGAGCCTTCTAGAGGCGCTTCGAGCGTGGAACGACCTCAGCTCGGCCGCACTGGCTCGACGCGCGGTGGATCACCAGAGCTAATCTCCGGGAATTAAAAAATAAGCCCATGCAGGCTCGAAACGCGGGTCTGGAGATCCCAAAAAACTGTCTATAACTACCAGGAGAGCTTGAGAAGACGGTTTGTAGGGGAAAGCAAGCCTTCTAGAGGCGCTTCGAGCGAGGAATGACCTCAGCTCGTCCACACTGGCTGCACGCGCAGTGGATCACCAGAGCTAGTCTCCGGGAATGAAATACGGCCATGCAGGCTCAAAACGCGGGTCTGGAGAGCCCACGAAACTGACTAGAACTACCAGGAAAGCCTGAGAACAAGGCTTCTAGGGGAAAGGAAAACAGAATGAACGGAAACTATTTGGGATGGACAAACCAGCAGTGCGATTTATACATGGCCAGATGCCTTGAACTGCTGTCACGCGTTCCGCAACACGGTGGTTCTGGCAAGTTCAAGAGTCCTCCTCCTTGTTCGAAGAACCTCGCTCAAGCAACCCGCAAGAAACGGTCATGCTAGACTAGACGGAGATTTTCGTGCATCCAATGCAGACATCTGTCAAGCGGGCGTAGCGTGGCGTGCGTGAAGCATTTTTGCCCGGCAAACCCAGATGAGCGAAACACGTTCCTCCCAGCAGGTTCAGAGATTTTACGTTTCCGAAACATATAATTTGGCTGACCGCCGTCGATTGGGCACATGGTAAAAACTGGAAGTCAACCAGGGAAGAATCGTGTGATTGGCTGGTTCCATCGCAAACGCGAACAATTATCGCGCAACATCATCGCGAACGATAGTCTTCGAAAGTCTTGCTGACGGGCCCTCTCAAGTTCAAGCAGTTCGCCCCAATTTCCGCAAGTCACGGTGTCGGTTTTGTGTGGCTGCCTTGGTTGTACGCGAAGGGCGCATTCCTGCGGGGACACTTGTGTCTCAATCCCCGATTTCCTGAGTCGCGCCTGTAAATTTGCCAACTGTTGTGTCACAAACAACCAATGTATCGCGACTCTAGGCGACCAGGCGAGATGTACAGTTGTGCGCATTTGTTTGGGTGACACGAATGACTGTACATCCCTTTTTTCAACCGCTTGGCTGGGGTGTGGTTTCGACGAGCGGGATTTTTTCGCGCACGAAATTGGCATTGCAGGCTGTCCAGGTGCATTGACATTTCGAGCAGCGTTCGATTTTTTCACATTGACGAGTCAGATTACAATTCGTCAGCGACGTCAGCGCGTTTCACGCTGACCAATAAAGAATACAGTGATGGTCGCGGAAATGCGACTCGCAATTGGGACACACTACAGTTTATGCTGTTTTTGTGTGTCACAAAGCGATTGAGACGTTCGTGTCTCCACAGGAATACACCCTAAGACAGCATCTAGAAAAGTATTTCGATAAGAGACTTCAATCCAGACAAACACAACATTAGATCCAATCAAACATGTACTTCATTTATGGCTCTTCTGTGCTCTATAAGCCTTTTTAGCTGAAGTTCTACCACATATATTTCCAGCTGATAGTACCATAATGATTTCAGAATCTTATTTATGGTGTCCCGCTTGGCCCTGGAGTGCTTTCAAGAGCCCCTCCCACCGATGCTCCAGCAGAGAGTGAACTTGGCAGTGTGTCCGGCGATGGCATGCTCCCTACTCCCTTTGTAATGTCACGCTTGCATAGCGGGCATGTCGGGTGTGACTTGAGCCACTTGTCAATACATGCTGCGTGGAAGTGGTGCGAGCATGGTAACTCCCGTAACACACACCCATCCTCATACCTTACAAGGCACACACAGCATTCTGCATCCTCCGCCTCTACATGCCTCCGCCTTGGCGGATGGGCCGAGCCAACCAATGACATGACGCCACCTGTCTCTTCCTCAACTGTCACACGGACGTCCAGCCCATCGCCACTTGGAGAATTTCTGATGCTGCTGTTATTTCCTCCTGCCCGGCCTGCCCGCCTCCAGAGCCCAGCAGCAAGGCCAACCGCGTTGCGCCACATGGCACCGGCAAAGGCAGAGGAGGAGCAGCAGGGGCAGGGGGCGGTTCGGGTGGCTGGAGAGGAGGAGAACGTGGTGGAGGAGGAGAGGGGGGGAGACGAGGAGAGGCGGAAGGAGGAGGAGCAGGAGTGGAAGGGGCATATGCTGCTGGCTTGGGAAGAGTTGTTGGCGGCGGTGCGATGGCGGTAGAACTTGAACTTGGGGAGAGCTTCGATCTGCTCTCGTGTTGCTCCTTCCTGGAAAGAGCAATGCGGCATCAGGATAACAGGATCGGAGGAAACCTGAGCAGAAAATTGGCAAACTCATGCTTGTCACACTGTCGAGGCTGCTAGCACTTTTCACACTGTCCAGCTCAAACAACAAGCAACCCTCAAGGTGATTCTCAGGAAGTGGTCGTAATTGATGATGCAGCAGCTCATGGCCATAACTACACAATGCTCATCCCGCACCCGCTCATGTCATACACCTGATGATGTCGCAATCATTACAGTCACTGTGCTGCCTGCTTGCTCCACTTGTGTGACCTGCATATGCATAGATGAGAGCGATGATGCAGGGCAGGCAGCAGCATACACCACCATACCCACTCAGTGTTAATCCCACACTCATCACCCATGCCAGGCCCCCTGACTGCTCACTGCACTCGCCTGGTCTGCAACAGCATAGATGAGAGCAATGATGCAGGGCAGGCAGCAGCACACGGCCATGCCCACAACGCACGCCACAGCCACACAGAAGACGACGAAGAACACGTCAAACGCCAGGAAGGCTGTGGTCGCCCTGATGTGGTGATGCAAAGGAATGTGGAGGTGGAAGGGAGTGGAGATGGGTGAGGTGAGGGAGACGAAAAGTGAAGAGATCAGGAGCAGTTGTGGAAGCAGGTAAGCAGCAAGTAGCACACACGGCCATACCCATGACACACGGAATGGCCTGCTACTGGTCGTGGCCATTACCCATGACACACGTAATGGCCTGCTACTGGTCGTGGCCATTACCCATGACACACGGAATGGCCTGCTACTGGTCGTGGCCATTACCCATGACACACGTAATGGCCTGCTACTGGTCGTGGCCATTACCCATGACACACGTAATGGCCTGCTACTGGTCGTGGCCATTACCCATGACACACGTAATGGCCTGCTACTGGTCGTGGCCATTACCCATGACACACGTAATGGCCACACAGAACACGTCAAACGCCGGGAAGGACTCGGATGGCCTGATGTGGTGATGCGAGGGGAGTGGGGGGAGAGGGAGGAGGGGGGATGAGCGAGATGATGAGGTGAAGGGAAAAGGAGAGCAGTGGAAGCAGTCTACTCTTGAGGTGCTTCATAAATGGTGGCGTGTCAAGTGTATGAGTAGAGGGCATGAATCTCATCAGGAGAGGGTCTCACCAGGAGAGGGCCTCACCAGGAGAGGATGGGCGCGTCTTTGAAAGAGTCGTCGATGGTGGAGAGGATCCACGTGAAGCCGACGAGCCACCAGGCGAAGGAGAACATTGTGTTGGCTGACTCTACGCGCCGTGCCAGGCTGCAATAGGGTGAGAGGGTGAGAAGGAGAGAGGGAGGCATGAGAGCAAGCAGGAGAGAGCATGAGAGCAAGCAGGAGAGAGAGAGCATGAGAGGAAGTGAGCTCGAGCCACCAGGCAAAGGAGAACATTGTGTTGGCTGACTCTACGCGTTGTGCCAGGCTGGAATAGGTGAAAGGGAGGGAAAGCAAGAGGGAGAGCAGGAGAGGGAGAGAGAAGGAGAGATCACGAGAGCAAGATTGAGCCACCAGGCGAAGGAGAACATGGTGTTGGCGAACTCTATGCGGTGTGCGAGGGTGGAGAAGGTGGGGGGGGGGAGGAAGAGGGAAATGGTACGAGGGGGGTAAGGGAATCATGGTGAAGAGAGGGAGGGTCAGGTGGTGGGTGGAGCATGGGAGAGTGGAGGGGAGCACACTGCAGCGCTTCTTACTCACCTAAGAGAGAGGAAGGGACACCAACCACCGCAGTGTTTCTTACCTCTGATCTGAGTCGTCCGATTCACCTTCATCCACAGCTCCCACCATCATCTCTTCATCATCCACCGTCGATCCTTCCTCACCCCTCATTCTTCCGCCCGCCCTTGCCTGCCCATCCCCCCTCCCATCCTCCCCGCCCGCCCTCTCCTCCCCCAGAAGCCCCTCAAGCGCCTCCCCTTCGCGCGCTTCCCTTTCCAGTAACAGAGCCCGTCCCGTTATAAGCACAGACGCTGCTTCGTCTAGAGTCGCCACTCTACCCGCGTCCCTCCTGCGTAGAATGGAGATGAATTCCTCTTCTCTCTCCCTTTCGCTACGGCTGCCCGTCACTTCCACATTTCCTCTGCCATCCCCTCTCCCCCCCATCCCCCCCCATTCCCCCGATTGGTCCCGCGACGCATCGAATCTCGTCCCCTCCGCATCCCCCGTCGCCTCCCCCGCTTCACCCCTCCCACTATTCACGTTCTCGTCCCCCTCGTTCGCTTCCCCGCCCCCCCTCATCTCCCTCCCTCTCTCCCTTTCCCTATCCCTCCGCTCTCCCCTTGCGCGCCTCCCCCTCCTCCCCCTCCCCCGCCCGCGTCTCCTCTCCCTGCGCTGCTCCCGCTGCTCCCGTACGCGCCGGCTCTCCCGCCGCTCGTGCTCCAGCAGAACGCAGATCACGTGCACGGCGCATTGCACGGCGTAACCGAGTAACCAGATGGACAGCGGCGCGGGCGGGCGCTCGTTGCGCGCCTGGCTTATAAAGAGCGTGATGGCTGTGACTACAACGAAGGCGAGGTTCCAAAACGCGTCGAGGATGACCACGGGGCGGGAATACGCCCACGTGCTGGGCTGCGGGTCGGGCAGCTGAAAAAACAAAAACAAAAGCAAAAACAGAAGGAAAAGCAACAAAAGATATGTAAACGAAGAATACGTTTAGAAGTGCGAAGTTGGCTCGGAGAACGAAAGCAGAAGCCAACACAGAATCACAACACGAATGGTGCATGGGATAGGTTCGGATCGGACCTGTTCCGGAGCTGAGGTTCGGCGAGGCGACTGTCGACGGCGCATCAGCTGCTGCATCCCGACCTGCTGAATCAGCCTCGCGGCGTCCAATGCCATTGCGCCACCTGTCCTCGACCACGGCTGCGCCGCGTCGTTCACCGCAAAATGCGGCGAGGGCGGCGACGGAGAGGGCGATTCGCCTGGAGTTGACGAAAAATCGTCGCGAGGAGTAGAAGGATCGCTGGATGACGCGCCGAAAGACAGAAGCGCTTCGGTTTCCAAATCAGCGGCGCTGGTGACGGCTGTGGCGGCGAATTCGGCCGCGGCGGATTCGGCAACGGCAACGGCGGCGGCGGTGGCGGCTGCGATGGCGGCGGTGTCGTTTGTGATGGTGAGGCTACCATGGCTGTTTCCATAGCCATTGCTGTTGTCGCTGCTGCTGCTGCTGCTGCTGCTCTCGTCGCCTCTTCTTGCCCGGCTGCCGCAATCCAGACCGCCTGCGTGGCCCTCTTTCCTGTCGCCCATGCTGGTCGCCGTTTCCTCTTTAAAGGCTACGGCCTACTATTCCAGCTGATCGCTCTCTGTTTCTTATAACCGGAGAATTAGAAAAGGGCCTAAGGAGGTGACGCTAACGGTAGGAGATGCGCGCAACTGAAGGCGCCTAAGAGTGTCGGGATCTCGGAATGCGACGTCTCAAACCACCATTTTTTTTTCGGTTTTATTAATCGGCTGGACTACTGACGACTTTTGAGTCGACTCAAAAGACTACAGGGGCCGCGGGTTGGCAGCGTATCTGCCTGGGCTGAATCCCATTGCCAGGGACAGCTAGACGGTTCACTGACTAAGGAACTTAGCGCATTCGCAAGGGGCAAAGCTGTGGTGAGTCAGCGCGTAGAGGGAATGAATCACGCTATTGATAATGACGCATGAAGACTTGGTGGGTGGTGCCGCATCATCCACTCAAAGCCACACATGAGGAAGCAAGGCGAGGAAAAGGGTGTAGGGAGGAAGGGTGGTCGTCACATCCTCGGCACACTAGATCTTGGTTTGGAGGGAGTGTGCACCCATCCGCCATGCGTCAGCGGACAGGGACGGCCGAGGGTATGAGGGAGGGCAGATTGGGTTGGGATGGGGGTGGAGGTGGGTGGGGGGGAAAAGGACGGGGCGGAGGAGACTAAGGGAGGAAAAGGGGCGAATTTCAGGAGAGAATGGAATGCGGTTGAGGCGTGTGGCGGCAATCTAGGGGCAAGCGCTTTGTAGGGGGGATTTGCAGGTGAAGGTTGGATTGGAAGAGCAAGCCGCAGATTTGTGCGAAAACAGATGTCTATTGGCGATGCGATAGACGGCCGAGATGTGCGTCGGGTTTGTGTGTGGGGGAATGTGATCTCTCTTATTGGTGGCGACGAGATCCTCCGCTGACGAATTTCTGAGCGGATTGAACAGGTGGTCCGGGTGGGGTTGCGAACTCTGATGACGACCCGCGAAGGCGGCGTTGCTTATCGAGACGCTGAACCACGTGGCGAAAAGAGATTTGTTTATTTGCGCCCTCGCGCCTCGTATGGGAGCTCGGAGGCGGCTTGGCAGGATACGGACAACACCAAATATCCCGCATACGCGATTCCTCAATCGCAGATAACTAGTCTATAGTGTTTCTCATTCAGCTAAAGAATGAAAAACATAACATTTTTAATGATGGTTACAAACAAACTCATAGATCTGTTCGTTTTGACGACATCAATGCTTGGTGAACTGGCAATGCCTAGTTTGCATATGCGTAACGGATTACCTTATCTGGAGGATAGAGCTGAGGCTCAGCCAAGCCACGCAGAGCACTCGCCTTATTGTCAGCATGCGCGATTCGGCAGGACGACACGCGATCACGACTCTGCGACAATGCCAGCCTGTGAGACCCATGTTCCTCTTTATATTCCTAATGCATCGTGTCGTGATTATCCGCCTTACGTTACGTCTAACATCACTCACGCGCTCTGGACGTCTTTACCACGGATACCTCACGCCTACGTCTTACGGCTCGCCAAGAATTCGTCCTGGATTTGCAAGAGCCGTCTCCCGCGCATGCGATGTTGTTTCCCGAGTCCTCTGAGCGATTGGCTCGAAAACATCGCGACTTCACTTTGGCAAACGTGCCTTCTGGACGACATGCCTGTCGCTCATGGCGGCTCGCCAAGCTACGCCTCTCTGGCGCCACGATTTCCGAACGAGCCGCGTCGAAACGCCTGGACGTATCATTTCGTGATGGAAAACCCCCTGGGATCCGCCTTGTGCTTTGGCCGACCCAAGTTCTTTCCGATATCGGACACCATGTCAGGGCGACGATAAGTTCCTGCCGTCGCTAGCAACGCCGCGTAAGCTTGTTGTTCATCAGCATCACCTCAACAAGAGGGCAGTCCTCCGTTTTCTACTTAATCAGCATCACCTCAGCTTCGTCGTACAGGTTCCTGTCATTGCGGAAGCCGTTTCTTCCTTAGTCGATTCAATAGTCTCGGCATGGCGCAGTGGGGAGCGCGAAGGCCGCGATCGACGCCATCAGCCGGCGGCGGCGGCGGCGGGCGCGTCGCGCACGCTCGCGACGCGAAGGTCGTCACGCTCGTGGACGACTACGAGGATCGCAAGACCGGAGCCGTCGGATTGACGCGCGATCAGCGCGTCTCGCTCGAGTTCAAGCCGTTCGATAGCCAGACCTATCTGCATCTCCGCAATAGGCGCATGGCGGTTCTCTCCAAGGCCGCGATTCACGGCGCCGGCCTCGGTAGCGTCGGGAGTGTCGCCTCTCGGAGCTATAGCGAGGACGACTGGGAAGACTATGATCCCGAAAACGAATATGCGTATAACGAGTACGGCGATAGTGAGGGCAGCGGCGAGGACTCTCCGAGGCGAGGCGGCGCGAGGCGGCCGCGCGAGCCGGAGCTGTACGACGCGATTCGGCATCCCCTGAGCGAAGCCCTCGACGCGGTTCGCGAGAAGCTCGAGCGCCGCGCGCTGATGGTCGGCGGAGGCGGAGGCGGAGGCACGGGAGGGGGAGGGCGCGCGCAGGGGGGAGTGGAGCGGGTGAAGCTTCTGGTGCGGCTGGGGAAGCTTCTCTTCTCCGTGCAGGGCAGGCCGGAGTGAGTGCAGTGTTGCCGCTATTTTCTTATGCTCGTCGTTTCAAGCTGTTTCGCCCCTACTCCTCGTAGTGATCCCACCTACATCCTTCTGCATCCTCCCCTCTTTGAATTGAAACCCCCCTCTTCTCCCCTTCCCGCTTCCCCCTTCCCCCCTCCCCTCCTCCTCTCCCCTCCTCCCCTCTCCCTGACTCCCCCAGTCCCAGCGCTACCCTGACCAACATCCCGCCATTCTCAGCCAAGACATTCGAGGAACACACGAACGAGCATGCCCTGTTTGCAACGGCGGTTGATTTTCTGTGATTTTAACACCCCTCCTCTCCCCGTTTCCCCTCCTCCCCTTCCACCATTTACCATTCCCCCCTTCCCCAGTCTCAGCGCAACCCTGACCAACATCCCGCCCTTCTCAGCCAAGACATTCGAGGACCACATGAACGAGCATGCACCGTTTGCGAAGCTGGTATACCGAACCTATGAGAGCCACCTCCCGGAGAGTGCATATCAGCAGGTGGAGGACATGCTGCTGGGGGATGGCCAGGTGGCGCACTCGCTGGGGGAGAAATACAACATTCAGGTCAATTGAGAGCGGTTGAGAGAGGTTACAAGAGGTTGAAAGTGGTTGAGAGCGGTTGGAGTGAGTTGAGTTGTACCGAACCTATGAGAGCCACCTCCCGGAGAGTGCATATCAGCAGGTGGAGGACATGCTGCTGGGGGATGGCCAGGTGGCGCACTCGCTGGGGGAGAAATACAACATTCAGGTGAAGTGCAGGTTGGTTGGTTGAAAGCGGTTGAAGTGAGTTGATTTCAGTTTTGAGTCTTTTCTCGGATTGTTCCTGCTAGCACTGCAGCGCTAAAAGACAGGCTCGCGATGCGCCTTGAAAAAGATGCTTCCCACATGTGATGGTACATGCGCGCACTGCAGCAGCATGGAGTCACACTGGAGACTCGTTATGAGGCGTGTATCAGACTTGAGCCAGGCGAGTTTATTCCAAGGCAGCCTCACCTCAATGCTGGTTCTCCTGTTCCGGCTGTGCCAATCACTGATTGCATATCATTTGTCAGGTGGTGGACACGAGGGAGCACATCGTGTACAAGGCAGTCTGTAGGCACAGCCCTCAGGAGCAGCGCTTGACCGTGAAAAAGGTGCCGTGGCTGGTTTACGCAAAGGTAGCACACACGTAACACGGGGACAGCGGCTGTTCCCGTTCACGTTACATGACCATGTGGAACGGTTTCAGCTTGTGATGAACGTTTTTCGCCGCACTCGTCACTCCTGTTGTTGGAACCATTTTCCATGTGCTCACTATTATTCGGTATTTCCCTGCTTCTTTACGGTGCCTGTGTTGCTTGCTTCCCTGCAGCCTCATATGATGCTCAAAAGTGATATTGATGCTTTCGTGGTTGTGAGTGCAGGTGAAGAAGCCACCTGTGCGCCATGCACTGTTTGACATTGCACGCCCTGACAAAGTCGTGGACGCGCGCTTGATCCTCGTCACCGAGACGCACTTGACGACACTGGATGTGAGTCTTCCCTCCCCTCTTTTTGCCCCCACGTTCTCACCCTTCGCCATGCACTATTCGACATTGCACGCGCTGACAAGGTTGTGGACGCGCGCTTGATTCTCATCACCGAGACACATCTGACGGCACTGGATGTACGCACCACCAAGACACCAAACCCTTTGTAACCCTTTGTATTGTCCACTGAATTTCGTTTCAGAAAGCTTCCCTACTGGCATGCCTGTTTCCCTACCGAGTTTTGGTTTTTAGACATCATTTTCCTTCTGCTTCCTCCGGTCTCCCTCCTCCCCTCACCCCCCAATCCCACTTGCTCCCCATTCCCACCCCATTCCCTGTACTCGTTTTCTCTATCCCCAAATCATTACCCTATCCCCGTCATAAGCTGGAAGAGGCACTAGAGAGAATTCTCAAGGCCACAAAAATCGACCCCCAGAGTCCTGCAGGGCTGCTTATCCCAGCTCACATGAACCACACGATTTCCTCCTTTTCCCTATCGCTTTCTGACTGAATACTCTGCAATCCCATCACCTTCCCGCCCCCTCTTCCCTCGTTCCCCTCGCAGGATGAGTTAGAAGTGGCACTAGAGAGCATTCTCGAGGTTACCGAGATCGACCCCTAGAGTCCCGCAGGGCTGCGCATCCCAACTCACTTAAACCACATGATTCCCTCCTTTCCCCCATCGCCTTTTGAGGCGCCTCAAAAGACATAAACCACATGATTCCCTCCTTTCCCCCATCGCTCTTTGACTGAACTCTATGGAGCTCCTTCTACCCCCCCCTAACCCGCCCTCCCTTCCCTCCTTCCACTCTCAGGATGAGCTAGAAGTGGCGCTAGAGAGCATTCTTGAGGCCACGAAGATCAATCCCCAGAGCCCAGCAGGACTGCGCATCCCATCTCACATGACAGAAGCCCATGGAAGCTCTGATACCACCAGTAGGCGCGATGCTGGTGGTGGTGGTAGCAGGGACTATGGTGGCACGACTAGCAGGGGCTATAGTGGTGGTGCGACCAGTGGGAGATCTGCTGGTGCTGGGAGCAGCAACAGGTTTGTGGTGCGAGCGGTGCGGCACGCCACGACGAGGCGGGCAGAGGGGAGAGGGCGGGTGTGGAAGCTGTCCCGTGTGGATGGGGTTGAGTTCAAGGAGGGGGGTGGGCGGCAGACCAATGAAATCGAGTTCTGCCCGGTTGCATGGCAGCAGGAGCTTAAGGTATGATTTGGAAAATCAGTTCCTTGAACTAATTCTTTTTAAGGGTGCTTGGTATCTTTGGCTTGGGAGAGGATTTCTGCATGACTAAATACTTATGTGGTGTCATGCACATCAACAGCAACTCATTTTGTCAGATGTTATAGTCATCATTCCGTTCTTGACACATTGTCACATCCCCATTCAAACTTTCTATCCCACCTGCTGATGCGCTTATTCCCCCTCTGTAGGGTGGCCCCGATGGGCATGCCAGCCCCAGGGGGCAGCAGCAGCCCCCCACGTGGACCACAGAGGAGATCATGGCGGAATGCCCTGGATTGTTGTCGTGGCTCAGCAAGAACCTTCCATGATCAGCAAACAACATACGGTAGATGGGAGATGCAACGGGGAACAATGTCCCTTAGCTTGGTGCACTACTTGCACCCTTGGGTGAAGGGTTTAGCAGGGCATGGAGTGGATGTAAACAGCGATGTGCTCTGGGTTGCTGGAGTACGTGAAAAGCAAGGCTTGTTGATATGATCGGTTGAGGCGCACTAGCAGGGTTTTAACGTGATAAAGTTTTTATAGAAAACAATAGGTGTTTGTGGCATTTTTGTTTCCTCGCGTCCTGTGCTACTGAACCAGCACACTTTCCGCGTACAGCGAATTCGGTGTATTCCCGCCGCTTCGCAATCGTCACCGTCACACCTGAAGCGGAACAAGGCCCAACACTTCAGGACTTGAGCACAGTTAAGTGTGATATGGTAGGTTACGGTTCGGTGCAGGTACGTTGAGCTGGCTGAGAAAGCGGTTGGGTTGGAATGACGGCGACACCAGGCGATACATTTTTGCTTCACGGAATCCTAGATTCCAAATGTCTTTGTGCAGGTGCACTGAATGTTAGTACTCCCTCCCAACCCTGAACAGCTGTCTCGTATGATAAGCATGTCAACTCGTCATAGTTACTAAGGGCGTGTCCAGTTCGTTCACTCCCTTGGTTTTTAGTACCAACACACGTCTCGAGGTTCAAAAAATTTCACTGTACCTATAAACGAATGCATTGTGAGTTGAGTCCCACCTAGCTGTAATTTCAGGAGCGCGGACACGTTCTCCGCCTTACGAATCAACAGTGCTCTGATCGGGTTCGAAACGAGGTAACGGTATCCCTCGTCAATCATAGCTAACGAATTTTTGTGCAGGCGGGGGGGGGGGGGGGGGGTGTTGGCGAGTGTAGCGAGCTACTGGCGAAATTGTGCAAGCGATACATGGGGCACTACTGTAGTGGCCATGACGCGGTGCTGTACCCTTGTTCGTGTCCCAGCTGATTCCAGTAACGTGAGTCAGACGACTCGAGGTACGTGCAGGGTTTTGTGAACGAAAGCTGATTGTGTCCGCAGGACACGTTCAATACAGTGTTACAACAAAAAATGTGGTAACTGAGCGGGCTTACGAGCAGTAAATGTACGAGCTGGACACTTCCTAAGCAAGAACAATTCGAGGTGAGACCTGACGATCACGTCGACATAGGCACAAGCATTGAGAACTGCGAACAGGCGCGCATTCTGTGCATTTCCGAGATCCAGTATGGCGAGAGAGACTCGGAACAGACGCTCTTGGGTTTCCTCATTGCATCCGTGGTAGTTTTTTACATGAAAGAACTTCAGAAAGACGACGTTGACGGGGAACCCTTTGCTGCCTAACACATACCAGCTTAACTTCACGAAGGTCGTCTCCTTTTTTTTTACGCATCGGAACGGAGGGGTAGTCCTCGCAAGAGATTCGCCGCGCCTTTTTTTCTATCATGACTGACGGAGACTCGCGAAGGCCGATTCCACTAGTGCTCAGATCCAAACGTCCAATTTACCATTCCAGCGACGTGCGGTTACTAGCGCTCGTGGACGATTACGAAGATAAGAAGGCCGGTGATCTTATTTTCACTCCGGACCAGAGAGTTTCCCTTCTTTTTAGAGAATTTCGTAACCAATGCTATTCCCATTTGGGATATACACTTCTTGCCGTGCTTGCCAAGGCCCCATTCCAGGGAAATGTCGAAAATTGGCTGTACAAAAGAAATAGCACTTTGGGTGATTTAGAGCATAATTCTGGTACGGATTCATGGTCGGTTCATGGAGATGTTAACAGCGAGGATAGCGAAAACCTTACAGGTTTGAATGGGGAGGGCAGCGGGAACAGCAGGGGAAACGAGGACAGGCCAGAAGAGGCCCCAATGATGATTGCAATTCGGCAGCCTCTGATCGAATCCCTCAATCTGGTTCGAGAGAGAATTGAGCAGCGGGCTCTGCAGGTGGGAGATGCTGGTGCTTGTGGCGAGATTGAGAAGATGAAGCTCCTGGTTAGACTCGGCAAATTGCTATTCTCCGTGCAACACAGGCCTGGGTACGTGTGCTCTCGTGTACCAGGTGTGATCGTGGAGTGTTATTCATCCAAGGTGTCTGCACGCACTTGGTGTGACCGCATCCTGTTATTTCAGTCCGTTTCGCATCTCTGGTGCTTCTCATACTTCCTGCCCTTTCGTTTTCTGATCCCAGCAAACACTTTCGTGGAAAGTCCCTTTCATCCAGTTCTTGACTGGGTTCCTTGATTCCTGTTTTATTTTGCCAGGAAGTTTCAACCCAGAAATAATTTCCTCCTCAATCAAAGCCCCACCGAATGAATACCTACCTTCTTTTGTTTACTTCGTTTTCCAGGGAGTCTTTATCGAGGATACCATCATTTTCTGCTCAAGTGCTGGAGAATCATATGAACAAGCGAGCACGGTTCAAGGTCCCGATACACCGGACGTTTGAGACGCACGTGCCTGACAGCATCTACAGCAAATTAGAAGACATGCTGATGAGGGATGCCGGTGATTCATGCCAAGCGACTGCTCTGAATACATCTAGTGAGAAGTACAACATTCAGGTATTTTTATCGCGTTGGCTGTTGCTCGAGTGCATGTCTATAAGGAGGTGACATGTATGATTGATTTGTGGTATTTGTGCCTGTTCAGGTTATTGATACTGAGGCACGCATTCGCTATAAGGTGGTGTGTACATATCTTGCAGAAGAGCGACAATTTTATGTAAAAAAGGTAGGACTAGCTGGGAGAATGGGGATCAATGCATTTCCTTCCCATGATTATTATTTTTATTGTGTTCTGCCTATAATACTGGCCTAAAACGAAATGCGATGTCTTGAAGATAATTGTATTGGTTGCTGGTTGTTTCTGCGAATTCAGGTGAAGAAGCTGCCTCTGCGATACGCAGTCATTGACGTAGCGCGGCCTGAGAAGGACGTGGATGCTCGCTTGATTTTGTTCACAGAAACGCATTTGAATACGCTGGATGTGAGTCGCATATGCGTGAATGTGATGGTAATTGCCTGTGTGTGAATGGCGTTTGCATGCATGTCAGTGGGGTATGCATGCATGTTTCAATGCCATACGCATGGATGTGATGATGGGCGTGCATGGATGTGATGATGGGCGTGCATGGATGTGATGATGGGCGTGCATGGATGTGATGATGGGCGTGCATGGAAGCGATGATGGGCGTGCATGGATGTGATGATGGGCGTGCATGGAAGCGGCTTGTGTGTGCATCCATGTTTCAGTAGCATATGCTTGCATCCGAAACAGCAAATTAATAGCGTGGAGACAATACCAAGTCTTTACCCTAAACTCCAGAGAGACTTTATAACGAACATGCATGCTCGGAAACAAACTAGATTGTCGACGGAGCTCCAGTATGTTGGCGTTTCCTGTTCTCTATCAATCTGAAACCCTGTCTTGCCCTCCTATACAGGATGAACTAGATGCTGCAATAAAGAGGATTTTGGAGTTTTCACAGATCGACTCTTGGACACCAGGAGGGCTACACATTCCAGCTCACATGACAGAAGGCTATGAGTGTTCAGCTCCTGGTTATGGTAGCTGCGGCTGTGATGGCATGGGTAGGGCGTTTGGAGAGAGCAGCGGGCAGAGCGACAGAAGCAGAAGGTTCCAAGTGTGTGCGGTTCGGCATGTTACTGTACGGAAGGCGTTGGTGGGAGGGAGAGTGTGGAAGTTTGCACGAGTGGATGGGATTGAGTACAAGCAGGGAGGTGGGCGGCGGACCAATGAGATTGAGTTTTGCCCGGTTGCATGGCAGCAGGAGCTGAAGGTATGTATGAAGCACGAAGTTGGTCCTGCTCTGTGAGGGCAGCAGGAGTTATTCTAGTGTCTTTGACATCATGTGATAGCGTGCCATAGGATAGCATGCATGCATATTTTTTAGCAGACACTCACTCTGACCATCACACACCATCACAATCACACTCATGAACTCCACCACTGCATGTCGAGGACTGCTTGCGTGGTCTGATGTCAAGCAGAATTCCTCACGAAGCATCAACTCTCTCTCTACTGGTACCCTCGTTCAGAAGCCTCAAGCCTGCTTTATGCATTCCCGATTCAGTCAATTACTCACCCTTACTCTGTTCATCTCCATGCCTAGTGTAACACTGGCAGACCTATTTGCCAGATCCCATTTTCGTTTACCAATGCACCTGCGGATGTGTCCATTCCCTGTTGCCATCCCACCTGCTGGTGCATTTGTTTCCCTGGCTCAGTGTGGCACGGGAGGGCCTGGCAGCAGCAAGGAGCAGCAGCCCCCCTCGTGGAGCACTGGAGACATCATGGCAGAGTGCCCTGGGCTTCTGGATTGGATGAGCCAGAACCTGCCATAAATGCAGGGCACATGGCGGAATAAAATACTGTGCTGGGAGAGCAAAATTGACGCTGGGGGGCATGGCAGCGCCAGAGAGCACCGGATAAGACCCCATTGTGGAGGACTGGACTGGAGTCATCATGGTGGAGTGCCCTGGGCTGCTTGCTCGGCTGAGCGAAAAGCTGCCGTAAATGCAGCAAGTGATGGGGGGGCTGACAGCCCCTAGAAGCAGAACCTTCTACATGGACCAGAGGAAATCATGAAAGTCTGCTGTGTGCTGCTGGCATGGCCAAGCGAGAACCTGCTGTAAATGTAGTTTCTGTATCTGCCTATGTAAATAGTGAATTGATGGGGTCGAGGAAGGTGTGACAGGAAGGAGTGTTGAATACATGAAAAACGCTAGTTGATCTTCTAGCTCCGTTTTCATTGGCTAAGGGAATATGTGGGGGTGCAATTAATAGCATCACCAATAACATGATGTAGTACGGTAGTATATGTGGAATCAGGTATGGTATGTTGAGAGCATAGGTTGCTTTTCATTTTGAGTGCATATTTCAGAGCATGAGGTAAGTAATCTTCTGTTCTCATGCTCCTCAAATTTCTGCTACGACATCCGTGTAAGACCACTCAATACCGAATCCTCTACCTAAATTTTTTGTAACGTTGTGACTCGTGAGGAATACGCCCTTTTGTTAGTCCGCAGCGCGGGAAATCGTGAGCTTGCTGCGGCGGCGGGAAACACGGGAGGCGGAGGATAAGAACCGTCGATCGATCCAACGGCCCGATAGTGCGTGAAGACTCCAGAAAGATGAAAGGCGGACCGTCTCAGAATTCCGACATGAGAAAAAGCATAGCCGGCGGATCATCGGGGACACGCGAGGAGAAGGATAGCGAGTCGGGGGAAATGGAAACGGAGAGAAAGCCTTCGGTTGTTAGAGTTGACGAATTGACTCCGCTGCTCAATAGCGGGGATGCGGCAGGATCATCATCAAGCATCGCGAGCACACCTCCGTTCTCAAGCAACGCCTCTACTACGCGTCTGACTCCTGACGCGCCTACGCCTCCAGGGATCATTGGCAATGCCTCTACTACGCGTCTGACTCCTCCAGAAAAAGTGGCGATGGGGGATGAAGAAGAGGCATACGATGATGACCAACCGCAGTGCCGAATCTGTCTCGAGAGCGACGGTGGGTAGAGCAACGCATTCCTGCATCTTTCGTCGCCGAGTTGAGCGGTCTGGATGTGATGAGCGGGAGGAATTCGCCTTGTCAGGGAATGGGGGAACGAGAAAGCGGCGATCGGGGATGAAGAGGGGGACGACGAGGACCAACCGCGGTGCCGCATCTGCCTCGAGAGAGCGACGGTGCGTGGGTTGAGGCGTCTCAATATCGAGTTTTTAGACGTTAAAACCCCAACCGCAGTGCCGAACGTGCCTCGGTGGGTACTAGCGATTTGTTGCTGCCATTTCTTAGGCGCCTCAAGGATCGGGGATGATGAGGAGGCGGAGTCGCAGTGCCGAATCCGCATTGAGAACGACAGATGCGTCACGATTTCAAATCGCGGGCCCTCCTCGTCGTTTCAGGCGTCTATCACGGGTATTACATATCATGTACGAAAGACGACTACATGCCTTCTGCAGCCTCCTCCTCACTCCCCACCTGGTCGTAGTCTCTGCCTCCGCCTCCGTAGATGGCTGATTTTGAGGTTCCTTCCGCCTCCGTACAACTCCATCATTTGTGAGAGGAAGGAGAGGAAGTCATCATTTGTGGCCTTTCTCGCACCTCCATCGCACCTCCATCGCACCTCCACCGCACCTCCACCGCACCTCCACCGCACCTCCACCGCACCTCCACCGCACCTCCACCGCACCTCCACCGCACCTCCACCGCACCTCCATCGCACCTCCACCGCACCTCCACCGCACTTCCACCGCACCTCCCCCCCGCACCTCCCTTTCTGAACAGGTGACGACCTCATCGCTCCTTGCAAATGCAAGGGCTCTGCACAATTCGTGCACCGTTCTTGTCTGGACCAATGGCGGGCCACCAAGGAGGGATTTGCTTTCTGCCATTGCTCCACGTGCAAGACGCGCTTCCACCTGCGCGTGTGCCCGCCGCCCGACCCGCGATGCCGCCACCTCAAATTCAGATTCTTTGTCGCGAGTGATATCGTGTCCGTAACACTGCTGGTGCAGATGGTGAGTTTTTTTTTTTTTTTTTTTTTTTACTTTGTTGCAACGGATATTGTGTTCGTAACGCCACTGGTGCAGATGGTGGGTTACCTCTTTCCCTGGTGACGACTTTTGTCGCGCCTCAGAAGTCGCTGCTGGTGCAGGTTTTGATATTTTTCCTGTTTTCTCTCTGGTGAAATGCTTCCACTTCTTGTCACTCGATCTTTCACTCACTCCCTCACTCTCCCTTTTTCACTTTCTCCTCCCTCCCTCCCTTCTTCACTCCCCCCTTTTCCTCTCAATTTCCGCCAACCCACCAGCTGATTATCTGCTTTGGCTGCATTGCATACGTGGTGGATAACTATTTCGACATGGGCTTGCAGAAATCATGGGGCGTGGAAAGTGCAGCAACGTTCTACTACATTTGTGGTGAGAGAGGGAGTGAGAGAGGGAGTGAGAGAGGGAGTGACAGAGGTAGTAACAGAGGGAGTGAGAGAGTGAGAGGATGGTGTGTATTGCCAGGGCAGGCATGTGCGGTGAGAGAGTGGTGTGTTGTTGTATCTGCTGATCTGTTCCATTGCCGTCATCCCTTGAGTCCACCCACATCCTACCCACCCCCTTTTGAGTCTCTTTTTCTAATTCACAAAAGTCACTCACATACATCTTATCCCCGTTTGTGACATCTTACGTTACCACACTACCCTTAACCCCACCCCTTGCCCATCTCTTACATGCAGTTTCTTGACCAAGTGTGCTGCTCATGATCGTCTCTTCCTTGTCTCTGTGGGTGTTGGCACCATCGCTCATGTGCCATCACTCTTCCTTCCGCACAATCACTCCGTCATAACGTGTGTTGACCCACCCCCTGGTCAGATCTCCCTTAACCATCTCGTCGTGTCCGTCCATTCCCCTCATGCCTTATCTCGACCAGGCCTGCTGCTCTTCCTTGTGTCTGCCGGCCTCCTCGGTGCCATCATGACATGTGTTGACCGCCGAATTCGCAACGATCTGGCTGCTCCCTGCAGGGACCTGGAAGCCTGCTGCTGCGACCCGCGGTGAGTGTGCTTTTGAGGGGCCTCATGCCTCAAAGATAGACGTGCCATCTCCCTGCAGCGATCTGGCTGCTCCCTGCAGAGACCTGGACGCCTGCTGCTGCGACCCATGGTACGTGCCTGTCTGAGTGTTGCTGATGTGACTGCTCCGGGCCTCTGGGGTTGGCTTCTTGAGTTGTGAAAGGCTTGGTGCAATTCACTTGCGTGCAATCCTCCTGTGTGCAGTACATCGTACAACATCCCTTCCAGTCGATTTCACACACCATTCTTCCATCTTTCTTATGTCATGTACAACACCCCTTCCTCTCTCACTCCACCTTTTCTCGCTCCATCCATCGCTCCTCTCTCCCGCCCTCCTCCCGACCTCTCCCACTCCCAGTGTAGGTTGCTGTAGATATTGCTACATTTGTCCCGGAGGTACCGGCCCGGACTGCTCCTGCTGCCTCCACCCCTGCACTGGCTGTGGTCACTGCTGTGCGGGCACGTGCACTGCGGAGGGATGGCTTTCCTTCATGGTGCTCCTATCGGTCGTGCTGGCTTTTGTGGGGGTGTTTTACTGCTTCCTGGTCTCGATCCTGGTGGGGCAGCGGATTTGGCAGCGGCATTATCACATCCTCGCTAAAAGGATCCTCACTAAGGTACTTGCTTGCTCAACTTCCATATTGCTCGTTCTGGCAAATGCCTGTAGGGTTCGCCTCCTGTATTCTTCCTCGTCCTCCTTGACCCCCTCCTCCTTCCCTCTGTCCATACCGTACCATACCCTCTCCAGGAATTTATCGTGGAGGATTTGGCTGGAATGTCCCTCCCTCCTGATTGGTCGCCACCGCCGCTGCTGCCGGAACACGAGAGGCAGCTCAGGGATCTGCGGCTTCTGTGATTGGGGCAGCACTTGTGATTTTGCGCATGCAAGGTGTTACACGAGTTACTGGGGAGGCACTTGTTTGGAACGTCTCTCCCCCACGATTGGTCACCACCTCCGCTGCTGCCGGAACACGAGAGTCAGCTCAGGGAGTCGCGGCTTCTCCGATTGTGGCGCCTTAAAAATCGGCTCTTCTGTTAATACATGATGAGCTAGCTGCTGAGGGCGTTACTGGGGAGGGGAGGCACTTGTGACCATTCACGCCTGATTGGTCGTCACCGCCGCTGCTGTTGGAAAATGAGAGGCCGCTCAGGGACTTGGGCATTCTCTGACTGTGCACACGCAGCTGTTACATGGGATACTGGTTTTTGAGTCAACTAAAAAAGGCAGCTCATGGATCGGAGGCTTCTCTGAGTGTTCTTGAGATGACGCAACTGCTGCTCCAGCTTGTTCCAGGATGTATGGACATATGGCCAGGAAGTGTAGCTGTAGAGTACAGTGTTACTAGTTGTAGCTTATCTTTCAAAGGCAGACATGGCGAACTTGAACTAGTGTAAAGAAGTACCGAACTAGCACAGCTAGAACCTGTGGTGATGGCTGGTATGGATGCATTGTTCACGAGCTATTACGAGCTAGCCATGCAAGCAGCGCAGGGCACTCTGTAATGATGTGCTCTGAGGTCCATGTGGGGTGCTGCTGCTGGTTGGAAGAGTCAGGTTGCCCACTGTCACCCTGCACAGGGGATGAGAGAACAGCCAAGCTAAGATGGAATGGCACATGATGGCACATGTGAGCAATGATGAATGAATCACGTGCCAAAGGAGACATGGCACGAGCATAACCCTGATATGCATGCTGAGCAGTTCGGGCATACCGGGGGGTGCAACGACAGACATACCCTGGGGTATGTGCTTGTGTTCATTACCTTATTTAAAAAAAGACATACCCTGGAATATGTGCCTGTGTTTCTCACCTTGAGCTGCTGCCGCCACACTGCAGGGCACACCTCCACTATGTTCGTCTTCCGCCCGCCTCCCTGCTTGTACTCGATCCCATCCACATGGGAAAACTTCCACAGCCTCCCCTCTGCCAGCACTTTTCTCACAGTCAAATGCCTGACCGCCCTCACTTGGAATCTGCCGCTCTCTTCACTGCTGCTGCTCCCGCCACTGGAATTCAAGCTGCTATTGGGCGAGAATCCGCTGCTGACATCCGAAGTTGTGCTGCTAGAGTCACATTCCATGCCAGTAACGTCAAAGCCCTTCTGTCCTTCGATCATGAACAATGGAACGCTCACCCCTCCTGGGCTCTGTGGGTCAATCTGTGCTGCTGTCAGGACCTTGTTGAACGCAGCTCCTAGCGCCTCCTGGAAGGGATGCAGGAAGGAGTTTGGGAGTTTTTATTCTTCTTCTTCTTGCTTTCCTTTTTCGTTTTTGCAGCTGACAGGTTGCGTTGAAAGCATGAACCAATTACAAGCGCAGAAAGAAAATAAAGCATGAAAAAAAGGTTATTCTTACCGTCCCAATGTGTCCATGAATGAATGCATGGGTCACTCACATCTAGAGTTGGCAGATGTGTCTCAACTGTCAAGATCAAACGGACATCCACAGCCTTGCCTGGGCGTGCTATTTCAAAGACTCCATAGCGAACTGGAAACTTCTTCACCTGAAGACGCAAGCATCATATTGCACATATTATACACAGCACCTGGCATCTACCTCCAGTACATGAGACGATGTACCGTTCTAGCTCTGACTGTGCGTTCTTTGAGCTCTAAAAAACACGCTGCTCAATCAGCTGATCTCACATTTTTAATGAGAAAGCGTTTTTCTTCAGCGACATATATACAGCTTGCCCTGTAGATAACTCGTGACCAGGTATCAAGCACCTGAGATTTACACGAAACATAAGCGCTCAGCACACGTGACAGCAGTAAGTTGCACGGACAGATTGCATGCGATGGAAAATGTATCACGCCAGTCCGAACTCTTGAGAAGCAGCATCACCAAAAAAGAAGGAAAAGGTGTCAATCTTTGATATTCACCTGAATGTCGTATTTCTCACTGCTTCTGCAAGCCAGACCCGAATCTCCCAAGACCATCTCCTCCAAAGCGCCGTACACGCTGTCAGGGACGTGCGTCTCAAACACCCTGTGAATCGGCAGCTTCAACTGCTGCTCGCTCCCACTCATGTAGTCTTCTAGACGTTGCGCAGAGAAGGGCGGAACCTTGATCAGACGATTTCTGGCGGGAAATAAGCAGGATTCAGTTTGAGAGCTGGTTTTGGAAAAACTGAGATGGAGAGGGAATCAGGTACACTTTAGAATCATAATCCTGGCGTCACATGCATAACACCGTCACTACAGGTTCAGCACAATCTCTATGCACGTACAGTACCTGTTTCCGTGGGCCGAGAACAACAGCTTGCCAAGCCGGACCAGGAGCTTGACCTTCCTGATTTCATTATCAGCAGCTCCCTCTGCTGTCACAGCATAGCGCTGCAATTTCTCTCGGACTAGATGTAGAGACTCCGTCAGAGGCTGTCGAATCGCATTCAGAAATCTCTCCTCTCGCGAATAATCCCTTTTCCCCGCGTTTCCCACGCTTTCCAAGAATTTTCTGCTATCCTTGCGATCACCACCGTCGGTGTCATTCGAACATGAAAGAACCTCGCTGTTTTCCCCGTTCTCGGTGGCTCCAATAGCACCATCCCCATTACGGTCCTCATCACTACCACCATGAAACATCCTTATTACGTCACTTGGATCGTTCTCCCATTTACCCGCGAACCTATCGCTGTTAGCAAGCCAGTCTTCCAGAGTGCCTCGGATTGGTGCTTTGGACAACATCGTAAGGCGACGTTTGCGAAGATAGGGGTAACTGTCGCAACCAAACTGCTCGAAAAACAGCGAAATTCGCCCATCTGGCGCCAGGTTCGCGCTATCGGATCGCCAGTCATCGTAATCATCCACGAGTATTAGGATTCTGGCGTCAGGGGAATGGGTGAGCGGACCGCCGCCTCTCGCGGATAGCTTAAATCGCTGCCTATAGGACTCGTAAAGTGCCATGATAGCGAAAATAATGCGCCAGCAACTTCTTCTGCATACGAAGGCACGCGTTTCGGAGCCTCAGCTCGAAGAAAAAAGATCCATGAGGCTAAAGCGATCCACCGTTTAGCAACAAAGATTCTCGGACGCGGGCGTACAGCCATGGCTTCCTGCTGCAGCCATCCCTTGGAACTAACGAAACTTGGAACTAACCACAAGCTGCCATGAATACTGCTGAGTAGCGGCTCAATCTGAAATGGCTCAGGGAATTGCTGGCATTACCTGTCAGAAATCTCGAGGTGGGCTGGAGAATGAAGCTTGTGCCCCTCGTACATTCTGATCCGATACAAGCGGTGAGCACATACCAGGAACTTGAAAGGACGACGTGAAAGAGTTTGGAAAAAGAGAAGAGTCACACCTTGTGCTGATTGGTTGAAGACCACGTCTTGGAAGTACAATTCGCAGGCATACAGTAAGAAACTTACATGCCTGTTATTGGGTCTTATCTAATTACATGCTCGAGCTTTTGTTCCCTATGGCAAGTGCTCCTGCAGCCAGTTAATGAGGGAGGGACAATCGGCAAGAATGCTGTCTGGAGTCCACTGTGGTGCTGCCTGCTGCAAGCTAGGGTCAAAGCAAGATCCCGCCGAGTAGGCTTTGGGTGAAGGCTCGTCCGGCAGGAAAGAGGGAGAAGGGGCAACAGCCGTACCATCCCTTGCCTCCTGCTTTGTCTGCGTCAGTTGTAGCAGAAATGGCAATGAGAGGGGACACGATGAACAAGGATGAGAACGATCAGATGACAAAGGTGATATACGATTCCCGTTGCACTCACAACTTCAGAAGCGACTCACATTCAAGCAGAACACCAATTCACTTGTGAGGCGCCATGAGCACACAGACGCACACCTACATGCACACGTGCGCACCTTCATGGCATCTTGCCAGGCCAGCAGGGAAAACTCCACTTCATTCGTGAGGCGCCCTCCCCCATGGTCATATTCCACCCCATTCACTCGCGACAGCTTCCACACCTGCCCGCCCGACCGAACCCGCAGCCGCTTCTGATGCCGCACACTCTTCACTCTGAAGCGATGCGACGGCGCTGGTGGTGCTGCTGGTGTGTGGGACGGTGAGCGCGCGTCCTTCATCCCGACGTCAAAGTCGAGTGTGATGGGCCAGTGCAGGCCGCCTTTTCCACTCTCCTCGATGATTGCGGTCGATGCTATGCGCTCACATGCTGACCGGGTGGCATCCTGAGAGTGGGGAAAACAGGAGGTCACATCTGCGTTGACTTAACAGTCGAGCGTGATGGGTCAGTGCAGGCCGCCTTTTGAGCTGTCCTCAATGATTGCGGTCGATGCTATGTGCTCACATGCTGATCGAGTGGCCTCCTGGGTGAGAGGGGAGAAAAAAACGGGGAGAGCACACATACCGCACAGACGTATATCGAGAGCGCAGAGGCGAGTGTCTGTGGAGCGCATGAGGTGGAAGTCAACGGGCTCCAGGAGATGAGCTGCAGGGACATGTGATACCCACACACACACACACACATTGCACACGGACATGTGACAAAAGGATACGTGATACAAGCACTGCACATGCACCATTTCATTCTTACGTCGAGAGCACAGACGCGGGTGTCGGTGGAGAGCATGAGGCGGAAGTCAATGGCTCTGGAGGGGCGAGAGACGTCGATGACTGCATAGCGGAGTGGGTTGTGCTTCACCTGGTGGGGAGTGTGCAAGGCACGAGAGAGCACACAGGGAGAGCATAAGGCGGAAGTCAATGGCTCTGGCGGGGCGAGACACATCAATGACTGCATAGCGCAGCGGGTTGTGCTTCACCTGGGGTAGTGGAGAAGTGGGATGGATGCTTGCTTGATGCCTTGGGAGAGACGAGAAGCAGCTTAGAATGAAACCATTTAAAAAAATTATGAAAAAACCTTTTGCAAGCGTCCATAAAGGATCAGGTGATAAGGAGCAATGAACATGTACGCACACAAGATGAACGTCAAAATTGGTATGCGCAGGAAGAACAGCATATGAAGCACACACACCTTAACGAGGATAACCCCTGAACCATCCGGATCAGGCTTGCATATCAGCTTGTACTCCGTGTCAACCTGTTCCGTGTCTTGTACCTGTAACAAATCAGCAACATGCGGGACAAAACAAGTTCGAAAGGACACGACAAGGACAGAGACAAATGCATGCTTGAACTTCAGCGGACCCATTCTCACTACGTCTCTTGGCATTCCCGAAAATGTTCTGTCCGTTTAGGCTGCCAAATTTTCTCTACCAACCTTCTACCGGCTAGCATAAGGCACATACACGTATAAGGCAACTCTTCTCATATGTCACATGCCCTCACATGCCACATACCCTCACGTGCCACATACCCGTATGTGGTACTTCTCTCTCGTGCATGTGCTGACCCCGTCCCCCGTCATCACAATATTCTCCACGGCTTGGAACAGCGGCTCAGGCATGCCTGTCTCCAGCGACCGATGCACCCTGGTTGGCAGGCGCTGAGCGCGCCTGTTTAGGGTAGATTCCAATGCACCAGCTGTGAACGGCGGTAGGCTGGGGAGGAGCGACCTGAGAGGGGTGAAAAGAGGTTCAGACTGGTTCATATGAGGGGATACGGGGAGCAGGGAAGGAGGAGATGGCAAAGAGCGGCTCTGGCATGCCCGTCTCCAGCGACTGGTGCACCTCCAATCCCTCCCAACCCCTCCAACCTCCCCCTCCCTCCCACAACTCACTCTGGCGATCCAAACGGCGGCCCGAACAGCAGCTTCCCCAGCCGCACGACGAGCTTGCATCGGTCCAAGGTGGACCGCCTGAGCTGCGACTGGGCGGCAAACTCCATCTCCCTGTATACCGCTTCCAACCCCGAGCGAAGCTGCTCAGATATGGCGTCGAATAAGGAGGTCGGGGTAGCGATGGGGGAACCAGTTGGCTGGTTGCTCTCGTTATCAAGTGATTCGATGTGGTCGTATTCAGCTTCTGGAACTCTCGTTAGAAGGGAGAGATTCTGATCCTGTAGGTGCAAGTAGCTCCTCCCTTTGAACGGCTGGAATCTAAGCAGCATCCGGTTGCAGCGACCTTTGCCCCCGTTACAAGCACAGTTGCTGCTGCAAGGTGTTTCAATAACGGAAGATTCTCGCTCGGCATAATCGTCGATTACTGTAGCCAGCACAACATCGCGAGCATTTTTTATCGCAATTTTGTTCGCAACAAGATTCTTGCCTCGGCCACCCGCCTGACCACGGCCTCTGCCTCGGCCTCTCCCGAACCTAATCTCCGAGCCTGCATGGCCTCGACCCGAAGCTGCTGGTGTCGTCCGGGGAGGAGGTTCAGAACCGGAAGTTGTTGCACCAGCTCGCATGTGAGGAGGAACGTACGGCATGGCTGATCCCGACAATTTCTTCGGAAGATTTAAAAATATACTGGGTTTCTCGAGAGCAACTCCGTGAATGAGAATACCTAAACGGAATGGCGTGATCTCAACTGCTGGAGTGGAAGTGGAGGGTTGAGGTGACGCTATATCTCGGCTGGAAATGACGTGAGAAAATGGTGATGGAACAAATCAACTGGTAATTGACGGAGGGATTTGATGAAATCCCAGGCGCATCAACAGAGGAGGTTGCAGAATCACATTTAGCTTGCGCGGCGGAAACTCCAAGTTTGCGATAGTTGGATGGACGGATGGGATGGATGGGATGAATTGCACTGTTTGGCGGCAAGACTTTCGATTGGAGCGGGCGAGGAGTCACCTTGAAGTCATCGCAAATTCACATCTGAAACTCGTTACTGGATGGCAAAGGCTGATGTTCTACATAATGTTCCTCCCAACAATATCTACATAACTTCTACTAGTGGGGGACTGAGATATAAACTCCCGCACTTGTGCTCCGCATTGCCCTTTGTTCTCATTGCACCGTCTCTCAAAATCTCTTACATCCAAGAAGTTAACTCCTGGGAAAAAATACTACCACATTTGTGCACGCTCGCATTGCCAATTCTAAGGGAGGTGCTCCTCCAACCAGGCCATAAGGGCAGGGCAATCAGCGAGAATGCTGTCTGGAGTCCACTGTGGTGCTGCTTGCTGCAAGCTTGAGTCAAAGCAAGATTCCGCGGAGTAGCTTGTAGGCGGGGGCTTGCTTGGTAGGAGGGAAGGAGAAGGAATAGCAGTCATGCCATGACTTGTTCCCGCATTGAACTGCATCAGTTGCAGCAACAATGACAAAGAGAGGGGTGCAAATGAGTGGGGAAACAGTTAGGAAACATGAACTCAATTTCAATATTCGTTGCAAGACCATTTCTAGAACCGTCTGAATTCCCAGGAAGCATGAAATCTAAGTGCACAGATACCTGCACACACATGCACACAGATGCACACGCGTGGACACACATGCACATTGCACACACCCACACCCACACCCTCCCACCAGCATCGCACCTTCATGGCATCTTGCCAGGCAAGCAGGCAGAACTCCACTTCATTGGTGAGGCGTCCTCCCCCATGGTCATACTGCACACCGTTCACTCGCGACAGCTTCCACATCTGCCCTCCTGACTGCACGTGCAGCCGCCTCTGATGCCGCACACTTGTCACTCGGAAACGGTGTGATGGTGCTGGTGCATGCGGTGATGAACGCGCTTCTGTCATGCCAACGTGGAAGTCCGAGGTGATCGGCCAGTGTAAGCCGCCCTTTGAGTTGTCCTCAATGATTGCTGTCGATGCTATGCTCTCACACACGGATCGAGTGGCCTCCTGGTTGTGAAAGGAGCAAGGGGATGAAGAAAGGGGAGGGGGGAGGAAAGGAAGTTGGATGAGGAGCGAGAGGGCTTGAAATGAAAGATGCTGGGTGAACTGGAATCGACACCACTATGCCATGTACACGAAGAAGAGGAAACGCAGGCACAAGTGCACAAGCACATGTCTATGTGTCACAAGCACGTGTAAATACCGGATACGCACATCAACTGAGCAGAGGCGGGTCTCTGTGGAGAGCATGAGGCGGAAATCAATTTCCTTGGCGGGGCGAGATACGTCAATGACTGCATAGCGCACCGTTTTGTGCTTCACCTGTAGAGCGGTGCAACGCAAGGCAGAGCAGAAGTGGGATAGATGGGTGGAAGGAGAGAAGGATAAAGTGCGTGTGGGATGGAAAAGGAATGCATGCACTGAAAAGCAAAAACCAGAGCATTCATGTTCCGCCTATGTAGCGGTATCCAATCAATACTGAATCAGAGTGAAGTGGGTGCGTGAAGGCAGTCACTGGTGATTGCTCACACGGGGGAAACGAGAAAGTGCTTGGAATGTAACTTGTGAGGTGGTAACAACTTAACAAGGGACAGCTTAAAGCACCCAGACAGATGAGGTTTATATGGAGGTAATGTGCACATAACCACATGATAGACGCCATATTTGTAAGAGCAGGGAGCACAACAAGAATGAAACACACCTTAACGAGGATAACCCCTGTGCCATCCGGATTAGGCTTGCACGTCAGCTTGTACTCTGTGTTCATCTGGTCCGCATCTGCTACCTGTAACGGATCAGCAATATGGGGAAAGAATGGCGACGAAGAGAAACAAGTGCATGGCATGGCTCAGCACACTATCTCAAATGTCTCGTTGCATTCCCATAAATGATTTACTGGTCACCCTCTGCCAAACCTGTCTCGACCTGGCTAATGTGACATCACTAGCACAAGCCACATACTCTTATGTGATAATGCCACTCACACGCCACACGTCACATGCCACAACCCCTTACGCAACAATACCCCTCACGGCACATACCCGTATATGGTACGCCTCTCGCATGCACGTGCTCGCCCCCTCCCCCGCCATAGCAATGCTCTCCATTGCCTGGAAGAGCGGCTCTGGCAAGCCTGTTTCCAGCGACTTCTGCAGCCTGCCTGGCAGGCGCCTGTCCTGCACAGGCAGCGCCTGCCAGCAAGTCTGCCGTGGACGCTGGAAACTCGACTCCAATGCGCCTGCTGTGAATGGCGGTGTTCTGGGGAGGAGCGACCTGGGAGAGGGTGAAGAGAGGTGCAGAGAGGTGCGGACACCAGAAGGGGAGATATTGGGCAAGGGCTGATCGAACGGCAGGACATAGAGGCAAGCACCCTTACCCAGGCGCACCACGGGCTTGAACCACCCCTCTCTCGCCTTCGGGGTATATCTGGAACGCATTCGAGAATTCTAAATGTGAGTCATACACAATCATTCTGCTGTCCCCAAAACCCTGTCTGCCCCCCAATCCACCCCCCTTCACCGACTCACTCTGGTGATCCGGGCGGGGCCGAGAACAGCAGCTTCCCGAGGCGCACGACGAGCTTGCATCGGTCTACAGTGGACCGCCTTAGCTGCGACTGAGCGGCAAACTCCATCTCCCTGTATACCGCCTCCAACCCCGCGCGAAGCGGCCCGGCTATGGCGTCGAATAAGGATGTCGGGGTAACGATGGGAGACGAGGCGGAGAGAGAATCAACAGAAGAAGGTACGGTTGCAGAGGACTCGGAAGAAGGGGAATCTCTAGGCGGCTTGGTGGTTTCGATATCTGACGACTCGAAATGTTCGATGTCGGAATCTAGAACTTTGGTCAGAAGGCAGAGGTTTTGATCCTGCAGGTGGACGTAGCTCCTCCCTTTGAACGGTCGAAATCTAAGCAGCATGCGGTTGCAACGTCCATTCCCCCCATTACAAGCACAGTTGCTGCTGCAAGATGTTCCAATAACGGATGATTCTCGCTCAGCGTAATCGTCGATTAATGTAGCCCGCACAACATCGGAAGCATTTCTTATTGAAAGAATGATGCCTCGGCCACCCGCCTGACCACGGCCTCTGCCTCGGCCTCTCCCGGACCTATTTTCCGAGCCTGCATGTCCTCGACCCGAAGCTGCTGGCGTCCTCCCCGGAGGAGGTTCGGAACCGGAAATTGTTGCACCAGCTCGCATGTGAGGAGGAACGTACGGCATGGCTCGACCGGACAGCTCTAGATTAAACAGCGGCTTTTCCACAAAAAGACACTGATATTCTGGAAAGCGAGTAAGTGAATTTCCTACATGGAACGCTTTGATCGTTAGTGCTCGGCAGGGAGACAGGCGGACGAAGTGAAGGGTCGGAGTGACAGCGGTGGTTTGTCAAAAGCAAGTTCACAGGATGATGAGCTGAAGGGACGAGCTCGACATGCATCTCCCAGATTGAATGCGCGGTCTCTGTTGGCGGCAAGGCTTCTGATTGGAGCAGGGAAAGAGTCACCTTGAAGTCATCGCGCTGATTTTTTTAGCAAATTCGCTTTTGTACGGAACTTGTAATGTTTTTGTGTGAGAAATAACTATTGCTGCCTTTCGTCCACCATGTCTCTCAGCTCCTGGAAGGGCATGCATTAGTGGGAGTACCGTATGTACAACGTTCTTCACATGCTATATATATACACCCCCAGGATTTAACCCAGTGGAAAAACTTCAAAATTGAAAATTATACCAAAATATTGAGCTTAAGCTAGCATCCACAAACCATTAAGGCAAGTGCTCCTGCAGCCAGTGAACGAGGGCGGGGCAATCGGCAAGAATGCTGTCCGGAGTCCACTGTGGTGCTGCCTGCTGCAAGCTCGAGTCAAAGCAAGATGCCGCAGAGTAGGCTGCAGGTGAACTACTCGTGCTGTTGCTTGGGCCTTCATGGCCCTGCATTGAAACAACACAAGCCAAGCCAACCACGAGAGGGAGGGAAAAATACCAGGGAATTCTTCGGCATCAAAAGACGCCTAGCATGTAACACCTTATTTCTGAGAGCATGAGCGGCCTTGCAGCTGAGAGAGAAATAAAACAGACCCATTCCCCACATCCCACCTTGGTTGTCTCCCGACATGCCAAGGGGCACAGGTCAATCTGGTGCTTCAGGCTGCTCCCAACCTGCTCCGCTACCAGCCCCTTTAATCCGTGTAAACCTCCACCGCACTGCACTGCATTAAACCTCGACACCAGAATGTGCACCACGGAGAACCGCTCAACCAGGACGCTATGATAGGAATGTACCGTCTACTTCCACCCTCGTCCCAACTCTCTCACCTTGCTTGTTTCCCGCCATGCCACAGAGCACAGGTCAATCTGGTGCTTGAGGCTGCTCCCAACCTGCCCCGCCACCAGCCCGTTTATCCGCGCCAGCTTCCACAAACGTCCGCCCGACTCCGCCCGGGACTTGTCCAAATGCCAACAGCCCATGACTCTGAAGCGACTGGATGGCGAGGATGAGACTGATTGGGAGGAAGGAGCAGGAGGGGAAGTGGGTGCTGTTGCTGCTGCTGATGGTGGTGATGGTGATGATGGTGCCGCTGAGGACGAGGAGAGAAGGGTGGTATCGAAGCCAAGGGTGGTGTCTGGCCAGTGAAGCCCCCCTCTTGCACTCCTGTCGATGACTGCTGTGGATGCTATGCTCTCACAGGCGGACTGGGTGGCGTCCTGAGGAGGAGGGAAGGGGGAAGGGGAGCAGTGGGGCGGGGAGCAGTGGGGCGGGGAGCAGTGGGGCGGGGAGCAGTGGGGCGGGGAGCAGTGGGGCAGGGGAGCAGTGGGGCGGGGAGCAGTGGGGCAGGGGAGCAGTGGGGCGGGGAGCAGTGGGGCGGGGAGCAGTGGGGCGGGGAGAGTGACATTTCAGTCAGTGGTGGTGTCTGGCCACCAGGCCCCCTCTTTCAGTCCGGTTGATGACTGCTGTGAATGCTATGCTCTCACAGGCAGATCGAGTGGCGTCCTGGTTGATAGGAGGGGGGTGGAGAAAGGAATAGGAGAGAGGAAAAGGAGGAGGGATGTAAGGAGGAGGTATGTGAGAGGACGGATGTGAAGAGGAGGAATGTGACAAGGAGGGATGTAAAGAGGAGGGATGTGAAAAGGAGGGATGTGAAGAGGAGAGATGTGAAGAGGAGGGATGTGAGCAGAAATTGGGATGTGAGGAGAGAAAGGGATGTAATGCAGGGAGGAGGGAAAGGAACACTACATCTATCACACACACGTCACATGCACATGGAGGGAGCAGAACATCGACTCTTTCAGCAGCAGCAGGCGACTTTTAAGTTGCCTTAAAAGTCACCACCGGCACAATCGAGGGACATGCTGGGGCAGACATACGCACATCGAGGGACATGCTGGGCCAGACATACGCACATCGAGGGACATGCTGGGCCAGACATACGCACATCGAGGGAGCAGAGCCGTGAATCTCTCAGCAGTAGCAGGCGGAAGTCAATGCATCAAGAGAGTACATGCATGAAGCACCATAAGGGCAAGAGGGCAAACGCACGTCGAGGGAGCAAAGCCTTGACTCTCTCAGCAGCAGCAGGCGGAAGTCAATGGCGCTGGAGGGGCGAGCGATGTCAATGACAGCGTAGCGCACCCGAGTTGTGCTTCACCTGGTGGGGAAAAGGGAAAAGATTCAGCTCACAAGAGAAAACCTCAAACATGGAGAGCTTTAGGGATGACATGGAGGCTTTGGAGTGATGGAGTGATGTGAGAAGGAAAAAAGACAGAGCTTTGACTGTTGACATAACAGTGACGAGTGGTAAGCATATAACTGAGGCGCACCTTAGTGAGGATAATTCCAGAGTTGTCAGGGTTAGGAACACAGATTAGCTTGTACTTGATGTCCAACTCGGTGTCTGCTATCTGTTGCAAACAAACGGCAGAAAAAAAGGGCAAATTGCGTTTCAGATCATATTTCATATTTGTGTACAGTGTCAATCACTGTTTCTCACAAGGGGGGAGGAAACTGTCAAGCAAACTTGGGTGCTGCAGACAAGGGCAAGAAAATACAAAGAGGTGACTTTTGTGTCGACTCAACAGTCCACCTCTACCCAGGCATAGTTTTGAGGCGCCTCAAAACTCGACTTTTGTGTCGACTCAACAGTCCACCTCTACCCAGGCATTACCCAGATGTGATAGCGCGATCGACCCAGGGTGGTGTCCGGCCAGACCAGCCCCCCTCTTGCACTCCTGTCTATGACATTACCCAGATGTGATAGCGCGATCGACCCTTGTATCGAATATTCCCTGTGCCTCCCTCTGTGGCCATCCCTTCCAGTGCATGAAAGAGGGGCTAAGGCAGGCCCGTGTCATATGAACGGAAGACAGACACAGGAAGGCGGGACACTTGCCTGTTGACGTGCGACTCAAACGCGCCTGCTGTGAAGGGCGGGAGGCTCGGAAGGGATCTGGTGGGTGGAAGGGACGGTGGGGGGAAAGGGGAGCATGGGGATTGGATTACCCAAACAAGGCAGAGAGGCCGATCCTTGTATTGAGCGTTCATCATCCGTGTCAGTGCATCAAAGAGGGGCTGAGGCAGACCCGTGTCATATAAACAGAAGACAGGCACGGGAAGGCGGGACGCGTGCCTGTTGACGTGCGACTCAAACGCGCCTGCTGTGAAGGGCGGGAGGCTGGGGAGGGGGCTGATGGGAGGAGAGAGGAGCATAGGGAATGAGGGTGGGGTGAGGGGGCGGTAGAAGAGAGGCGGTGGGTGGATGCTGACGTGTGATGGGTAGAAAAGGGAGGGAGCTGATCAGGAGGAAGCATGGTGGGGGAACGAAAAAAAGGAGGGCGGGAAGGGGGGAGAGGCGCGAAAGTGGAGTTGAATAGGGGGTGGTAGAATTATGGAGAGAGATCGTTGATGAATTAGCCTTGCAACAGGAGTGAAATGCGAATGAATATCGGAGAAGGATATCGGCTACCCACCGGCAAGAGAGAAGGATAAGCCGACCGGGAAAAGCTGCTAGAAGAGTTTGCTTCAATAGAAATAAACATCAGCTTTCTCGTGCCACCCACACGGGGTCTGAGGAAACCCAAGGCCTTGCATCCCAATGCAAACCCATGAGTTGCTATTGAGGTGCCTTCGAAATTCACTGCCTCTGAGTACTCTCACTCAAGGCCCGCATCCCAAGGCTGACCCATGCCTGAAATCTTCGAGTCACGGACCTGAGAAGTGGAAGTCTTTGATTGATCTTCACATCAAGTACCCGAGGAAAAGAACACCCTTCCTTGATCTTCACATCCAGAGACTTACACGGGTACTGAGGCCTTCCAAGACGGGGACAGCAGCAGCTTCCCCAGCTTCACCATCAGCTTGCACCGCTCCACCACTCTCGCCCTTCTCCTTCCTCGCTCTGGCACGAGCTGTATATCCCTGTGAGCGGCCTCTAGTGCCCTGGCCAGAAGGCCTACTAGGGTGTCGGATAAGGAGGTTGGAGGAGCGGTGGAGAGGGGTGAGGAGGAGCTGGTTGGATTAAAGGTCCGGGAATCAGATGGCGAATCAGAGGGCGGATCAGAGGTGGGATTTGATTCGGGGTAAGAGGTAGCAGAGTCTGCAGCTGATTCGATATCGTCACGCGGAACCCGTGCTAGAATAGCGAGATTTTGATCCCAGTCGCGCTGTTGAGAACTATTGTGAAACTGCTGGAATCTGAGAACCATCCGCCAGTTACACCGAGACTGGCCCCCGTTACAAGCACATTCGGCACTGCAGAGGCCTCCCGTTACAGATGAGCTTCGCTCGGCGAAATCGTCAACTAGGGTGCAGCAAACAGCATCAGGAGAGTTTTTTATCGAGATCTTCTTTATGGCGGGTTCATTGCCTCGGCCTCCTGCCGGATACGTGCGACCTCTTCCTCGACCTCTTCCCCCGAACCTGTTCTCCGAACCTACTCCCGAGCTTCGATAACCTAGGTTTGGCGCCGCCGCTGACGGACCAGCAGGTTCGGCTGCGGAGCTGCTCGCGGCGACTCGGCGATGCGGAGGGACGTACGGCATGGTGAGAGGCGAGAGAGGGAGGCTCTTGCGTCCCAATGAAATCGGACGGAGGGGATGGTGGAGGACGGGGAGACGTACAGATAGGTGATTGAGAAGCAGAGGAGGGTAGGCCGTCTATGGCGGAGTTCAGCAGGCATGCCACACTGAACAGAACAGAATGCTGCTAGCCGCGATTCGGAATCGAGTTTCTGACCCATCCCCGGTATAGGGTTTCCGCCTGTGTTTTTCAAGCTCTACATCTAAATTGTCTTCAGGATTGTCTACCTATACTTTTCAACTGTCATGGTAGGTCAATGTTGCTTTTCTGACTGACAGTAGGTAGACACATTCCACGGATCTAGCTCTCCTCACCAGCTGCTTCCAACATCTCTTGAGAAACTGTTAATTGTAACCGACGGATGGTTGACACGTATTACTGTTATTTATTCATGATGAGGCCACTTCTACAGTGCCTAGCACTTCACACCAGCAGCTTCCAACATCTCTCGAGAAACTGAACCTGCCTGCACTGCTGCTGCAAGCTCCCTCCTGTTGCTCTCATTCCCTTCCACCAGACACCTCGCAGCATAACCCACCCATTCCTTAATACCACCACTACCCCCACCAGGCTCTGCAATTATCTGTCTCAGAACCAGCACAAGACCAGAGACATCCCCATCTGTTCTTTCCCCTGTACATTTATACATTCTGACAGCGTCTTGATACGCTGGTCGGCGGTGACACGCGTTTGCAAGCACCGACACCAAATCAGATCGATATCCTGGATATGCTTCCTCCTTACTCTGCCCACTTGAACCTCCAGGCAGACTCACACCCTGGAGGAGATCCAGCAGCATCAGGATGATCTCGGACCCTCCGATCGCAACAAAAGCATCCTCGGCCGTTGATTTAGAGTCTGCAGCTTGTCCTCCTCCTGCTGCTGCTGAGGTTTCTGCAGGGGTGGCGTCTGAGGCTACTGGATGGGAGGTGGTGGAGGGCTCTTGGGCAGCAAGAACGCGGAGGCAGCGGAGGGAGAAGCAGAGCACAAGCTGCAGACACGTGAAGGACGTGGAGGAGGACGTGAGCGCCTTGCTGCCAGCCTCCTCCCGGGCCTTGCCCAGACCCACTGCTGCGTTTCTGCATGCCGTCAGAAGGAACTTGAGAGTCCCGGGTCCTATATCAGGCAGCCCATGCACCTGCCACCTTGACCCAGGCGCCACAGGCTCCTCTGATGCATTATCGCCCTTGGAGTTCCCATCATCCTCGTTAGAAGCAGAAGGCAGGTCGATGACTGGGATCCCCCTCGCTTTTGCAGTGGCGTGAAGAGCGCCCCATAGGACCCACAGCAAGGCAGCTTGTTCCGGGCAGAAAAGCCCTCGGACCTGCCCGAGGGCAGGGCGCGGCGAGAAGTTGGGAAGGTTCTTGAAGACTGGCTCGAAGTACCGCGCGCGCAGGCAGAGCCTCTCAATTAACAGACCCAACCACTCGTCCATTCCGTTGGAGGCAGCGTCCGGGAGAGCTGCGCAAGAGGGGCGTGGAATGGGCGCAAAGAAGGTAAAGAGGGAGGTAATGCGTACACAAGACGGACGCCAAAATTGTATGAACAGGAGCGCAACAAGACAGGTGCACAGAGGAACAGGGACGAGCAGAGGCAAGGATGGAGAGAAAAGAGGAGAATAAGGAAACGAGGGGCGCGGAGATAGGGGATTTCTGCCAGTTTCAATAAAGAGCTGTGTGGAGACGGACGGGAGAGATTCTCAGCAGCACACGACAAGACATACCTGAGAAAACAGCCCCACCGCAGCCGCCATCCCGCCCCTCCGCACGCGCAACGAGCGCCTCCCCTTGCGCCCTGAGCGCGCCCGCGAGCAGCGCGACCCCGTCCATCGATCCCCCCAACCCGTCGACGTGCTTGGGCACGGCGCGGCAGCACGTGAAGAGCACCATGCAGAGCGGGCGCTGCACCGCGGGGGAGCGCACTGTGGCGAGGCGCGAGAAAGTGCCGGGGAAGCAGCGGTCCCACACTGCCGTCTGGTGGAGCTCGCCCGCGTTAGCAAAGTTGCCGATGACCTGCGGATGCGGACACACGCGGACGGGTGCGGATAGGACATGGGGGGGGTCGGTACAAGACAGGGGGATCTCAGGTGAGAAGAAGGCACGGGAGAGAGAAGGGACGAGAGAAACGGAAATGGAGGCGGAGTAGCGTGGATGTGAGGCCCCTTAGTCAAAGAAGTCAGGTGCACGAATAAGTAAGCACCCGTTCGTGCCAATGGGTCCACTTGGATTCAATTTAGCATCCGCGTATAGGCGTGCGTGGCATGAGACGAGCCAGCCGCTTTAGTCAGATGCATCGCGACAACGATCAAGAAAAAAAAAAGAGAAAACGAGAAGAAATCACCCAACAACATGAATCGGCCTGAAGTGAACTGAGGAGAGGGAGAGGAAGGGGAAGGAGGACGGGGGACGGGGGGTGGGGCGGGGAGGGGGAAAGGAGTGGGGCAAGTAAGGGAGCAGAGAAGAGCGTCGAAAAGTACAGGCCCTCACCTGGAGCACTGCCTTCAAGGCATCCACGTGATCTCGAGGCAGGTCGATCTGCAGCGCCAGGTGCAGCACGGACGGCGACGCAGGCGGCAGCAGCGACGAATAAAACATGGGCGACATGGGGGTCATCGGGTTACCCGATCCTCCTCCCGCCATCGGCGAGCCTTGCGCGAGAGCCGCTGCGCCGCCCGCGGGGGAAGCCGCGCCGGGGAGAGCGCCGAACGACGCGGCGGAAGGGGAGAGGAGGGGTAAAGAGAGCGTTCCGGTGCCCTTCCTGTTGATGGACCGTTTCCGCCTATGGGCTGCGTTAGCTCCCCCCGCAGAAGCGGCTAAAGCGGGAGGACGGTTGAGCATGCGCGCGGAAGGCGCGGAAGAGGAACTGGTGGCGGAAGCGGAAGCAGATGCGGGTTTTGAAGACGAAAGTTCGTCAGATGTGCTGACAGAAGACGCTGCGGCAGAAGCAGCTCCGCTACCCACTTTCAGCCTTGCAAGCTGGGAAGCCACTTGGGTCGAGTCTTCACTTGCATGTTGAGAAGTGTCAGGTCCCGATGCTGGTTGATCAGCAGCAGGTGCTGCAGAGACATTGGCGGTACCGCTTGCTGCAGCGAGATTTCCGCCGGAAGGAGTGGTGCCTGGCAGCGGGGTTTGGAGGACGATGTGACTCGATACAAGCCGGTCCGCGATAGTAGCTACAGCGTCCAGAGCACCGCATTGTAAAAACGCGTTTTGATTCGTGGCGAGGCCGGCGAGCAGGTTCCGAATAACTCGAAGAACTTCCACCAACGGTCGGATTGCTGGTTGTGCAGCAGCGATACCACTGGATCCTGGAGCATCGATAAGCTCGGATGCAGCAATAGTAGCCGCTGATGTTGATGCTGACGGCTCATGTAGATCTGGATCTGCGGAAATAGACCACTCAGTGGAAAGCCGGTCAATGAAACTTGAAGATGCAGATCCTTGACATCCGTCCACAGCCGACGGTCCAGATACGTCGCTGGATCGTTGAAGACCGTAAAGCTCGGGACAATGCCGAGAAAAATCAGGAAGAAGGTTAATCAATCGCGTAACGGCAATCCCGCCGGCGACGTCTGCGTCACTCTCCAGCCATGTCCGGTCCTTGGATTTTAATAGGAGATCAGAAATTACTCGCTGCAACGGATCTAAAGATTCAAGTTTTCCATCGGCAAATTGAGGAGCAAGCTGTTCGATTTCCGAAAACAGATCCTCCGACATGGCAGCTGCTGCATCAACGCAGGGCGAACCTTCACGTGGAACTAATCAAAATCCACAAAAAAAAAACGAAAACGGATCAGCAAACTTAGGTGAGAAGAACTATGCGAGAAATTTAGTAAGATACTGTATGTACAAGCGTTCCAGCATTGCTGGTCGGTGATGTTTTGAAGAAAACCGTTTCACTAGAGAAATTAATGGCTGCTATCCTGCCGCTGCTTCAGAAACAGTGCTTCTGCTGGTTGTGAAATCTGGAGAAACAGCCAGCCGTCGGCTGAAAAGAAATGGCTTTCCTCCGCTCTCCACCCACCCCCGCTTCCCGAATCCCGACCTTCCTGAAAAGGTTATCCACGCAGATCGGTTGTTTCGAGGGTGTGGGAGGTTCCGTGTGGTGAGTAAAATACAAGGAATGTTAAGTGTACTGCTTCGTAACAATCTCTTATACACTAATACTAGTGCGCGATTATTTCGACCAATGTTGATTGATTTGATTTTTTTGGAACAAATATGCCTTTTCATTTATTCATGAAGTAATAATAAAACAAAATCGTATGACATTATCAATTTGGTAAATCATGAACTTCTGAAGTGTATACCAGCAAGGCAGTACACTACAGTGCTTATGTAGACAATGTCTGCCTGTCCAGCACTGCATCAAGCGTCGATTTCGCCTTGCTGGCCATTTGGCTGTGCGTCCCTCCCTCCCTCCCAATCTGCTGCCCTTGGTGTGGTTGCACCTAACCTGGTTGGCGTCTCCCCCTTCTCCTCCCACCCATTCATCCATCACCAACCAACGTAAGGCCCAACCCCCAATCAAATCGCTACAATTCACTCTGGGCAGGCAGCATATTTCCGCTGCAGTCAAATCCGCTTGCCTGGCCGTTCCATTGGACGGTCCTCCTGCTCAACTCACCTTCCAATTTCCTTTCCCTCGAGCAGCTCAACCATTTCTCAGGGCAAACGGGGTCACGGAGACCTGCTGCCGCCATTCTTCCGTTCCGTCAACGTCTCCGTCGCCCGTCCAGCAGCCTGCTGCCATCCTGGAGATCTATCTGTTGTGGCAGTGTTCGACAATACCAAGGGACCAACAGACAGACAGTGAGATAGCCCAACGGCGTTTGCCATGGACTGCTAAGCCCCGCCATTGGACAAACTATTCACAGCCTTGCCATTCAACCACCATTTTTATTATCCTGGCATTACGCATAGCTGAATTCGTGAAATTCGTTGTATCGCTTATAGGTTCTGCGTGAGACGTTCCTCAATGCTACTTGCGTGGTTGAAAAGCAGAGTGTTGCGGAGACTCTTTGGCTACTCGCCATTGCCATTAGCTATCCAGATGGCAGGATTTTTTCTAGTCTTGCAGTTACGTTTATGTTGTGTAGAGATGCACGTCGCATAACGGAGCTATATCTTTCTGGTAAGGTTACGCACCTTGCAATCACAGCAGGTTATTAGTCTGAATCGCGATACCGAAAGAGGAAAAGCTACCCGTCGCGACGCGCATTCAGCTATCATGGCTTACCACCACAGCTTAATCTTCGGCCTTGGCGGGATTCCGTTGATGAAATCGTCAACGGTCACAAACGCCGTCAACGACAAAGAGAACAAACCAGGCGGGTTACCAGAACCAGTTCTCGAGCTCGCGAAAAGAGTGTACTATAACACCATTCCCGCATCGCTTAGCTTGACCGGCGGCGGAACCATCGGCCGGAGCGGCACCGGAACGATCGGTAGACGGAAGAAGACCAAGAAAGACCAGCTGGGGTTTCCGCCGACGAAACCTAATCGATGCGTCGAAGAAGCCAAGTTCCTGTCGATTGAGGCTGCTGCCGTCATGCGGAAGCTGCTGTGGCTGTGGTCCACGATCAGCCCTGAACAGATCGAACGGCTGCGGACGAGTCTCCAGGTATGCGAATACAGGACGCGTAGCCATGTGTCAGGCAACCCATTCATGTTTGAGGTTTCTATTTCCTCTGCATCTTCGCGCATTAACACGTACATCAAGCGAAGTGAAGAATCTGGATGACAATCAATTTCATATTTGGCGGGAGCTGCTGCTGTCAAGGATTGAATCACGCACTTGTGGACTGGCGAATGCGCATTCATGGTCAATGGTTCGTTCCCGCTGAATGGGTGTAGGAATGTGTGTCTGAATGCGCCAATGTATCCGCGATAAAGGTTACGCACGCGTCCATCAATGCACCCATGATGGTCACACATATTCGTCGAGAATGCACTCTTTCATGCGTCCATCCATGCACCTGTGAGCAAATCCACTCATTTGCGTGTGCGTGCGTGCATCAATGATGTCAACAGCACCCCTTAATGCCGTAACTCACCCAATCACATTCTCTTTCATGCCTTGACTTTACGCATCTTATCACGTCCCCTCACCCTCCCCCCCCCCCCCCAACCCCACCCCGCACTCATTCCACTCCCTACCCTCTCTCTCCCCCTTCTCCCCGCTCTCCCCCCACTCTCCCCTCTCCCCCACAAACCCTTTCCCGCGCGCCCGTGTGTACGTCACACCCTCTCCAGTAGTACAAGGTTGTGTTCATGTACGTTCGTCCTTTTCCCCCAACCCCACTCGCACCCACTCCGCTTACTCTCCCCGTCTCCACTTACCCCCCTCTCTCCCCCTTTCCCTCCCTCACCCCCGCACGCCCGTGCGTCCCTCACACACCCATCTCAGGAGGACAAGGCTGTGCTCACGTACGTCTGCCCAGACCCCGCGCACCTGTGGACCCTAGCAGGTACGCTTCAGGAATGATCCAGGCGTGCCTCTCCCATCATAGTTTCGTTGCATCAAATCTTACTCCTCCCCCCCGCCTTCCCCCCCCTCTCCACCCCCCAACCGGCGAATGCCGCCACTTCCCCCCCAAACGCCCTGCTGTTCCCGTTACCCCTGAATGCCACCCTCGCCCCCCCTGAATGACATCTCTTAAATGCGACCCCTGATTCCGCGAATGCCATTTTTCCCTCCTAATAATCAACCCTTTTCCCCCTAATTGCCATCCCCGTTCCTCATTGCTCCCATCATCCCGTCCCGCATTGCCTCAACACCCCCATCAGGCTTGGAGCTCATGAGTGCGTTGTGAGATTCTGAAATCCTCTCCAGAATCTCCAGGTGATGGGGATTCTGGAAAGGATGAGTGTGGCGGCCATGGGCCTCAAGTGTACAATAGTCGAGTGCAGATATCCCCCTGTCATTCCTGAATCCTAATTGCCTCAACACCACCTTCAGGCTTGGAGCTGATGGAGGTCTTAGAGAGGATGGGCGAGCGCGTGGCGGCGATGGGGCTCAAGTGCGGGGATAGGCGACTGCACCAGCTGGCGAACGTGTTTGGGGAGATGCGGCACCCCGAAACCGTCTTCTCCCACTTCAGACTCGACGCGCACGAGCAGGAGACGCTCTTCTGGTGAGACGCTGTTTTCATGAGACGCCGTTCTGGTGAGATGCTCTATGCCGAGGACTGCAGAACAGGTTTATGCTGCATGTGTGAGGGAGGGGCCAATTCTCAGGCACCCAACAAAGGAGCATGATACAATCTTCTTTTCCCACTTCAGGCTCGACGCTCACAAGCAGGAGGAGACACTCTTCTGGTCAGTCGCTCTATCCGTAATGTATGTATGTACGTGCTGTGGTGGTCAGCAGAACTCTGTTACAAGTGTCTAATACCATTCCACAACCAGCCCTGCTCGTAGCCCCGCCACTGTTCCGTTCCGCCTCCCCCCGTGTCCTTTTGCAGCTTTGTGCTGGAGGAGGTGTAGAAGCAAGCAAGGGGAGATGCGCACGCAGCTGCATGGTGTTTGAATTGCAGTGGTCGCCGCTGTGTCCACGTCTGGAATGCCTTGTCCGCAAATCCCTTCCCCACTCCCCCTTCCCCATGCGTGCAGCTTCATGCAGGAGGAGGTGGAGAAGCTGGGGGACGTGCGCAGTTCCATGGAGCGACTCAACACTCTGCGCTCGTTGCTCAGGTGGGGGTGGAAGCTGAGAACGTGTACCATGCACAGCGTTGCCATGCCGCAACCTTGCCATGAGATGTCCTTGCCATGCCATGCCATGCCCTTGCCGTTCCTCTCACCCTTGCCGTGAAATCCTTGCTTTCTCTTCGCTTCCCACAGGAAGAAGAAGCCTGCACCGGCCACAAGTCTTCTGTCTGAGCTGCAGGCCGCCTCAGCGTACGTCTCTGTGCCTCCCCGTTCATTGGGTGTGTTCCTTCGTGGGTTACTAGATCTTGATGTGCGTCTCGCTGTGCAGTCCCACTGTTACTCACGCCTCTACTGCGCTCTCCTCCGTCCCTCCTCCGTCTTGTTGCTGTTCTTTCGCACACTCTCCAACACTGCTTCTATCCTCCTCCCCCCCTTCTCTCCAACACACCCACCGACCCACCACCTCACCTTCCCATCCCTATGCACAACAGGGATGCTCTGAGCGATGGCGAGGGCAAGGAGGCAGAGAAGGAGGGTGACTCGTCCTCTGAAGAAGCCAAACCCCCACTACTCCATGCCCCTCACATGCCCCCCTCATTATCCCCCCTCCCACCACACGCCGCCACACCTTCCCATCCCTATCTACTCAACAACAGAGATGCGTTGGCCGATGGCGAGGGCAAGGAGGAGGCAGAGAAGGAGTGGGACTCGTCCTCTTGGCTGTCATATACCTCCCACCAATCCAACCGAATCCCCTATCCCCTTCCCCCCCCTCCGTCCCCCTCTTCCCCCCTCCCCGACACCCATCACGATGCACAAAAGTGACGCCCTGGGCGATGGCGAGGGCAAGGAGGAGTCAGAGAAGGAGGGAGACTCGTCCGCGTGGATGCCTCGCTGCGACCTGCCAGGAGCAGAGGAGATTCTCAAACTGGTAGGTCACTGGGTTGGTGGGGTGGGGGGGGAGAGGGGGGCCAAGGAGGGAAGAGGCAGAGAAGGAGGGTGACTCGTCCGCATGGATGCCTCGCTGCGACTTGCCTGGAGCCGAAGAGATTCTCAAACTGGTACGGTTACCTCGTTACCGTCTGCCCGTGCAGCATCTTGAACTATCGGCTCATTGATGCTCATAGCAGCCTGTGTTCCATTTTTGCTGAATGCCTCTGATTAGTTAGTCCTCACTTCATCCTCCACATCTCTTTCCACCCCCTTTTTACCCCTTTCCACCCATTTTATTCCCGAATTTTCCCATGCAGACAGCAACGATATCAGAGCTGCAGAGCCGGTGCCTGTGGTCTGTTGAGCTGGACCATGTTGTGCGGGTGAGTGCAGTCTGTGTGGGCATTCATGGGTAGAGCAGCAAAACACATCTCATGGGACGAGAATGGAATGGACCATGCAGTGAGCTTGAGTCAAGAATGCAGTAGGCAGAGTGCCAGGCATCCGTACTGAGTTGATATTGTGATTCTGCATCCCACCATACCATCCGACCCCGCCCAACCCCACCAGCTGTTGGTGCTGGCGATCATCCTCCTGAGGGACAGAATCATATCAGTCTTTGCCATCAACGCGCGCTCCTCCGACGCCTTGACTCGCGAGGGCTCCCTGGGCCGCGCTGGGCTGGCGCTGCGCTACGCCAAGGTCATTAATCTAGCAGAGAAGCTCATGAAGTACCCGTTCATGGCTGCTGGCAGCACACGGTGGGTGCAAAGTGTACATGGGTTGAGTGCATACAGCCTGAGTGATTGTAGCAAGCACAGTAGCAGTGGGCTGGCGCTGTGCTACGCCAAGGTCATCAACGTGTGGATATACCCCAAGCTATCACATGACCTGGCATCCCCACTTCACCTGACACTTCCTCAAGGCGCCACTATCAGGCCACAGGTCCCCCAATAGTCTGTGTGGCAGCCTGCACACGGATTTGACGTATTAAATATTGCTTATGAATGGGGGGAGAATGATGGTAATGGCGTGGTTAGATGATGGCGTTTCGAGAAGGCAGCAGGTTAAGGGCTGATGCCAGATCGTGTAGCAACTTGGGATACTCCAAAGATTCCCTTTTCCCACTCAACCCCTTCCACGTCTTTTCCTCCCACTCCTAAAGATAAGCTGCCCCATGGCCTCAAACATAACAGCTGCCCCATGGCCTCAAACATGACAGCTGCCCCATGGCCTCAAACATAACAGCTGCCCTATGGCCTCAAACATAACAGCTGCTCTGCTTTCCCCTCCCCCCTCACTACCCCCTTTTTCCCTATTTCCCTGTGTCCAGAGACGAGCTGTACGGCCTGCTGACCTACAGCACAAAGAAGGACCAAGAAGGGCATTATCCTGGCTTTAGCTCCCTCTCCCCCTCCCCGTATTCTGTCTCCCCCCATCCAGGGACGAGCTGTACGGCCTCCTGACCTACAGCACCAAGAAGGACCTCGCCCTGCGGCTATCCCATCCCAGCTTTAGCGTCGCTGCTTGTTTCCCCTCTTGCATTTCTTACTCTTGTGTCTCCCCATCCAGAGACGAGCTGTACGGCCTCCTGACTTACAGCACCAAGAAGGACCTCGCCCTGCGGCTCTCCCGGCCTGTGACCTCCTCCAAGAGCAAAGAACCCAAGGCAGAAGAAACCGCCGACACGCACACAGGGAAGGGCGCTGGCAAGAAAGGGGAAAAGAAGAAGGATGGAGATGAGGATGAGGAGGATGACGATGATGATGATGATGATGATGATGATGGGTTTACTTGGTTAAAGAAACCTTGTCCGTTCAATGACCCGCGCGGTCTGGGTGGGAAAGGAGGAGCGGGGAAGGACGGGGAGGAGGAGGACGACGAAGATATGGAGGAGTGGGAGAGGCGGATGCGGAAAGCGTTGAGTCTGCTGCCTCTGCTGGCGCAGCATACGATTGCATGGAATGATGCCATCACTGTGAAGCCGTCGTCGAACCGCAAGGCCACTCGCCTGCTGAGAGTTCAGGTGAGGAAACAGTTTTTGAGGAGACAGGTCTGCTGCCTCTGCTGGCGCAGCACACGATCGCTCGGAACGATGCCATCACTGTGAAGCCATCGTCGAACCGGAAGGCAACACGTTTGCTACGAGTGCAGGTGAGGAGACAAACAGTTTTTGAGACGCCTTGAGAGTAAGGTTGAGCTTTCTGCCTCTGCTGGCGCAAAGCACACGATTGATTGCAATGGAACTGTGAAGCGGTCTTCGATCCGCAAGGCGACACACTGCTGTTTGTTGCATCACTTTCCCCCTTCCCGCTCCCCAGGTTCTGTTCTGTACCACGCGCACAAGGCTGTCTTCGAAGCTTCTCTCCTCGACGCCCTGCCCTGGTCTCAAGGGGCGCACTTTCACACTGCACACCCATCCACCCACCCAACAACTGCATCCGTTTCCCCTCCGCCCCTTCCCCCCCCCCCTCCAGACGCTGTACTACCACGCACAGAAGGCAGTGATCGACGCCTCTCTCCTCGACCCCCTGGAGGGCTTGTCTCGCCTCGTTGCCTCTGACGCCTCCAACCTCACACAGCTCAACTCCCGCAAGATGGAAGCCATGGCTGCTCTGGCACCCCGTCAAGGATTCACTACCCATACATCCGGTCTCCCCTTTCCCCTACTCCCCTCTCCCGTTCTCCTGCCCCCCTCTCCTTTCCAGACGTTGTACCACGCGCAGAAGGCAGTGATTGATGCATCCCTCCTGGACGCCCTGGAAGGGGTATCCCGCCTCGTTGCCTCCGATGCCTCCAACCTCACGCAGCTCAACTCCCGCAAGATGGAGGCCATGGCTGCTGAGGCCCGGAAAAAGCTCGACAAAACCTCCGCAGATTCCAAGAAGCCCCGCGCGGTCATGATATCAGGGATCTTCAAGCCCAAGCGAGCAGCCGCAGGGATCGTGCACGGCGCGCTGCTGCCTATGGTGTTTGAGCCGGCGACTGAGGTGGGGAAGGTGACGGAGAAGGGGAAAGCACCGGAGCTGTCGCCGAGGGCTGCTGTGCCTCTGTCTCCCACTGGGGCGTCTGCTGCTGAGCCTGCTGCGAGTTTTCTGGTGAAATCTGGGTCGGTTTCAGCTCCCAGGTCGGTCTCTCCTGTTTCTGCTGCTGCTGCTGCTGCTGCTCGTGCGGCCTCTGCCCGGACAAGGTTTCCCACGTCGGCATCTGTTTCTGTTGCTGGTGCTTCTGCTGGTGCCTACAGGTCATCTGACTTGACTCTGAAAACCCCCCGGCCTCTCCCTGCACTACCAGCAGCACCTGCGTCCGACCCAGGCCAAACCACAGCTCCGCTCCCCCCCTCTCTCCTCGCTCAATCTCTGCTCTCCACCTCATCCCTACCATCCTCTCAGTTAGCTTCACTCGAACCCATTCCTCCTCTGTTGTCTCCTCCCCCTTCTGAGACTCTCTCCACCCCACCTGATGCCCTCGGCTCACCCAAGAGCCCTCTGAAACCGCGCCCTCCCTCACAGCCGCCCGTGCGCCCCCCTTTCCGTGGCTCTGCTGCTAATAGCGTAGACTTAACTGGGGGAGGTGACAACCCGAGATCTCCCAGGGGGTTTGTTCGGGCTGGGGCTGAGGCAACAGGGGGTTCAGCAGGGGCTGGGGGAGAGACGGGGGCTGGGTATGCGGATGGGCCGCCTAGATCGCCCCGTGCTTATGTGCGTTTTGCTGATGCTCCTGCTGGTTTGGGCGGTGAGACCAGCAGCAGCGGCAGCAGCAGTGGCAGCGGCAGTGGGGACAGGGAAGAAGCAGCAGCAGCTGGAGCCGCTGCAGCAGCGGCAGCGGCAGGGGGTTTCAGGGAAGGTAGAACTAGGGACGGCTCATCTAGCCCAGCATCACCCCGCGGCCTTTCTAGACTCAGCCCTAGCACCCCCCCCAACAGCAACGCCACAGACAGCAGCCATGCCAACCGCTCTGTGAGCCCTCTTGGCCAATCACATCGCTCCACGCCCTCCATTACAATCATACCACCGTCTCACAGCCGAGTGTCATCCACGTTCCGAGCGCCCGTGCCCCCCGCCCTCCTGTCGCCCACCTGTGTGATCTACGATGCCACTCCCAAGTCCCCGGCGCCTGTGGCGAGCTTGCAGCGGCTGAATGCAAGGAAGGAGACGCGGGACGAGCCGTTTGTCACCACGGAGGGGCTGCTGGCTCAGGCACAGGCAGAGGCCCTGAAATCTCAGGCACAGGCACAGGCCCTGAAAGCTCAGGCACAGGCACAGGCCCTGAAAGCTCAGGCACAGGCAGAGGCAGAGGCCCTGAAAGCACAGGCACAGGCACAGGCCGAGGCACAGGCTGAGGCAGAGGCAGAGGCCCTGAAAGCACAGGCATTGAACGCACAAGCCATGCACACACAGGCAGAGGTTGTGAAAGCACACGCCTTGAAAGCTCAGGCCCTGAAAGCACAAGCACGGGCTGTGAAAGCACAGGAAGAGGCAGAAGCAGATGTGCAGGCACAGGCGGTTGCACGGCTGCAGGCTCAGGTGTCGTTTTCTTTGGACAGGTCTATCGGCCAAGAAAGCCGGTCTGCTTTGTCTGAATCTCCCAAGACTTGTCCCACCACCGCTCCTGCTTCTGCTTCTGCTTCTTCGCACCTCCCTCTCTCCCCCTCGCCCTCCTCCCCACTTCCTGTTTTCCAACCCACCTCCTCGTCAAGCCCTCGCCCCTCCACTGCTCCCTCTTCCTCCTCTCGCCCCACCACCCCCTCATCCCGCCCCACCACCCCCTCCTCCCGCCCCATCACCCCTCCCTTAAAAACCTCTCTGCCCTTCCTGCTAGGCACCTCCTCTCGCCCCACCACGCCTCCCATGCTCGGCTCTTCCTCCAGTGTCTCCTCTGGATCTGTCATGTCCAGCCGCCCTTCCGATGCCGTCACGTGTGAGTGCCGCACTGGGCTGGGGTTGCGGAGAGACAGGCTTCGGAACGTGTGGATCGAGAGGGATGATGATGATGAGGAGTGGGACGGGGAGCGGGACAGGGAGGGGGACGGGCGAAGCCTGAGGGATGGGGCGGGGGGCGGGGCAACTCCCCCTAGGTCGAGGGGGAATTCGCTGAGTCGGAGCATTGGAGGGGCACTGCGGGTGCTGCAGCGGGGAATGAGCGAGCAGGAGAGGGGCAGGCATAGTAGCTTGAGGGGAAGTAATTTGAGTATGAGCAGCGGGAGTGGGGCTGGGAGTTTTGGCGGGAGGGGGAGTTTGAGAGGAGGGCAAGGGAGTGGTCTTGGTGGTGGTGGCAGAGATGGTGGTGGTGGTGGCGGTGGTGAGGGTAGTAGTGGTGCTGGTGTTAGCAGTGGTACTGGTGGTGGCAGCAGTGGTGCTGCTGCTGCTGCTGCTGCTGATGGCTGGGCTGTTGATGCTGCTCCTGCTCCAGCTGCTGCTGCTGCTAGTGGTGCAGCTACTGCTGCCATCGCTGCTGCTGTTGCTGGCCCTAGTGGTGGTTCTGGTGGTCCTGCTGCCGGTAAAGCTGCTAGTGGGTTTCGTAACAAAAGTGTAACCGGCGTTGGTAGTATACGGAGTGGGGGAAGGAATAGTGTGGGCGGCGGGGAGAGTAGCGGAGGTGGAAACTATGGCGTTGGAAGCACGGGTGGGGGAAGCACATTCAGTGCTACAAGTAGCAACATAAATTATAATTCCAGTGGTGGTAGCGTCAGTGGGAGCGCAGACAGTAGAATTCCGTTTGGGTTTGAAAGGCCGTTGCCAGTGGTGAAGCGACCAAGTAGCAGTGGAGGCAGGAGGCCAGCAAGTAGTGGTGGTAGAAATGGTGAGGCTTTGCCAAAGGCTTCTCCCAAAGAGACTGGTGGCAGTGATGGCGACGAGCCGGAGCTTCAGCGAGCGTCCACTAGAGGCTAGTTAACTCCACTATGCTTAAGTGCAAGCTTTTACGGTATGTGTTGTAGTCTTTTGTTGCGGATGCGTTATTGTTCTATATTTTAGTCTTTCTAGAACTGTAGGCATTTGTTTTCCTACCTTTGTTGCTGCCTATGCCATCTGACGGTTGCGTGTCTCCCAGATCACGTGGCAGCCCGCCAAGCCGCACAACCATCAGCAGAGACACTGTAAAGTGACGTGGTCACGAATCATGCCACGTCTTGCAGCAGACAATTGTAGAAATGTCCTTATAACGGCCTTGCTTGTGACGCAATCTTGTGTGCCTTCGAGAAGGCCCCGCCCAACGAGCGGAGATGCGAGCCCATTGGCGATAGTCGCCACATTCGTTATCCATCTCGTCGTCAGCCTGTAAAGTTGCGCCTTCCCGTCACCTTGCACGTCGGCCGTCAAGTCGAGGTGCCACCGTCAGCTCGGATATTCCGACTGTCAGGCATCGGGATTATCCTCTCGTACACGCTGCACTGTTTGAACCTCGGGAACTCATGGTTCCAGGAACTAGGGAGAAGGGCTTGCAGCCAGAAACTTGCTTGAGGAGCATCAGCAACTTTGAGGCTTTTCAGGAGCAATTTTAGGAACTTTAGGAGATTGAAGGAGATCAGAATCAGGAATCCGTCCTTAGTTGAATAACTAGTTGAAGCTCCACTAAGGCGCTTGAGCTAAAGAGGCCCAGCTCTATTCGCACAGTATTTCCAGAAACAGATATTTGTTAGTTGATATTTTCTTTCTAGTGAGGAGTAAAGCGAAGGCCATTCCGGTGTTTTTCTAGACATCTCTCAGGAGTACACTAACATTACACGGTGTCATTCCTTCAAGTCCATTTGATCGTCAGGTTCCTTGGATAGTGTGGAGAAGTGGCTCGTGGAAGGAATTTTTAATATAAGCGCTCATCCATTTGACGATATCACGTATTGAACTCTTGACCCAGCTGCCGTTCGGCCGTCGGGTTTCATCTAGATTCCTCCATCTTTTCTTGCTGTCTCAGAGTGTGTATTCTCTGACCGCACCGCAATGGCAGCTGCGATGATGAGCCTTGCAGGTAACTTGATATAGATTCAAAAACAGTTATCCAGTTTCAGCGTCTGAGGTTCTCCTATTTTTCAAATATAAGTCTTATTATTGTTTCTCGTGGTTCATCTTCGACAATCTTACAGCAGAAATGGCGGTCAGACCTTCTGCACCAGCCTGTGCCGTGGTGGCTGTGTCTCGCTCAGGCTCTTCCGGTCGAGTAGCCACGCCAGTCTTACCACCTCTTAAGGTAGGTTATTACTCTAAAATATATTTCAGATGGTATCATCGAGAAGTTTCTTGCTGATGAAGTACAGCTTGTTTCTTTCGCCATCACCACTCCCTCGGTTTCCAATGCTCCCTGCCAGTTCGTCGTTCGTTCCCCTGCAATCGCTCGTTAGGTCACCGCTTCCCGTTCCTAGGCAATAAAGGTTTTTTTGTGTGTTACCTCCTCATCACATCGTCCCAACCCTGGATTTTTCCCAATATGTTTTCTTCCCTGACGCTCTATCAGCCTCATAAACCATTGTCACATCGCCAAGCATCCACTCAACAGAGTCCAGAACGCGTGCAGCTAGCGTCAATGCCAGAGCAGGAATCTTCCGACCTGGGAGACATGGCCAGATGGCGTCTCGTGTTCAGCACGCTTTTTCACGCTAACGGGTTAGCAGAAGAGGCGGTGGAGATTCCTAGGTCTGGTCACGCAGGGATTTCAGGTCAATTTGAGACGGTGGAGGTTCTTGGTCATTTCAGTGCGGAGGGTGAAGGGTGAGTTCTGACCCTGCTCCTTGGTGAACCGTTTGTGTTTTCCTGCGTCCTGTTCAATAACTCGCCTTAACCACTCCGTTCAATCCCTCCCCACAGCCTGCAGGGCACTCATCATGTAAGAAATGGCGGCCTGCTTCCCCTAGGTGAGAGGTGTGAGGCATATGCATCCAGTTCCGCTGTGTTCTTTTGTTTATCATGGACAATGTTGATATTTCTCGCCATATCTCTCGTTATAAGCCCGCTCCGATTACCTGTCTGTCTCCTTGCAGTCCAACCAACCTATTTCACTCCCGCTAAACTTTTCTATGTTACCGCTTCACTTGTCTCGTTGTGTTTCGCAGTTTCCATGACGGGAGAAGAGACAAGGATGGATGCAGAACAAGTTAACGGCAGAAAGGTATGTGAATTTTGTGCACATGCTGAAGCTGCAGTGTACTTTGTGCTGTCCTTTTCTGTCCGTATCCTCCCTGCGGTCACCATCTACCCATCTTTGGAAGGGTGCCCCCTCTCCTGCTCTTTCACGTTAGAAGTCATTTCATACACGCTTGCTGCTGCTGTTTACTTCTCATCGTTTTTGCTTTCTCCCTCTCGTTCTTCGTCCATTCCCCACCTTCCCGCCTGGTGCACGCGGTTCTTATCTTCCCTGCAGTTCCCCCACCAGCATGTACTGGGAGTTGCCACCTCTGACCCACCTGGAAGCACTCAGCTCCAGACCAACCTAGAGGTACCGTCACTCAATTCAAGTCCGAGCAGACATGCAATGACATGCAAGTTCTTTGAGCCTGATTCTGTCTCAGTCATGTCGGGGTAATTTCTTTCGTTCGTCTCTCAGTTGATTCCGGTCCTCCCATACCACTCGTCCAACTATCCGCCCCTTTGCATCCTTCTCTGCTCTGTTCTCTCTGTGTGCATGTTCTGCCTGCAGCCGAAGAAGGATAGTGAGCTGAGGGACGACTACTATGTGAATGTGGGGTACGCCATCAGAACACTTCGGGAGGAGCTGCCAACTCTCTTTTACCGGGACATGACATACGACATCTACAGGTGTGTGTTTGGGACATGACATGTGTGTGCGCGTGTTTTAAGGGCATTTGTTGGGTTTGCCCTTCTCCCTGTCTTCAAGTCAGTTTTTCATTTCTTCCTGTCTTCCTTGTCCCCCCTGTTCTTCCCCTCCATCCGCGTTGCCTGACGCTCGCCCATTACAAAAGCCATCGAGTTCCACCACTGACGCGCTCACAGTCCCATCTGTCCCTCCCATCTGTGCTTCGTACACTTCAATAAACTGCTGGTGCTCGCCCATCAGGGAGGACATAACCTTCCAGGACCCGATGAACACATTCAAGGGCGTGGACAACTACCGCCTCATCTTCAAAGCGCTGCGCTTCCACGGAAAGATCTTCTTCAAGGCGCTGTGTGTGGACGTGCTGCGCGTGTGGCAGCCCAACGAGCGCACCATCCAGATCCGCTGGTCCGTCCGCGGCATCCCCCGCCTCCCCTGGGAGGCCCACGGCCGCTTCGATGGCACCTCGGAGTACAAACTCGACAGTTCTGGGAAGATCTACTCGCACAAGGTGGATAATATCGTGATGAGCGACCCGCCGAAGTATCAGCCGTTGACGGTTATGGAGCTGCTGCGTCTGTCAGGGACACAGACCACCCCCACCATTTCGTGCTCGTGCAGAGTCTCCCAGTCAGTTTCTTCTTCAGCGTCTCCTTTGGAGGGGTCTGGCAGGCCTGGTTTGCCGTCGTTTCAGCAGCTGTTGGCAGAAGGAGCGGTGTTTCTGGCGATGGTTAGTAGGTTCACCTGGATCAGGTTTTACTGCGCGCTGAGTGGGACGCTTGCGCTGCAGAAGAGGAGTGGGGGAGGTGACGGCGAGGAGGAATTGGCTGCTTCGTCAGGGTAGGGCTCATATATGGGGTCTGGGTGGGTGGTGACTGAATGATGGTTGAACTTGAAATGTGTGGTTTGTGAATGTGCTGGCTGTACGTGCGGTAGCTGGAGGATTGGATGTGATGGTTTTATTGTATGCTGCTTTTGGTATGTTTCTGTACAGGGAGCTTCGATAATGTAGCTCTTCTTAGGTGAGTGAAAGCTGGATACTGTACCGTATATGCAGCTTTGTAATGCCAATAAGGTACTTATGAATCACTGTTTCATGCTTTTCTAATTCGGAGCTGAACTCTTGTATCGAGAATGGCAGGGGGCGGCTTACAAGCCAATCAGTAGTGAGGCGGCGCAAGCATCTGGCTGCCCAATGCACCAATCAACGTAGAGCTGAAATCAAAGCTCAGCGTGAACGACGTGGGAGTGCCAGATATTGAGCTGGCGATACCCAATCCTCCTGGATTCTCGGTCCGAATGTCAACGCTGGCACATTCAGAATTCTGCAGCCAAGTGCTCCGCAAAACCATGCAGAAAACATCTAAACCGAACGGATCGTTGACCTTTGCAGCTCCCTCCACTTCCTTGCGGACCTTCAGCTTTCTTGAATTTCACCTTTCACTCCTTTTCAGTCACTTGCATAGAAACCATTTCCTAGAATCCTTATCAGTCACTCGGTTTCAGCGCATTGTTTTCACATGTCAGTGGCCATCGCTGCTGACCGCCGTTTCTCCACCACAGACGGTTGGTTCTTGTCGTCGCTCTTGTGATTTTCCCCATTGTGTCGTCGTTGCTCCTAGGTCTGATCCTCTCGCATTTGCCTTGCGGACAAGCACGCATTGTGGTAGCATCGGAAACCGAGACGTTTTTTTTCTCTCGGCTACTTCTTGACGCCTGAAGAACACACACGAAAACGCACCTAACACTAGAGCCTGCTCGCTGCGCCTCTATCCATCCATGGCTTCCGCGTCCGTCTCATTGCTCCGGCGAGCCGCCAGACCGATCCTCGCCGGTCTTTACGGAGGCGCGCTCTCCGTCGCCGCGAGGCAGCACCTCACCAGCTCTTGCTCCTCCTCCGCCGCCGCAGCCGGCGCAGCCGCTGCCGGGCTTCGCAATACAATGGCGGGATTCCACTCGTCCGCGTGTCCCGCGTCGGACTTGTCGCAGTCGTCTGGGCCGTCCGTGACGGAAGAGACGGTGTCGCTCGTTCAGGCGTCCGATAAAGGCATTGGACTCGCTTTTGTAAGCTGCTTAGGACGCGATTTTATTAAGACCAACTATTTATTCATTGGAACAGTGTCGTTCCTTAAAGCGTCATATAGTGTGGTCGAGCCCTCGCGTTTCGTAAAGACCTCATCTTCGAATTCGAACTTCGCATTCTAGGTCATCTGCATTGTCATTTCTCATTCTTTCTTTCCCTCCTTCTCTTTCCTTGTAAACTTGTGATCCCAGCAACGCTGTGGACGTGTTCTTTAGCTCTCCTATTCTTTCTACTCCAGTCGATCGATTCCCTTCCGATCCTCCTTCATCTTCTTTCGCGTTTCCACTCTCTATTGTTTCCCTCTCACACTGTTTGACGCGCTATCCTCTCCCCCCGGCTTTTCTTCCTCGATTGTCACGTGGACAGGTGGAGCAGCTGCTGAAGCGGCAGCCAACCGGCCGCGTCATTGCCACGTGTCGAGATCCGATGGGCGCTCAGCACCTGGATGCACTTCACGACCAGAGCGGTGGACGGCTGGATGTGATGCAACTGGATGTGACTAAAGAGGATACCATCGAGGTAAGGGGGGGTACTTATGAGACGCGTGTGATGCAACTGGATGTGATTTTAGAGGATACCATCGAGGGACGGGCACGCGCAGAGGCTTAAAGAGTCACAGTCAGCTTCTGGATGTGTCTATAACGAGGGTCTTAAGGTTTATCACAGTGCGAAACACGGACGACTACACGAGTGTGTAATGACGAATGATTCAGACCACACAACCGACCACTTAGCAGTCTTGGGGTTTTAGACCTGAGAGTGTATGGCATACTGTCATTCATGCCGCGTCCCAACGTCAACCAGAGATTTTCTCACCCCCTCCTTCCTTCCCGCCCATTTTCTCGCGGTTCTCCCTTTTTCTCCTGTCGCTCTCCTGCATCTCGACACGCTTCCTTCCCCTCTCCTTCCCGTTCCACCCTTCCCTCACACGCCCTCCTCCCCACCAGCAAGCTGAACCTGCTGCTTATCGCCTCCCTCCCCCCCGCTCTTCTCTCCCTTTCCTCCATGCTTCCTGCAACCCCCCGCACCCCTTTCATTCTTCCCCTACGATCCCAGGCTGTAGCAGCGGCCGTGCGGCAGAAGTATGGCAAGTTGGACCTGCTGCTCAACGTGGCGGGTGTGCTGCATCGCCCCAACGAGCTACAGCCGGGTATGCTGCTATGCTACAGTCAGATTCGTTGCTAGAGCCGAGAGTGCTGCTACAACTGAAAAGGCTGTTACAGCTACTGCTGGGTGTACTGACAGCCCCAGAAAGCTACAACTGAGTATGCTGCTGCTACAGCCGGGTTACAGCCGGGTTTGCTGCTACAGCCGGGTTTGCGGCTACAGCTGCTTGCTGCTACAGACGGGTTTGATGCTACAGCCCGGTTTGCTGCTACAGCCAGGTTTGCTGCTGCAGCCGGGTTTGTTGCTGCAGCCAGGTTTGCTGATGCAGCCGGCTGGGTATGCTGCTCCTACCGTTGAGTATGCCGCTACAGCCTGGTATGAGTGCTAACTACAGCCCGGATGGACGGTATACTGTGTTTAATGTACTTGTATCGGTACACAGAGCAGCCCGCACTGGCTGAGACATGACGCCATGCTGCCGGCTGTGCTACAACGCCATGCTTCTTGCAGGTAGTGAAACCATTCCGATTCCCCTCTTCCCCTTCATCCGTCTTCTCCTTCCTTCCTCACCCCCGTCCCTCCCTCTTCCGCTTCCCTCTCCCTTGCCACTCCCTCCCTCCCCACCCCAGAGAGCAGTCTGCACCGGCTGTGCCCGGACGCGATGCTGCTGGGCGGGCAGTGAAAGCAATCAAATCCCTTCTTCCCCGTTCCTGGCCCGCCCCCCCCCCCTCTTCGCCTCCCTCCTCCTCCCCTCCCCAGAGAGCAGTCTGCACTGGCTGTGCCAGGACGCGATGTTGCTGGCTTACCGAGTCAACGCCATGGGGCCCATGCTCGTGCTCAAGGTGAGTCAACGGCGCGCTGGTCTGACAAGTCAACGAGAGTCAACGACATGATGATGGTGACAGCTGGTGAGGTGGGCTGGGATGGCTTGGCATGGTCTTGGATGGAAACATATGGGTGCAAGGCAATACAGTACGGTCTGATCATCGATTAAAGAAACAATGTAGAACTATCATCACCGCTACATTCCATCTCTCCCTGCTCCCACAGTACATAATGCCTCTGCGGCATTAAAATAGTCTAGAATTCTCAGTCTGCAATTCCATCTCCCCTTCCCTCCTTCCCCTTCCCACCCCACGCTTGCATCAGGTCGTAGCGCCATCGCCGCCATCATTTCGTTCCATCTCTCCTCCTCATCCCCTTCCGCTCTCCTCTGCCCACCTTCGTCGCCACATGATGCCGCTGCTGAAACCACGAGTTCACACCAAAACCACAGCATCATCTCTTTTCCTCCTTCCCTCCCTCGTCCCCCGTTTCCCCTCCCCTAGCAGCGCATGATGCCACTGCTGGTAACGTGGTAACGGGCAGCCGCACCAGAATCCCAGCACCAAAGTTTCTTTCCATCCCCACTCTCTCCTCTTCCCCACCCTCTGCAGCACATGATGCCGCTGCTGGTGACGGGTGGTCACACCAATCCCAACCGTCCCTACTCCATAGTGGCCAACATGAGCTCGCGCACCGGATCCATCTCTGATAACCACATCGGGGGGTGGTACTCGTATCGCGCCTCCAAAGCTGCTCTCAATCAATGTGAGTTCATTACCATGTAACATGTATCCATGTAACCTCAGTAGTGGCCAACATGGGCTCTCGCACCGGGTCCATCTCCAATAACCATATTGGGGGATGGTATTCTTATTAAGCATCCCAAGCTGCTTTCAAACAGATCAGTGCTGTTTCATATTGGGTTACATGTATCAGTGTAGCCTCAGTTGCCGTCACTCCTTCCCCCCAAGCCCTTCACTCCTTTCCCCGTCACCAATTACTCTCCCGTCTCCCTCAGTCACCAAGACAGCTGCAGTGAGAGTTGGCAGCCCAGAAGAGTCATGTGGCTGTCTGTGCTGCTACACCCTAGTCCTTTGTCCCTCTACCCTGTTGCATTCACCCTTCTCTTACCCTCTTCCCCTCTCCTACCCCCTTTTGCCACCCTCGCCCAACTCATTCCCTTCCTCCCCCAGTCACCAAGACGGCAGCAGTGGAGTTGGCAGCCCAGAAGAGTCATGTGGCTGTCTGTGCTGCTACACCCTAGTCCTTTGTCCCTCTACCCTATTGCATTCACCCTTCTCTTGCCCTCTTCCCCTCTCCCCCCCACTTTTGCCACCCTCGCCCAACTCATTCCCTTCCTCCCCCAGTCACCAAGACGGCAGCAGTGGAGTTGGCCGCACAGAAGAGCCCAGTGGTGGCTGTGCTGCTTACACCTTTATTCCTGGTTCATGCAGCAGTGACCATCTAACTTCTCTCACCCTCGCTCCCCCTTCTTCTCCCCCACATTACCCTTGCCTTGCCTATCCCTCCTCCTCCCCCAGTCACCAAGACGGCAGCAGTGGAGTTGGCCGCCCAGAAGAGCCCAGTGGTGGCCGTGCTGCTACACCCCGGCACTGTAGACACCGACCTTACCCGCCCGTTCACTGCGCACTTGCCGGCCGATAAGATCTTCACGCCTGATTTTGCTGCCGAGCAGCTATTGGGTGTCATTGATGGGTTGAGTCCAAGTGACAATGGGCGGTTTATCGCGTATGACGGCACGGATGTGGCGTGGTGATTGTTGGGGAAACGATCATGACTAGGCAGGGGTGCTAAAAATGGGGAACGTATTTTAATGTGCTGGGAGAAAGCGTAGCTATCTAAAAATGTTTCGTTTTGTATGCATACTGTACCTGAATAGAGAATGCAAAAGTATTAACTTGAGTCTTTATAGCAGATAGTTACTTGGAGAACCTTCTCCCTTTTAAAGCTGTGATTGTGCCTTCAAGGCACACCACTTTATCGCGTACTGACCACTTGGATCCTTTCCCCCGCACAGTCCACCAATTCATTCCTTTTATCCCAGACCCGCATTTTTTATCTCCTTGCGCCATATTAGCATTTTGCGCCCCCCGCGCTTTCCGCGATTCCGCTGTCAGCGTCGTCCCGCGCGCGCTCCAATGGCTGCGCTTGCCGTGCGAGCCGTCTCCGCCGCTGCGGCGGCTGCGCTGCCGGCTTTCCCGCCGTCGCATATGCGCGCTTCGCCAGCAGCCAGAGAAACGTCGCTGCGGATAGGAGGGCGGGAGAAGCGCGGCTGTAGCAATGGCGGCTGGAGCTGCGCGGGGAGGAGGGGTAGGGCTGTCGTTGCGCTGGCTGCGCCGCCTGAAACCGTGACTGCGATTGTGGAGAGCGGAGCTGCAACCATGGTGAGAATAGACGCTCGCTCTCTTTCACTTCAACTCTCCTCTCCAGAATAGACGCTCGCTCTCTTTCACTTCAACTCTCCTCTCCAGAATAGACGCTCGCTCTCTTTCACTTCAACTCTCCTCTCCAGAATAGACGCTCGCTCTCTTTCACTTCAACTCTCCTCTCCAGAATAGACGCTCGCTCTCTTTCACTTCAACTCTCCTCTCCAGAATAGACGCTCGCTCTCTTTCACTTCAACTCTCCTCTCCAGAATAGACGCTCGCTCTCTTTCACTTCAACTCTCCTCTCCAGAATAGACGCTCGCTCTCTTTCACTTCAACTCTCCTCTCCAGAATAGACGCTCGCTCTCTTTCACTTCAACTCTCCTCTCCAGAATAGACGCTCGCTCCACATTGTTGTCTCGAATCTCCTCTTCCCCGCCAGCACTCACACGTGCTTGCACTCCTTCTCCTACTCTCCTTCCCCTCCTCTTACCATCGCATGCCCTCCTGTCACCCCTCTCTCCCATCTGCCCGTCCCCCTACTCCTGTCACCCCTGCCCTCGCGTCAGGTGTCAGCTGCTGATTGGACGAGTCACCTCGTGCTCGCCACGCTCAACACAGCTGCCACGCTGGCATCGGACGGACCAATAGAATTGCCCCCCGCTTACCTGGAAGACCCGTGGGCTATTCCCGAGGTCTCTCCGTTGCAATCCTTTGCCAGTATTCTGCTGACCGGGACGATTGGTGTGCTGCTGTTCCGAGCTATCAAGAGACGAGCGAGCAAGGTCACAGAATCGGTAAGCAACGGTTAAGGATGGTGGAGTGCGGTGGGTGTGGTGGGTGCAGGCGTTCCCGCTTACCTGGAAGACCTGTGGGCTATTCCCGAGGTCTATCCGTTGCAATCCTTTGCCAGCATTCTGCTAACGGGCACAATTGGTGCGCTGATGTTTCGGGCTATCAAAAGACGAGCGAGCAAGGTCACAGAATCAGTGAGTGGAGGCCAGAGATTGGGTGCAGTGCAGTGCGGTTAAGAGTGGTTTAGTGAGTGAGATTGGGGTGGGTGCATTCCCTTGTGCATTCCTTCGCCAGTATCCCTTTGACTTGGACGAATGGTGTGCTGCTGTTTTGGGTTATCACGAGACAAGTCAGCAACTTCACAGAATCTGTGAGCGAGAGTTGGGGGAAGCCTACTTAGTGCACAGTGAATTCTCTACAGATACTCAAATACCTCAAGAACCTGAATGCCCTGCAAAGCCCCCACAACATCAAAGGCCTTTGCAGGACTTTCAGCTTCTCTTCTTTCTTTCAGGTACAATCCCGTTCTTTTCTTTCCCTGCCAGAGCGTCTGGCCGGACTGGATGACAGCGGACTCAGTTGAGAAGCTGTCAGGCAGACCAGTGGCAGATGGTCGGGGAGGAGAGAAAGCACGTTGCACAGTGAAACGTCTTTCAAACCTCCAAAGCCCGCACATTGCACAAACTGCAAAATGATCGCTCCTGTGTCTCATACCCCTTCTCCCCCTCCCAGCGATTCCGGTCAGACTCAGTCGAGAAGCTGTCGTCCAATCCGGTGGTGGAGGAGCGGAAGCGCCGGGCGGCAGAGGAGGCGGCAGAAGCAGCCAAGCGACCGCCGCCCACGGTGCTGAACACGCTGGGCGGCGCACTGGTGGCGGGGTCGATTGCGATTGTGCTGTACAAGTTTGCGACGTCCGTTGATGATGTGTTTGCGGGGCAGACCCTCTCAACCACTTACACTGTGAGTAACTGTTATTGACGTGCATTGCGATAGCACTGGTGGCATGGTAGGGTTGATTGCAATCGTGCTCTGCAAGTTTGCGACATCCGTTGATGTGTTCGCTGAACAGACCTTGTCAACCACTTACACTGTGAGTGCCTGTTTCGTTTTGCCATGACTTACAGTACGCGCTTACAACGTACATGTTACAGGTGACCCATCAGGCTGTTCCCTTGACCGACATGAGATGTGTTCCATTTTTTTGTTACCGCAATCCGCGTGCTTAAGTGCCCATGCATATTTCTCCTCATCTCCTCCCCTCCTCTCCCCTCTTTCTCACCTTCCACAACCCCCCCCTTCCCTCCTCACTTGTCGGCCCCCATTCTCTCCCTGCCCCCCTATCTACAGGTTCGGAACCTTTCCATTGCTGTCAGGTACACTCCATTATTGCTTTACCTTCTGTAATTATAAAAAATATTATTCGTCGATTCCCACAACTCACACCACTTCATGCTGTTTTCATTGCAATAGCTCCCTTTTTAGCCTCCCACATCCCTTTTGTCGTCCCTGTTCCTTTCTTCTCTCTTCTCTCCCCTCTCTCCCTTCATCTTCCATTTCATCCTTGATTTTCCACAGGACCATAGTATCAGGCCTCGTATGGCTGGCCACATTCATCTTTGCTCTCAATTCCCTCGGCCTCCCTGTCTTGCTCATCCCGTCTCCTCTCCCTGCTCCTCTCTTTCCTCACCTCTCGTCCTTCCCTCTCTTCCTCCTCTTACCTACAGGACCATAGTATCAGGCCTCGTATGGCTGGCCACATTCATCTTTGCTCTGAACTCCCTCGGCCTCACGCTCTACGCCTTTCAACTGGCGCTGGGTATTGACTCCCCTAAAGACAGCCCTGTTAGTGGGAGTGGGAGTGAAGCAGATACAGCGGGATCCAAAGACAGCGAGGCTAAGGAGGCTGAGGTTCCGGTTGGGAGTGAGGAGAAGAAGCCATTGGGTTTCGGAGGTTCTTCAAAGGAAAATGGGGGCGCAGAGAAGAAATAGAGATGCATGCAAGGTATCGAGCTAGCAGTCGAGGCAACACTGTCTAAGCTATTGTTTTTAACATGCGGTTGTCTCGCTAGATAGTATAGCCATGTATTGTAAAGCGTTCCTATCAACCATTTTGGTGACCAAAACAAAAAGTTTCTGGTGTATTGTAACTGTAGCACTCTATGGCGCGTCAATAACATCAGGAGTGAAACAGCAGCAGGTGCAGCCTTGGGATTGTTGTCCGTGCTTTCAAGCTTCAGACATTGCTAAAGATGCTCCGACGAAGAACATAATGGCTGGACACGTTTTAAGTATTCACCAAAGAAGACAGCACGGGAAATCTAAGTTCAAACAAGTTCGTCAACGGAACATCTTCCGTTTATCGTCATTTGCTGCCATTCATCGACAACCACGTTTATCTCATGAAAAGTCCAAGATCTTTACTTCGATGGCTTCTAAAGTGCTTGATGATGAAGTCATCTTCCTTTCTGAAACGCTTAAGCATGAAGATCTAGACAAGAAACTCCAAGTTTTTTATGTTCAACGAGAAGACAACGCCGACAATGACAATGACCCTGAAACTCATACAAACATGGATGACTTTGGTGACACTAATAAACTACAAGATGCGCATCTGCAGCTAGAAGATGATGATTCATGGCGGCAATGTTCTAAGGAGTTCTCGTCCGTGGGAGCTGAATGTTTTCGTGAAGGAATCTTGTTTCATGGAGTGAACATCAGATCTGAGTTAGCAGCTTCAGCTGCTGCTGCGACATCTCGTCGTCAGTCCCCGCATCGAAGATTGGGAGCCGTTCAAGCCAGTTTGCGTCACCCAAAACGTCCGACCACATATGCCATTGGAACCGGTTTTCACCGCATTCGTGCTAAATTGGCTTTCACAGCAACCACTCCTTTCGTCTTTCGCCTCAAGAAGGTGAAGAGTGCAACCACCCCAACCTACCAGTTTCGGCAAGGCAAGTTCGGCACCTGTATGAAGCAACAAGTACAGCATGTGGGATGCTCCAAAGTGTTTCTGCCAGGAGTGAGAAATGTCAAAGGCGTGAAGAGAATTCTGAACGGGCAGATTGCAATATTTAGGCACCTGACTTTTAAACCACCTTAGATGTTTCCGCGAGGGTACGGTACAATTGTACCCAGGCCCTCTAGCCCGGTTACGACCGTGGATGGTGTTTTTTGCATTGTATAATGTGATTTCACCTCCTTCAAAAAAAAAAAAAAAAAAAAAAAAAAAAAATCATTACCTGGCCAGATTTCGTTATGAAGAAGCGGATGATTTCAAGGTGAAAAATGGGGCTGAAAATGGCGACAGGCTGACGATAACATTGCGCGAATCCGTGGCGGGGTCAGCGCCAATCCCCGTGCATCCTCGGTACAGTGCATTCCGAGAAGCTCAAAGCCTGTCGCAGACGGGACGCTTTCCCTCAATCCGTGCGATAGTAGCTCGGCTTCTTTAGTGTCTAGGGGACGCTCGCGTCGATTCCTGACTCAGATCAGGTTTTGCTTTTGAGAAAGCCAATTTATGAGGCGATTCTTGAGACGTCTCGAAACGCAATGGTCAAGGCGATTCGAAAATGGGGCCGCAGAAATGCAGATTTAAAAGCGTTCTTTCCAACGGCACTCCTTGTTGTCTGCCTGCTCTCCGTTTCGTACGCGACACAAGGTGAGCCGATACAAGGCCAAGGATTCTGAAGTGTAACGCAACTGATTACAACGAGACAGAGTGGCTGCTGCAATCATGCTGCAACCGGAATGAAAGTTCGTCCGCTCTCCTCTTCTCGTCTACTTTTGAGGCGCCTCAAAAGTAAACTAAGCCATGATCCTTGTCTGCTACTTGCCTGCTTATCTCTCTCTCCACTTCATCCCCTCTCCCTCTCCCTCTCATCCGTTTTCCCTCCAGTTCAAGCGCAACCCGAATTAGCGCCACCAGCGGTATCAGCGCCATTGGCGCCAGCAGCACCAGAACCAGCCGATCCAGCCGGCCAGCCGGCAGTTCAATCGACGGACGAGGTGCTTCTGGGTCGAGTGGCGGAGATTGCAGCGGAGCTCAGCCGTCAGATGCAGGAGGAGCAGGCGCTGCAGCAGTCCCAGGGAGCCATTCTTGATCAGCAGGCGCTACTCCTTCCTCCCTCCCCTCCGCTCTCTCCCCTTCTCGTCTCCCCACAGCAATCGCCACCCTTCCCTCCTCCCGTCCCCCCTCCAGTCGTCCCCTCTCCTCCCTTCCCCCCTCCACCGCCCCTCCGTCCCACGTCGCTCATCTCACCTCAATCTCAAGGCGAACCAGGGAGTTTAGGAACCACGGCAGGCGCTGACGAGGTGCTTATAGGGAGAGTGGCCGCTATAGAGGAACAGCTGATGCTGCAGCTTGCAGGGGCTAGTGAAGAGGAGGGGAAGAGGGAAGCTGGAGGAGAGGAATTAGGAAAGGGCAAGGTCCAGGAGAGAGAGACTAGTCCCCACTTACCTGCGACTCCCACCCCCTCACACCCACCACCCCCCTCTCCTCCTCCCTCACACCCACCTCCCCCCTCTCCTCCTGCCTTAGAGCCCCTCTTTACAGTCACATCCCTGAACCGAACCATTCGCAGGGTAGATCTGAACAAGACCTTTCTAGAATACCACCACCATTTCCGGGAAGGAGAGCTCAAGCTACAGTGCTCCGGCGAGCCTTGCCCGAACCTAGGCTCCTGCGGCCCGGAGTTCCCGAACCTGCGCGCCTGCTACTGGCCGAACCTGGTCGACGCGGAGTACCTATTCCCGGACCAGCCTATAAACTGCCCGAAAGTGATGGATATGAGTGTAGAAGGAGGAAGGGAGGTGTCGGATACGAGGTGCACTCATAAGGGGGATGACTTGCGGCTGGATATGTTTCTTCCGCAGTACTACGAGCTTCGGGACGTGTACTTGGATGGGGATGGCCTGGTGTTTAATGAGTCGGTGTTCTTTGACAGACACAGCTGTGCTGACAAGGGGAATGTGAGTGAATGGGCGCTTCTGAGAATTTTCAGGGTGGTTTTGAGGATAGCTTGCGGCTGGATAAGTTTTTTTCCCGGTATTACGAGTTGCAGGTCGTCTACCTGGATGGGATGGATGGGGATGGGGATGGGGATGGGGATGGCCTTGTGTTTAACAGAACGGTGTTCTTTGATTGGCCTTCCCATACCCCCTTGTGTCCCACTCTCAGTGCAGTTCTCCTTTGAACCAGGCAAGGCCAAGGTCCATCACTACGACCGGCTGTTGTCTCTCATGTACCCCCTGGGCGTCGCATTCTACCACGTGCTCATAGAGCTTGTGAGCTGTCTTCAACCTTCGCATTCCCCCTTATTTCCCACTCTGTCTCTCCCTCTGTCTCCCTCTGTCTCCCTCCCCTCTCTGCAGTTCTCATTCGAGCCAGGCAAGGCCAAGGTCCATCACTACGACCGTGTGGTCTCCCTCATGTACCCACTGGGCATCGCATTCTATCACGTGCTCATCGAGCTCGTGCCTCACCTCTTTGTGCTCTCTCCTCTGCTGCGAGACAACCCCTCCATCCCCATCGCCATCGCCTCGCACCAGGTATGCTGGTTTCATTAACTCGTTGAATGTTATCTCCCCTCTCATCCCCATTACCATCGCCCGCCATCCCCGTTGCCTCTCCTCTTCGTGTTCTCCCTCTGCTGCCCGACAACCATCCCCATCGCCATCACCTCCCACCGGGTACGTTGGGCTTTAAAGGTTGGCCAAAACCATTCCCATCCCCATCCCTATCCCTATCACGCCCATTTCCGCCCATCACCATCCCCATCACTTGGGATTGCCCCCGTGGACTCTCCTGGAGAGCAATACCTTGGCGTCACTGCCGTTGAGTCTCTTCTAAATCGTTCCTTGATCCTTTGTGTGCGTGCGTCCTTTCTCCCCCCCTGGTTCCTCGCGTGCAATGTGAGTGTGTCTGCTGTCGGTCAGGTGAAGGCGTTCAGCAGTCTCCTGGTGCCCTTCCTCGGTATCCCAGCCACCGCTCTCAACCTCGCTGTCATCCCCAACCGACACGCTGATGTCAATCTGCTCATCCACGTGGATGTCTTGTACCAGGTAATTCCCGTGTCAGATCTCTTGTTACCAATGTATTCTCCTCTGCCCCACCCCGTTCCCTGAGCTTGACACCCCTTTTCCATCCCCCCCTGCGCTCGTTTCCCCCCAGCCAGTGTACCAGGCCACTGCCCTGTGGTCGCCTCGCCCTTCCCTTGTGGGGGGAGCTGCACTCCACTCCACGACCTCCCGTGACACCTCTTTTCCATCCCGCTCTGCCAGTGGGTTCCTTTCCTCACCAGTGTACCAAGCCTGGCCAGTGGTCGCTCTGCCAGTGGGTTCCTTTCCTCACCAGTGTACCAAGCCTGGCCAGTGGTCGCTCTGCCAGTGGGTTCCTTTCCTCACCAGTGTACCAAGCCTGGCCAGTGGTCGCTCTGCCAGTGGGTTCCTTTCCTCACCAGTGTACCAAGCCTGGCCAGTGGTCGCTCTGCCAGTGGGTTCCTTTCCTCACCAGTGTACCAAGCCTGGCCAGTGGTCGCTCTGCCAGTGGGTTCCTTTCCTCACCAGTGTACCAAGCCTGGCCAGTGGTCACTCTGCGCCCGCCATGTGGGGGGAGCTGCGCCACCGCATCCTGCTGCCCCACTGTCCCCTTCACAACCCCTGCCCCTCCTTCCCTTCGCCCTCTCTTTCCATAAACTCCCCTTCCCCACCACCCAGCCAGTGTACCAGGCGTGTGGTCGCTCCGCACCTGCCATGTGGGGCGAGCTGCGCCGCCGCTTCCTTCTCCCCCCTGCCGGCCTGCCCCTCTTCCGCCCTGGCCTGGTCCCACGCCACAACCACACCCACTTTCTCCCACCTACTGCTGATTCACCAGCCACCACCACCCCCACCAGTGCTGACAGCAGCATCCCTGTTAGGGCTGGTGACATCAGCGAGACGGATGTGCCCCTGTGGTCTGACGCGCAGACCGCCCGGCTGCCGTACAGCTGGCGCGCCGTGATTGCGCACCGGCGCGGTGCGATGCGCCACCTGGCGGCGTTTGATTCGCTCGTGGCGGAGATGAAGCGAGTTTTTCCGCCGCAGAGGGTGTTTGTGTTCGAAGGGGACCTGCCCATCCTGCAAGGTGCGTGAGGTGGCATCTGCTGTGCTTGTGTTATTAAGGTCTCGATCCCTACCTGCTCGCATTTCACACAGAGGGTGTTTGTGTTCGAAGGGGACCTGCCCATCCTGCGAGGTGCGTATGCTGTGCTGCAGTGCAAGGTGTATGGGTGGGTTATGTTGAGATCTTATCAGTCTCGGTTCTACCTGCCAGTGTTGCACACAGTGTTCCCCCCGCAGCGGGTGTTTGTGTTCGAAGGGAACCTGCCCATCCTGCAAGGTGCGTATGCTGTGATTTTTTAGGCGCCTCAAAAGTCTACCCATCCCATACTGCAAGGTGCATATGCTGTGCTATGCTGCAAGGCGGGGTCTGGTCTGTTGTTCTGCAATTTGAGTGAATAATGCTGATATCTGATGGGGATCAATCCCTACCTGCCATCTTGCACAGTGTTCCCACCGCAATCAGCAGGCCTCTCCTCTCCAACATAATAATAATGCCCGCCCATCCCCTTCCCCTTCCCCACCTCCTTTCGTTGTTGGCTCTCATGCTCTCCTCCGCCCCCAAGCCAAACTCCTCTTCAACCGAGCAGCGGTCTATGTGGATCTGCACGGAGCAGGTCTCTCCAGCATGATCTTCATGCCATCCAATCACCCCTCTCTGCCTTACTGCCGCTCTCTTCTCGTTCTACATCCCACCCCCTTCATGTACCAGCCAAGCTTCTCTGGCAACAGAGCAGCAGTCTTTGTGGGGATTGCACGGAGCAGGTGTATCCGGCATGATCTTCATGCCCTCGAACCCCCCTGCCACCCTCATCCCTGCCCGTAACTCTCTCTCCCCTCCCGCCCCCAGCCAAACTCCTCTTCAACCGAGCAGCGGTCTATGTGGGCTTGCACGGAGCAGGCCTCTCCAACATGATCTTCATGCCCTCCAATTCCTCCGTCTTCGAAATCCGACCCAGGGATTACCCCAACCCCTGCTACCACCACTTAACCATGGCTACGCAACAGAACTACTACCTGGTGTTTGGAAATGGGACCAAGGATTCGGAGCTGAGGTATAACATGAGTGAGGTGGTGAGTGTTTTGAGGGTGATAGCGGATCAGACTAAAAGGAGGGTGTCTGCAAGGTCCTGGGAGGTGGAGGAAATAGGTTCAGCACTAGATGAATTAAAAGAGAGTGATTATATGGATATTATTCTAGATAGTGACAAAAGTAGGAACCAAGATCCAACCTAGTCCAAGCTCAATTGATCTTTGAGCATTTCAGTCAATCAGAATGGTGTTTAACATTTCCTTTTGCATTTCACAGACCATCAAAATATGGGTATTCAACAATATTTTGTTGGCTTCCCACTCACTAAATTTACCTGAACATAGAATTTGGACACCATTATGATGTGAGTTGGAACTTCAATTTACATACAGCACACATTTCCTGCATGGCTTCTTGAATTCCTACATTTTAGGCATCTTGCCTGCTTTCCCAATTCCTGAAGTACGCATTTCTTTCCCAATCCCTGTATTTCAAGCATCCTCTTCACAATTCGCGCAAGCAACTACACCTTCCTAATCCCGATCCAACCGGTACGCTCGCCCCCTGAACACAGCACCACCAGAGCCACCACCCACCCCTGCCGCAGCTACTCCTCCTGCAGCCCCTCCTGCCGCTCCTCCTCCTCCCCCTGCTACAGGGCCGCGGGCCGGAGTGGGCCGCGGGGGTGCCTGGGGCTGCACCATGTTGGGTGCTACAGCCGCCCACTGTGCTACAATCCGATGGCTGGAGGATGGAGGGGATGAAGGGGATGGGTGTGTAGAGGGTGAGGAGGAAAGGGGTGAGTGGAAAGTGTTGTTGCACACACGAGCAACTATGCCAGCTGGGGTTGCATCATGTGCTACAGCCGGCCACTGCGCTACAAGCGGGCGGCTGGAGGGTGGAGGGAGAAGAGAATGCTAAGGGTGGAACAGAATGGGATGGGTGGAAAACTGCGTTTGCCTGGGGTTGCACCATGTTGTGCCGCGTGCAGCTCCCCACTGCACTACAAGCCTCCTGTGCGTGCATACACGGGGATGATGAAGTAGTAGATGTGACCTCTTGGCCTGCCCCTCTAAAAGACATCTCCATAGAGAAAGAAAAGAACATGAGGAGGGACTTACACCCAGAGTGGCGTTGTCTGTGGTAAACAGGTGGTCTGTGGTAAACAGGTGGGCTGTGGATGTCTTATGTCCATCAACTTAAACTGTTTCTTAGGACGACGAAGCAAACTCCACGAAATGAAAAAATGAAAGAGCCTGGAAAGCTTGTAAGCTAGAGCGTATTAGAGAGCCAGAATGAACAAAACGTCAACTTAAAAAGAACATGAGGAGGGACTTACACCCAGAGTGGCGTGCGGATGAGCTGAGCCCCCCCTGTGCGCGGATACACGGCCGTGAGGAAGTAGTAGATGTGACCCGCCACTATGCCGGCTAGCGAGTCAACCACGCTCATTCCAAAGAGCAGATCCATGAAGAGGTATGCCCATGGCAGGTAGAACGCCTGTTGGTGAGAGTGGATGGGAGGGGAGAGGAGCAGAAGATGGTGAAACGGATCTAGTGCAGAGCGAGAGATTCAGCGATGCTCATTCCAATATGCAGGCCCACGAATAGTTATGCCCAGGGCAGGTAGACCCATGAAATTGACAACACCGTTGGAATTCTCCCGGATCCACATGTAGACGACTGAGAGGAGCAGAGGCTCCCTAAGGAAGAGGCACTTAAAGGGGATAAACAGGAAGAGGAATACAAGGGGCGCCATAGAGAGGGGACTCACGGGCATGGATAGAAGACCCATGAAGTTGACGACACCGTTGGGATTCTCCCGGCTCCACAGGTAGATGACCGAGAGGAGCAGCGGCTCACTAAGGAAGAAGATCTTAAAGGGGATGAGGAGGGCGATGAGCAGCAGGCTGAGCGTGTTGATCATGAGCATGTAGAGAAAGTCCGCTGTTCTTCCGGCGAAAGCTGATGTCTCCATCTGTACACAGTAGCGGGCTCTGCAATAACGAGGATGGCAGTTTAAGAGCCAGAAAAAGATGTCATGTATGAGACTTAGGATTGAGCTTTCTGATCATGTGAAATTAAATGAGCAAGAGAACGAGGAGGTATTAAGGTGCAGTGGTCGAGCGTGGAGAGGGAGTATGAAGGGGCACTGAGAAGAGGATAATGGACAGCAGGAATTAATAGGAGGTTGAAGGAAAGCTGGAGAAAGAATGAGGAAGGAAAAGGGGGGGGGGGAAGGAACATAAGCTAGAGAAAAGGGGGGAAGTCTTCGTACATCATAAGGAGAGTGAAGGCGAATCTCATGCTGAATCCTCCTGCAAAGAAGATGCTTGTAACGAGACGCCATATCTGAACGTCACAAGACAAGCATGCATATATGAAGGATGCATGCACACAGTTCACGAAGGGGCGTGTCAGAAAATGAGGTAGCCTAGTAAACTTCCTGTTATGTACGGTCAATCATGAACATATATGCCAATCTACGCATGGGAAGATAGCAATCTCCATGCAAAGAAACAGAGAACGGAGCAACGGTAAGAACGGGGGATAGAACCTGGAATTTCTGGAATATGGAGGCGTAGTCGAGGAAGATGAGCTGCACTGGCAGCACTTTGAGCTGCATGGCGCATGCGGTGGCGAATAGCGCCGTTCCCCATGCCTTGCTGACTGGCGGGAGGGAGTTGTACCACCTGAGATGTATACGAGGCGGGGATGAGATTAACTGTATCAATTAAGGCGCCTCAGAAAGGGAATTGTACCACCTGTAGACGTAGTGAGAGTATTGCAGCACGCGTGAGAGATATTATAAACCACACTGCATGCTTAGAAAGAACACGCTTCTACTCGGCGGTTTAAGGAGTAAACGACAGGCGTCAACGACAGGGGTCAGCGACAGGGGTCAGCGACAGGGGTCAGCGACAGGGGTCAGCGACAGGGGTCAGCGACAGGGGTTAACGACAGGGTTCAACGACAGGGGTCAACGACTGGCACCAGCGACAGGCCCTGCGCATAGCTGATTCGCCGACGGGAAGTAGCGACGCTTACTCTGCGGGACTCGCTGCTGCCATGGCGACAGAATTGCGAAGATCTCGGCAATCTCGGCGATCTTGGCGACCGGGAGATCACGGACGTGTCTAAGCTTGCAGCCTATGAGAACGATGTCCACAACGTGGCCTTGGCGGGTGTGCAACGTTCAAGATGTAGCGCAGCGCGAATATGGTATCCCTCAGTATTCTTTAGGTAGAATCTAGAACGTATGGAAATGAAGAAGCTTGGCGCTGACGACGTTCCTTCCTCGGCGAAATGATTCTTCCACGGAACGCTTTCGCAAAATGCTCAATTTTGAATTTTCGTGATGCTTTGGGGAGGTCGCATAATTTTTGCGAATGTGCAGATAGTTACCGGACTGGCATGTTCTGAGGAACGTAAGATCTGGTTGAGCGAGTGACTGCCGAGTCCAGACAAGGAAGGTGAGTGCACGGTTCCAGATTTTAACACGGCCAGCAACGGTTTAGTGAGTTTCTGTGCGTTTTAGAGCGTTCTGAATTGAATGCCGACATTCCCTAGGCTTCGCACCACATCCTAGTTCTGGCGATTATCCAGCAGGAATCCAGCTTGTCAGTAATCGATCATGGATTTCCGCTCATTTGACTCCCTCTAGTCCTCGTCTCGCCGATCATTTAGTCTTTTGGTAGTTCTCCGGTCTCTCTGTCACGTTACGGCAGCATCTTTGTTTATGGCAGACAAGCGTAAGGGTTCTCGAAGACTTGCTGCATCGCAAGCTGCCATGGCGATTCGATCGAAGTCGACGATAGTGAAGCTGCTCTCGATTCTCGCGCTGTGGATCGTCGTCATTGGCTTGTTACAGCTGCTTCGCACGTCGTGCAACTATTTCGCGAGCTCGCGGAGTCCGCCATCGTCCGATCCTCCCGCTGGGTTTTCCAATTCCACGAGAATACCGAAGCGCCTGTTTATTAACTACGCACACAATTGCTGCCACTTGGGCCAGCGGACCTCGTGTCAGGCCGCGTTACAGCACGGCGCGGATCGCTGCATTCAATACAATCACACCTCTTTGGATCTCGATTTCACCTCTCGAAACAATAAGATCTTATCCCTTCCTCGAGGCGTGGGATACTGGGTGTGGAAACCGTACCTTATAATGAAGACGCTTTTAGAGGAAATGGAGGATGGAGATTTGCTACTATACGCAGACGCCGATAGCACCACAAACGCGGATTTATCCGCGTTATACGGCCTTGCAGCTGGTAACGGGGAAAACTATGCTCCTGGCGGGATAGTGGATGGAATTGTGTCGAGGATGGCGTTAAACGATGGGGATGACTCGGACGGCGGCGTTAAAGACATCATGAAATGGGCTTTAAGTCAACAGGAGGTTCATTTGTTTCAATTCCCGCCCAATTTCGTGGAAGCTTGCTGGACCAAGATGGACGTTTTCCTTCTGCTCAACTGCACTGATGAAAACATTTGCATGAAATCCGCTCAGGTGAGCTTATTACGGGTACGGGTTGGGAGAGGGGAGAGGGGGAAAGGGGTGGAGGGTGTAGGGTGGGGGGAGGAGGGGAGAGAAGGATTTGGACTGATTGCTGACTTTCATGATATGATGCCTTCCAGCTCCTATCCCCGCACTAACCCTTCCTCCCTCCCCCCCCCTTTTCTCTCCCAACTTCCCTGCCCACCCGACTGTCATCCTTTCCCTCCCCTGCTCCGACACCTTCTCCCTCCCCCACTCCGACAACTTCCCCCTCCCCCGCTCTCACACACCTTCCCCCTCCCCCGCTCTCACACACCTTCCCCCTACCCCTCCCCCTCTCCCCTCTTCCTGCCACACCAAACCTGTCAGGTCGATGCAGGTTTCTCTGCGTGGCGCCGCGGGCGGCAGTCAATCCAGTTCGCCGCCCAGTGGCTCTTGGGTACATAGAGGACCCGCGCGTGTCAATGGGACCCGAGGGGGGTTGGATTGCATTGGACTGATTGCCAAATTGCATGATATAATGCCTTCCAACCAACCTATCTCCCATCTCCCTTATCTCCCTCCTCCCCTCCCATCTGTACTGTCCTTTTCCCGCGCCTACACCTCCCCCCTCCCCCTCTCCCCCCATGCTGCAACAAACCTGTCAGGTCGATGCGGGTTTCTCCGTGTGGCGGCGCGGGCGGCAGTCAATCCAGTTCGCCGGCCAGTGGCTCGGGTATATGGAGGACCCGCGCGTGTCAACGGACCTGCCGAACCAGCTGGGTCGGCCGAACCACGCGTGCTTCATGGACCACCGGCACGACCAATCCGCGCTGGGGCTGCTGGCGAAGCGGGGGGGGCTGCACATGTGGCCGCATGATGTGGTGGAGGAGGTTATCAGTCACCACTGGAACAAGGAGTGAAGGCTGCTTACTTTATGTGTGCGCACGTGCAGCAAGCGAAAATATTGTTCAAGTCAGAGCACAAAGAAAAGGTGTGTGTCTTGACTGGGTGTACCAAGGCATTTCGGTGTTTTTGCGTTCTCTTGTTCCCTCATCTTCCCTTGATGCTCCATCCTCTCTAATTCCCGCATTCTCCCATTCAGGCACCACCCCATTCCCTCGTTCAGGAATATCCATCGTGCAGTTATATCCAAGCTCTTCTGTAAGAACCAGGTACAGCATGCCCCGCCTCTTGCCTCTCACATGGCAGGCTGAGAAGGAGGCAAAGGCTGACGCTGCCAAGAAGGCAGCAAAGGTGGCGGCAGCTGGGGATGTTTCTTTGCTCTTCTGGGTATTATGATGCATTGTATGTGCATGGATGGACCATTCACCCTGTTGGGCTGAGAAAAAGCCCTTAGGATCTTTGCAGGACTACCGTAAATTCCTTGTAGACTGATGTAATAGCGGAAGCGTTTAATTAAAGGTTGTGAACCACCTTGCGCTGGTATGTGAGGGCAAAGTGGATTGATTAAAGTAAAGATATACAATCTTTTATAAGAGTACAAGGGAATATGAAGAGTTATAACTAATAACTGTTTTGCTGTTGCTGTTGCGGTTCGATACAGTGACGACTCGGGCAACTACTCAATAGCGAGTCAGTTGTTTGTCCTTGCTTGTCGCGCTGTATTTGTCAGGTCAAAGGTCGCTGACCTTTGACTTTCGCGTAACCTCCAGCAGTTGTTCAACCTCCGAGGGTTGACTCGCGATGCTTCGATATGTTCTGCTTCGCTTCTGACTTGGTGTTTCGACACGACAGGGGCGCTTAAGTTACTTGTTTCCAACACACCCATCAGATTACATAGAACTGCAGGCATAGTCCCCTAGGAGAAGCGCACACATGAGAAAGTATCATGGAACTGCCCACATATTCTCCTAGAAGTTCACATGAGAAACGATTGAACTGCATGCATAGTCCCCAAGAAGTTCCCTACTCCACTATCCATGCTTCACTGCTACACTACTCCCATGTTTCACTGCTCCACTGCTTCACTGCTCTGGTGCTTCTCTGCTCCACTTTTCCTTGAGACCACCACCATCCCTCGAGCCAGCCACAATCCATCCATCTTTTTTCGCATCTCAGCCCAGCACGGCGGTGTGTGAGCACTTAGTAAACCCAATGGCATCTCTGGTGTAAAAATACACCGTATGTCAACCTAGATTGGTATTGCTTAATCAGGAGCCCAAAGCTCAAGCAACATGGTAATTTTTCCAACACCTTAGGGCTCTAGGTATGCATAATCAGACATCCTTTCTGGCTCTCCCCGACCAACCTGTTGCCATACCTACAACTGAGGCACGGGCTTGAGCTCAATCTTTAGGTCTGGTGCCGAACCAAATACTGGCAGGTCACCTGGGTCCACATTCGGCACACTGCTGGCACCAGAGTTGCCTGCCGAGCCTGCAGAAGGGGCTTGGGCCACAGCCAGGTCTGGAGAGGACTGGAGTGCGTCGAGAATCATGTGAAGGAACAAGCGGTGCCTGTTCAAGCGCACATGGGGAAAGGTAGATGGCACGAACACAGGGGGACGGGTCACAAAGAAGAATCAAGGAACAAGCGGTGCCTGTTCAAGCACACATGGGGAAAGGTAGATGGCACGAACACAGGGGGACGGGTCACAAAGAAGAATCAAGGAACAAGCGGTGCCTGTTCAAGCGCACATGGGGAAAGGTAGATGGCACGAACACAGGGGGACGGGTCACAAAGAAGAATCAAGGAACAAGCGGTGCCTGTTCAAGCGCACATGGGGAAAGGTAGATGGCACGAACACAGGGGGACGGGTCACAAAGAAGAATCAAGGAACAAGCGGTGCCTGTTCAAGCGCACATGGGGAAAGGTAGATGGCACGAACACAGGGGGACGGGTCACAAAGAAGAATCAAGGAACAAGCGGTGCCTGTTCAAGCGCACATGGGGAAAGGTAGATGGCACGAACACAGGGGGACGGGTCACAAAGAAGAATCAAGGAACAAGCGGTGCCTGTTCAAGCGCACATGGGGAAAGGTAGATGGCACGAACACAGGGGGACGGGTCACAAAGAAGAATCAAGGAACAAGCGGTGCCTGTTCAAGCGCACATGGGGAAAGGTAGATGGCACGAACACAGGGGGACGGGTCACAAAGAAGAATCAAGGAACAAGCGGTGCCTGTTCAAGCGCACATGGGGAAAGGTAGATGGCACGAACACAGGGGGACGGGTCACAAAGAAGAATCAAGGAACAAGCGGTGCCTGTTCAAGCGCACATGGGGAAAGGTAGATGGCACGAACACAGGGGGACGGGTCACAAAGAAGAATCAAGGAACAAGCGGTGCCTGTTCAAGCGCACATGGGGAAAGGTAGATGGCACGAACACAGGGGGACGGGTCACAAAGAAGAATCAAGGAACAAGCGGTGCCTGTTCAAGCGCACATGGGGAAAGGTAGATGGCACGAACACAGGGGGACGGGTCACAAAGAAGAATCAAGGAACAAGCGGTGCCTGTTCAAGCGCACATGGGGAAAGGTAGATGGCACGAACACAGGGGGACGGGTCACAAAGAAGAATCAAGGAACAAGCGGTGCCTGTTCAAGCGCACATGGGGAAAGGTAGATGGCACGAACACAGGGGGACGGGTCACAAAGAAGAATCAAGGAACAAGCGGTGCCTGTTCAAGCGCACATGGGGAAAGGTAGATGGCACGAACACAGGGGGACGGGTCACAAAGAAGAATCAAGGAACAAGCGGTGCCTGTTCAAGCGCACATGGGGAAAGGTAGATGGCACGAACACAGGGGGACGGGTCACAAAGAAGAATCAAGGAACAAGCGGTGCCTGTTCAAGCGCACATGGGGAAAGGTAGATGGCACGAACACAGGGGGACGGGTCACAAAGAAGAATCAAGGAACAAGCGGTGCCTGTTCAAGCGCACATGGGGAAAGGTAGATGGCACGAACACAGGGGGACGGGTCACAAAGAAGAATCAAGGAACAAGCGGTGCCTGTTCAAGCGCACATGGGGAAAGGTAGATGGCACGAACACAGGGGGACGGGTCACAAAGAAGAATCAAGGAACAAGCGGTGCCTGTTCAAGCGCACATGGGGAAAGGTAGATGGCACGAACACAGGGGGACGGGTCACAAAGAAGAATCAAGGAACAAGCGGTGCCTGTTCAAGCGCACATGGGGAAAGGTAGATGGCACGAACACAGGGGGACGGGTCACAAAGAAGAATCAAGGAACAAGCGGTGCCTGTTCAAGCGCACATGGGGAAAGGTAGATGGCACGAACACAGGGGGACGGGTCACAAAGAAGAATCAAGGAACAAGCGGTGCCTGTTCAAGCGCACATGGGGAAAGGTAGATGGCACGAACACAGGGGGACGGGTCACAAAGAAGAATCAAGGAACAAGCGGTGCCTGTTCAAGCGCACATGGGGAAAGGTAGATGGCACGAACACAGGGGGACGGGTCACAAAGAAGAATCAAGGAACAAGCGGTGCCTGTTCAAGCGCACATGGGGAAAGGTAGATGGCACGAACACAGGGGGACGGGTCACAAAGAAGAATCAAGGAACAAGCGGTGCCTGTTCAAGCGCACATGGGGAAAGGTAGATGGCACGAACACAGGGGGACGGGTCACAAAGAAGAATCAAGGAACAAGCGGTGCCTGTTCAAGCGCACATGGGGAAAGGTAGATGGCACGAACACAGGGGGACGGGTCACAAAGAAGAATCAAGGAACAAGCGGTGCCTGTTCAAGCGCACATGGGGAAAGGTAGATGGCACGAACACAGGGGGACGGGTCACAAAGAAGAATCAAGGAACAAGCGGTGCCTGTTCAAGCGCACATGGGGAAAGGTAGATGGCACGAACACAGGGGGACGGGTCACAAAGAAGAATCAAGGAACAAGCGGTGCCTGTTCAAGCGCACATGGGGAAAGGTAGATGGCACGAACACAGGGGGACGGGTCACAAAGAAGAATCAAGGAACAAGCGGTGCCTGTTCAAGCGCACATGGGGAAAGGTAGATGGCACGAACACAGGGGGACGGGTCACAAAGAAGAATCAAGGAACAAGCGGTGCCTGTTCAAGCGCACATGGGGAAAGGTAGATGGCACGAACACAGGGGGACGGGTCACAAAGAAGAATCAAGGAACAAGCGGTGCCTGTTCAAGCGCACATGGGGAAAGGTAGATGGCACGAACACAGGGGGACGGGTCACAAAGAAGAATCAAGGAACAAGCGGTGCCTGTTCAAGCGCACATGGGGAAAGGTAGATGGCACGAACACAGGGGGACGGGTCACAAAGAAGAATCAAGGAACAAGCGGTGCCTGTTCAAGCGCACATGGGGAAAGGTAGATGGCACGAACACAGGGGGACGGGTCACAAAGAAGAATCAAGGAACAAGCGGTGCCTGTTCAAGCGCACATGGGGAAAGGTAGATGGCACGAACACAGGGGGACGGGTCACAAAGAAGAATCAAGGAACAAGCGGTGCCTGTTCAAGCGCACATGGGGAAAGGTAGATGGCACGAACACAGGGGGACGGGTCACAAAGAAGAATCAAGGAACAAGCGGTGCCTGTTCAAGCGCACATGGGGAAAGGTAGATGGCACGAACACAGGGGGACGGGTCACAAAGAAGAATCAAGGAACAAGCGGTGCCTGTTCAAGCGCACATGGGGAAAGGTAGATGGCACGAACACAGGGGGACGGGTCACAAAGAAGAATCAAGGAACAAGCGGTGCCTGTTCAAGCGCACATGGGGAAAGGTAGATGGCACGAACACAGGGGGACGGGTCACAAAGAAGAATCAAGGAACAAGCGGTGCCTGTTCAAGCGCACATGGGGAAAGGTAGATGGCACGAACACAGGGGGACGGGTCACAAAGAAGAATCAAGGAACAAGCGGTGCCTGTTCAAGCGCACATGGGGAAAGGTAGATGGCACGAACACAGGGGGACGGGTCACAAAGAAGAATCAAGGAACAAGCGGTGCCTGTTCAAGCGCACATGGGGAAAGGTAGATGGCACGAACACAGGGGGACGGGTCACAAAGAAGAATCAAGGAACAAGCGGTGCCTGTTCAAGCGCACATGGGGAAAGGTAGATGGCACGAACACAGGGGGACGGGTCACAAAGAAGAATCAAGGAACAAGCGGTGCCTGTTCAAGCGCACATGGGGAAAGGTAGATGGCACGAACACAGGGGGACGGGTCACAAAGAAGAATCAAGGAACAAGCGGTGCCTGTTCAAGCGCACATGGGGAAAGGTAGATGGCACGAACACAGGGGGACGGGTCACAAAGAAGAATCAAGGAACAAGCGGTGCCTGTTCAAGCGCACATGGGGAAAGGTAGATGGCACGAACACAGGGGGACGGGTCACAAAGAAGAATCAAGGAACAAGCGGTGCCTGTTCAAGCGCACATGGGGAAAGGTAGATGGCACGAACACAGGGGGACGGGTCACAAAGAAGAATCAAGGAACAAGCGGTGCCTGTTCAAGCGCACATGGGGAAAGGTAGATGGCACGAACACAGGGGGACGGGTCACAAAGAAGAATCAAGGAACAAGCGGTGCCTGTTCAAGCGCACATGGGGAAAGGTAGATGGCACAAACACAGGGGGACGGGTCACAAAGAAGAATCAAGGAACAAGCGGTGCCTGTTCAAGCGCACATGGGGAAAGGTAGATGGCACGAACACAGGGGGACGGGTCACAAAGAAGAATCAAGGAACAAGCGGTGCCTGGTAAAGCACACATGGGAGCAGGCGGATGGCAGGAACAGATTGGTGTATTCGAACGGGGAATGGGTAATGGTGGGTGCAGAGAGGGATGGACGCACATGCGTATCGAAGTGCAGGTGAGAAAATGTGGCAGTGATTGAGGAGATTGGAGTGAAGAGGCTGGTCTAGAATAGGAAGGGCTTTAGAACAGACGAGATGTGAGCATGTGGTCTCTCACCATCTGAGGTCGGCTGTGAGCTCTGGATGGAATGCCGTGGCCAACAGTCTGCCCTGCCTCACCGCCACTGCCACCCGGTCCAACTGGCAGACGAGTCAACAGAGTCAACAGAGGGGAAAACAGGAAGCATAAGAAAGGTCAACAGAGTCAACTGGGGGGGGAAACATAAGTCAACATGGCACAAGCCAACAGAGTGAACACTCAAGGGGGTGAGGAAAACATGCGACACATAAGCTTGCGACAATCCAAAACAGCAATGGGAGGAGAAAAAACAGGCGGCATAGGTCATGGAGGAGGAGAGAAGGAGAGTGGAACAGTCTATCGCCGTTGAAGAGCAATGAGGGCCCCTTAGGAGGCACGTGGGGCATTTGAATACCTCATTTTAAATTTCTCACCTTTGCTAGAATTTCTTCTTCGGAAAGCTCCTGGCCACTCTGGTCAGGCACGGCCGAAGCAGCAGCTGCGGGCTCGGCCGAACCAGCGCCTGCAGGTGCGGCCGGGGCAGCAGGTGCAGCGACGGCAGAGGCACGGTTGGGAAGAGGGTACTCCGCCAGCACCTCAACAGCAGGGCCGGTGTGGATGATAGCAGGGGCTCGGATGAACACAGCCCGAAAGGGGGAGGCTTGAGACTGGGAAGGTGTGGGTGGTGCTGCAGGCGCTGCTGCTGCTGTTGATGTTGATGGTTCTGACGGTGGTGCTGCTGAAGAGGTGGATTGAAGGGTGTGGTGCGGGAAGGGAAGGAGAGTCTCAAAGCTGTTGATCTGCATGGGAAAGAGGGTGGGGGCGAGGGACTTGGATTAGCACGAGTACGTATGAGCACATACCCATACACACATCGGTGTGCATAGATGGAAACGACGTGGTGCACAGTACAGTACAGTACAGCCCCCCTTGCAACGATGGTGAGCAGGTGCAGTGCAGTCCAGCCCCCCCAGCAGCACCTCCTATTGATGTCAACTCAAGCCACACTTTTAACGAGTCATTCACTGTCAAAACAGGCCCCCCAACCCCAACACCCACCTGACTGCCTAAAAAAGTTAGGATGCATGGTGCAGTCCAGCCCCCCTTGCAACGCCTGCCTTTAATGCAGACTCAAGCCACACCTTTAACGAGTCACTCACTGATGGGACAGCGCCCCGTACCTGGCGCCCCTACACTTCACCTGGCTGCCAAAGAAGTTGCGATGCACGGTGCAGTCCAGTCCCCCCAGCAGCGCCTGCCTAGAGCCACTAACGGGACATCCCCCATCACACACCTCTCACAACCTGACAATCCCCCAAACTCCCCTGGACAAGCCTCCATCCCTCCTGGCTGCCGAAGAAGTTGCGGTGCACGGTGCAGTCCAGTCCCCCCAGCAGCGCCTGCCTTTAAATAATAAAAGTTGACTCAAGCAAGCCACTCACTGACGGGACATCCCCCATCACACAACCCCCTCTTTCCGAAATCCACCTGGCTGCCAAAGAAGTTGCGGTGCACGGTGCAGTCCAGTCCCCCAAGCAGCGCCTGCCCTCCTGACTTCTGACCTGCCAGGACCGGAGCAGAGGCCCGTCCGGAGGGAGAGAATGCAGCACAGGGGAGAGCAGGGAGCGAGTATAGACGTGAAGAGGTTCAGGAGGGAGACATTGAACCAGGGAATGCACGCAATGCATAGACAGCTTCCCCTGCTGTATAGACAGCTTTCTGAAGCAATGCTCGCCCTCATAATGTTTAACTAAGCGCATTTTTCCAGCCACGGTCCAGTCCTCCCCTCTCCCTCCTCTCCCCTCCCTCCTCCCCTCTACCCCTCTCCTCCCGTGCCTTGTTCACCAGGAGTATGGGTCCAGCACTCATTCCCCACACCGTGTGTACCCCCCTCCCCCAATTTTTTCCCCCCTCCCAAACCAAACCCTCCTTCTCCACTCCCTCTCCCTCCAAACAACCTCTCCCCACACCCACCTAGCGCCTTGATAGCCAGGAATATGAGCCCAGAGCACGTCCCCCACACCGTGTGTACCCCCCTCCCCCTCCACTTCCCCCCTCTCCCCCCACGCACCTAGCGCCTTGTTAGCCAGGAATATGAGTCCGGCGCACGTCCCCCACACTGGCCGCCCAGAGGCTGCGAATTCCTGCAGCGCGCCGAGCTGGGAGAAGGGGCGCGAGGGGTGGGGGGGAGATGGGTGGTCAGTCATGACGTTTTGAGTCAACTCTTTGAGTCGCTGGGAGAAGGCGCAAGGGGTCAGGGAAGGGGAATGATCAGCCCGGAAGGATGGGATGCTGTGGCTACATGTGTGGTGCTACATGTGTGGTGCTACATGTGGTGCTCGCTCCCCCCATCGGGAATGGCGGATCCAAGGTTACAGGGTTAGAGGAGAAGAGGACAGAGGAACAGACGATTAGAGTTCAAGGGCATCGCACCAGTCCGCATCGCTGGGCGAGGTTGGCCATGGTGGTGCTCTCCCCGACGGGGATGATGACGGGAAGGGGGGTAGCCAAAACGATAGCGTGGAGGGCAGGCATTGGAACGAGGGATAGTGGGGCGAAGGGCCAGAGGCACAGGGGGAAGGCGTCAAAGCACCTCACCAGTCCGCATCGCTGGGCGAGGTTGGCCATGGTGGTGCTCTCCCCGCCGGGGATAATGAGCGCCTGCACTGCGCGCAGCTCCGCGTCCGTGCGCACCTCCACAGCCTCGATGGTTAGCGCTTTCATGTCCGCCGCGCACCTGCGCAGCGCTGCGGAAGGAGGGGCAAATGGTTGGGGAGAGGGACGGACGGACGGGAATGATGAGCGCTTGAACTGACCGCAGCTCCGTGCAGTTCCTTGCAGGCCTCCACGCTCTATGCTGCCTGCGTTCATGTCCGCCGCGCACCTGCGTAGCACTGCGGCATGGCGGGAGGTAGGGGAGAGAGACGGGAATGATGAGCGCCTGCACGGCCCGCGGCGTCGCGTCAGGACGGACCTCTACCGCATCGAAAGCCGTTGCGTACCTGAGGAGAGCTGCCGGAGGGAAGGAGGGAGGGCCGGGTGATGAGGGAAGAAGGAGGGTGCACGCTCCGCAGCTCTGCGTGCGAGCACGCCTCGACTTTTCCGAAACGACGCGGCCATCTCGCAGATCTAGCTGTGATAACGAGCTCTGCACAGATCTGCGAGATGAATAGCCCACATGACTATAGTCGAAAGGCGACCTTTGACATGTCGAAAAGTGGCCTACTTGGAAGACGGGGATTGGTCTGCGACTTGCGGTGTGCACGAACGAGCAGGCTCAAAACGAACAAGCCTTGCAGAGAGTTTTCGGACACAAAGGCAGCAGTTTCGCAAAGCAATGAGCAACAGACGTATAATGTGATCCACAACAACCAATCGGTGATCACTGACACTCACCTGCAATGTGCTCGCGGAACGAGCCTTGCAGCGCCAGCACTCCCACTCGCATCAGGGGACTTGGCGCCGACCCAGAATCCGCTGCCATGGCTGCGATTGAGCACCGAGCGCTTGGGCCACGGATCCGCTTGGAAGCGACACGATCCGCTCACAATCTGATCAGCTTAGAGTCGCGGATCGGTTTGAAGCTACGGGTGAGATCTGATCAGTGCACTTTCTTCCAACGAAAGGATCGCGGAGTCGCGACAGCCTTCTAAGCCTTAAAACTGCTATTTGACGATTAGGTGAGTCAGGGTGCGGAGGCTGACACGATGGCGCAGTACATTGCGTGTGCGACTCGGTTCAGCTGCGATCTAGGGAGCGTCAAGCGCACGGCATGAACGAAGTCTGGGAACAGAGAAGATGACAGCGGACTTCTCGCTCCGGCCTAACGTTTGCGTGCACGGTTCATGCTGATTGGCTTACTGATAGTTGACGGTTATGAAGGAATAGGAGCTCCCTAGGTCCCTAGGTGTTGCCGTGTCTGTGGATTCTGTGATCAATCGTGATGAACAGAGAAGGCAGGCTGGTTAGGGGGACGTCAGGTTGTACAGCTTTTTGTACGCCCTCTCTGGTAAACTTCGTTTCAACACGGTGAAGAGCGGTAATTGTCGAGAACCGCTTTTCACCGTGTTAGACCGTCCTGAACCACGATACAGGAACTGTAAGCGCGTGTGAAGTGTATAACCTGACGTCGCCCTTATTAATTGTGGCATACGTGTGCCGTGCTGGTTGTGCCACGGCCACAGAAACACCGATTGGTTCTTATTGATGGCACTTGTTGCGTTCGGAGTTCGCGTCACGACACAAAACGAGTGTCACGCAACCAAAATGCTAAAGCAAAGAGGGCTCGGGGTTCGTGTCCCAGGCTCAGAAAAAGTAGCTCCATGTCAGCTGTGTAACGATGTCCTGATGATTTTTGAAACAAGCGCTGAAATGCCTTCATGATCTCAACTTATGGACGGCTCGTGTCGTGAATCGAAGACGTGAGGTATCAGCGACAGAATGTCTCGTTATGAGAAGCCCTCTAATTTTTAAAAAGCATCGCCTGCAAGTCTATCAGAACCGGGCTGATTATACTCAGCAAACGAAACATTCCATAACTGGTCGAATGATCAGGTGTTACCCTCCTAATGCGCGAGCTCCCCATCTTCAGCGACGAGCGCAGCGTGGCTGGTCGGTCGCACGCGACCCCATTTGCTGCTCGCTTCGCAGCAACCTGCAGCCCCCTTCAGCCGACGGCGAACGAGGCAACGACAATTAGCGAAACGGCACGTGAAGAGGCATCGTTCAGTTCCCAAACGAAACACCAAGTAGAATCGCATGCGTCGCGAGCCGACCATTTCGCATTCTCTGTCTCAAATGTTTTTTCGCGAACCTCATTCCTTGTCGCTCGCAACAATGTGCGCCATTTTTTGCAAGTCACTTGACAGTAAATTCCTAGCTCCGCCATTTCTCGTCCTCCTTACTCTCGTTGTAGCTCTGAACACCCTTAGCACGCTCAGCTCAGCCAGCATTCTCGATGGCGGCTGGCGGAAGCAGCAGGGCGCCTCACGGAACGTCTGGCGCGAAGAAATCAGCACGTGGCGAGGAGACAAACTCCCTGGCGCGAACCAGCAGCGAGAAGAGCAGGAGTATATTCGGCTCGGTTCAGCCCGGTTGAACGTGGAGGGTCTAAACAACGGTGACCTAGAAAATCCGGTTTATGGAGAGCTCGGGGCGCCTGTTACTCCAGGTGCAGCGTCTTTGCGACGACGGTCGCTTCAAGGCGAAGGCGGCGAAGAGAATTCCTTCGGTATGCTCGCCACGCCACGTAGCGTAACTCCCGGCATTCACGCTTCTCGCATTGTGTGCCTCCGATTCGTTGACTGCAAGTTCACGTGTTCAATTCGTCTCATGTGTTCACGCTTACGATTCACCGCTTCCAATTCTTCGCTCATGTGCTGATGTGAGTGTGTCGCAGAGTTCTTTCCCGACGACAGCTGGGAAGTCGTCGATCTTCCGTCAAGCGAACCTCCTCAGCCTCCCCCGGAAGTTCCCAGCGCCGACGCGCCTGATCCGCCCCCCGCGGACTCCGCGGAACCCCCCGTGGGCTCCCCGGACGACTCCTTCCCCTTTCCGCCGAACCCCGCGCCGTCGCCCGGCGACAGCGGCGACAGCCCGTCGCCCGCGCCCGCGTCGCTTCCCAGCCCGCCCGCGGCTCCCGCGCCGGCGGTCACGGGCGGAGTGGGCGAAGTCGCGTCCGTGTGGTGCCCGCGTTTGCTGCGACTGCCCGCCGACTTCATCGAAAACCCTCTCGAGGAGTTTAAAGCCCTCGACGAGGGCATGGCGAAGCTCTACGCGCGGCGTCCAGACGGGCAGTCCATCACTATATGGGTATCGGGGAAAGACTCCCCTGTGACTATATCGAGTATGCCGCCCACGTCCGAGCTTCTAGGGCTTGAGACGACGATGCCACAGATCGAGGGGATGGGGGAGCCATCAAACCCACACCTGGACCCGTTTTTCACGTCCTCCCTGCCGCCCTTCCCTGTGGTTCCCTTGAACTCTGTGCCGCCAGTAGTTGCTGCGCCTCCCCCTCCCCCTCCGCACTCGTTCTCCCCGCCTCCTCCCCCTGAGACCTCCACTCCAGCTTCCGAGTTTCCCCCACCTCCCCCTCCCCCGTACGTCCTTCTCGCCTCTCCTCCGCCTAACCCTCCGCCCTTTCCCCCGCAGTCACCACCTCCCCCAGATCCATCCAGTCCTGGTGGGGGAAATGTGAGTCAACCCAGCGGCCCAGGCAGCAGCTTCCCCCTGTGTAACCCGTCACCCATCCGGTGTGTGTTCAGGTTCATGGGGTATGAAGACAGAGTGCCAACGCTGGACATTACCAGTGCTTTGGCGGAGGAAGTGATCAGTCCTGCGTTGGTGGTGCTACGTGGTAACCGGACTTGTCGTGTGGTGGCGGCAAACAGTGGCGAGGGGAGGTCGATTTGCGTTCATGTGCGTGACGAGGTTTACCATGCGACAAGGAGCCAGTTTTACGCCAATGCGGAGGTGTGCGTCTGTTGCTCTTCCTGAATTTTCTGGTTCCTCAATAGTATTTCTACTACTGATACAAATCACCCTTCTTTCATGGATGGAATTGATGCAGGTTGTGCGAGTAAGGCAGTTCAATCCGCTGAGCATGAAGAGGGCGTTCTCGAACTCATACGTTCGTCTGGACATCAATTCAGCTCAAATTGAAGATGACGAGGGAATAGTCAACATCTTCTCTTCAAATGTCAAGGATTCTGAAGGCGACACCATACCACACAAGAAGAGCTGCATTATTTTTCACTTGAAGGCTTCGTAGCATCTCATTCTCTGCATGGGTTATATGCATTTAGGATTACTATGTGGGAGCCGCTCGCTCTCGTACAGCTAGGCCATGTCCGTGCTCACATGTATAGTTATGCTAGGCTACATATATTGGTACCTTTTTTTATAATACAATGGGGTTGCATCTGTGTGCATCTGTCAAGTCAGAATTCACTACACAAGTGTTGCGAGGACTCTCTTATCGAGTACTCCAGTTTTAATGGAGCGTCTGGTTTGGTCTGCCTGGCTTCCCTCGAGATCTGCGGCTCTTCTGCACAGCAGCAGCCTTGCTTTCAATCAATCCACCTTCCTCGTCCTCCCTTGATTCTTCCAGTTCTCCCTACATTCTCCATTCTTCCTTGGTGCCTGGTTGGTTGAAGCTGAATACACCTTCCGCGTTCCACTATTCGCTACGTGGATGGTAGCCGGAGTTTGATAAGTCGCACCGTAGTGACTAACGTGCCAGCCAGAATCTGTCCTGCACTTGAGTTTCGCAGTCTGCGTTTAGTTCCAGCATTGTCAGATTCTCCTGTCAGGATCAGAATTTCAACGCAGTTCCTGTGATTATTTTCAATAGGAGTTCACGCTTAGGTCATCCCAGCAGCCATCCGTTCAGAAATCGTCGGATCTTGTAGAAAACTAGCGAGATTGTTCCCATGATGGTGGAAGTTGCGGGGTGACATGGCATGGCGCGGCGTGCTTGATCGGATCTGGAGGCGACAAGAGCCGGAAGAGGTATTGGAACGAAATCAATAGTAGGGAGTCGAGCGTGAAAGCAGTAGTATGGTATGGAGCGTGAAAGAGATCATAGGTAGCGTTGCTATGCCTGAAACAGGAACGAGATGTATTAGCCAAACCAGAATCTCTTCGATCAATGTCGGGCACTTCTCGTAATCTATCCCGTTTACGTCGTCAATCTCCTTCCTCCCATCGTTACTGTCGACATTTCTTCGAGTTAAGCTACCCAGGAATCGATCACCCTTGGTTGTACTTGGATTCTCTTCACGTGACGGCTATAGCGTCGATTTCCTTCTTGCGACGCCTTACAATCTCCGTGCGACCACTCCGTCAATCCACCACTCCACGTCGCAGGTCGACGAAATGGCCGACGCACAAGGCGCGTTCGTCACGCGTGCATTCGAGAAGCTTCTGCGAGAATCCACGGGACGGAAGTTCCAGAAGCTACACCAGGCGCTTAAAGCCTATCTAGGTAAGGAAAACTCTGAAGCTAGACCAGTCATTTACAACATCTTTGGATAGGTACAATTTCTGTGTAAGTGCTCGCATTCTCCCTCACCATAGCAATTCCAGCAAGGTATTCGTCATTTTATGAGACATCTCAAACTCCGTCGAAAATGGGGAGAGGTATCACTTCTCAAAGATTTTGAATTTGGGATCCAGGCCACTCCTACCCTCTGTGCTTGCCTTTCCGCCCGTGCTCGTCTCATGACCGGCAGATCGACCAAAAGGGGAGCATTTGGTTCTGGTCACATCAGCATCACGGTCAGTCGCCGATCTCTCTTTCCATTCCCTGCAACCACACCCCACCCCCCCACCCCCCTCCTTCCCCTCGTTTTCGTTCCTTCATTTTATCCTGTGCTCGATCCCTTCAAATGCTTCACTTTCGGACCAATCTTAGTCGTCGGAGCCGACCCAGTTTGGCCGCCAGATAGAACACACTGCAGCACACTTTCTAGTAGTCCATTCGAAGTATCAAGTCAATCACATCTCGCAACAATCTCCCCCAAACGTACGTCTTGACCCCGCATGAAAACCAATCCGCCACTCTTTTCCCGCCAGGGTTGATCCTCGCTATGGGCTGCCTCAGACAGACGAACCAGGAGCGGCGGAAACCGTTCCGCAGCCGCAGCAGCCGGCGCAGCTGGCGGGCACGATTCCGCTGGAGCCCGCCGGCAGCGGGGACGGCAGCGGGCGCGCGCACCCGAACACGGCAAACGCGGCGAATGTGACGGCGGCGGCGGCGATGGCGGAGGCGGGGCACTCGCTGGAAGGCGTAGAGGCGGAGCTTATCCTGTGCCCGCTGCGGCTGGCCATTGAGAGCAAGCAGAGCCGCCTCATGGAAACGGCGCTCGACTGCCTGCACGTGAGTGCTTGCCTCACCCTCCCTCCCCACCTCCCTTCCTTTATGGAGGCGTCTGAAAGGGATGGAGCTCATAGAGAGCAAGCAGAGGCGCCTCATGGAGACGATGCTTGACTGCCTGCACGTGAGTGCTTGCCCCCCTGGCCAGATCCCCCTACCGTTCCTTCCCATTACCTTTGTCCTAAGCATGTGTCTCTACCCCTCCGTCCGTTTGTGCGTGGATATTGCTGTGTCTCTCCTGATGTGCTTGTAACGGGGCAGAAACTGATATCGTATGGTCACTTGGAGGGCGACTGCGGGCTGGAAGGTGGCAAGAACAACAAAGTGCACACGGAGATCTTCCAGCTCGTCTGCTCCTGTGCCGATAACACGGCACTCGACAGGTGAGACATGGAATGGGGTAGAGGTGCGCGTTGTCCGGTTGCTAGGGGTATTGGAGCGTGGCAAGAACAACAAAGTGCACACAGAGATATTCCAGCTCGTGTGCTCCTGTGCCGATAACACGGCACTGGACAGGTGAGGTGGTTACCTAGTAATAGACCTGGTGATAACCTGGTGATTACCTGGACAGGTGAGGTGATTACACAATGCATGTCACTTGAGGGGCTAGAGGGCAACGAGAATAACAAAGTGCACACAGAGATCTTCCAGCTCTCAACATGGCACTTGACAGGTGGGGCAGATTATCGCGTTGCACTGTGGGATTGGAGAATGGCGAGAGCAATCAGAGGCTGCAGGCTATTAGAGACACACTCACTGCCATCGCCTCTTTGAGGCGCCTGAACAGACCTCTTCTCCCCCCTCCCTTTCCTCCGCTCTTTCCTCCGCTCCTCAGTGTGGTGCTGCAGGTAAAAAACACTCACATCTCCTCATCTCCCCCCTCTTCTTTTCTGATCTTCCCTCCGCTGCTCAGTGTGGTGCTGCAGGTCATCAAAGTCATCCTCACTGCCATCGCCTCCTCCACTTTCCAAGGTACCCACGTTTTTCATCGTACCCACCTTCTCACCCCCATGTGTAAGCGGTTTGGCACCTTTCGCCTTCCCACCTTCCGTCTCCTCACCTGCCGTCGCCTCACCTTCCATCTCCTCCAAAATACCCTCACTCGACATTCCTTCTCCCTCGGCGTACTCTGAATTTTACCAATCCTATTCCCCATATTCTCCCCATTCGCCTCCCCATTCGCCTCCCCATTCTCCGTAACCCATTCCTCTCGTCCTTGTCTGGCAGTGCATGGGGACTGCTTGATCCTTGCTCTGCGCACATGCTACAACATAGTGCTCACAAGGTAAGTTGGCCCATCAAGGTTGCCCCATCAAGGTTGCCCCACCAACATTCGTGTTCCCAACACAGTAAGTTCGGCTCAAGTTTTTTCTGTAAGTGTTTCACCAAGCAAGCAGAAAGCACTCGTAGGCATCACACAACACTCTCTCCGTGCTTGTTCTCTTGGAAATAACATCCCATTTCCTTTGCGGGGCATGCTTGATTCTGTCTGTGATCCGCTCTTTCCTCCTTTGTGCCTCCTCGCAGCAAGAGCCAGGTGAACCTGTCAACAGCCAGGGGCACGCTCACTCAAATGCTCAACATCGTCTTCAAACGCATGGAGGCATCGGAACTAGCTGTGAGTCTCATTAGAGCATGCATCCAGCATACCCAATGAAGTCTCCCCAGCGCCTATGTTTCCTTCCCCTACCTCTCCAAGTTCATCCAGCTGGTGATTCCTCCCCTCTCGCATCCCTTGTTCCACCTCCCATCGTGGCCCACTCCCCCTGCCACCCCCATCCACCCTCCCCGCGCCCCCACATTTACAGAGTGCCCCTCAGCGTCCCCACGCCTACCCCACACCCACCAAGCCATCCGGGGAGGGGCCTTCCGAGGACCAACCTGCCGCTGCTGTTGACGCTGCTGCTGGTGGTGATGGTGGTGGTGCGTCTGCTGCTGCTGCTGCTGCAGTGGAGGGGATGGAAGGGAAGGAGGGAGGCGGGGAGGGGGAGGAGGAGGGGGAGGTAGAGGGTAACGGGGAGAGGGACGAGAGAGCGGGAGTACAGGAGGAGCTAAAAGTCCTGGAAGGGCCTCAGCCCAGTATAGAGGCGTTAGATGCTGTCCTAAGTAAAGCACTTAGGCCGCAGGGAGGGGGCGCAGGTGGGGATGCTGCTGCTGCTGGTGGTGGTGGTGAGGGTGGTGAAGGGGAGGGAGGTGCTGGGACAGCAGAGGGGAGTGGAGAGGAGGGAGCTGGGGCGACTCCTGCTGCGCCAAAGTGAGTGATTCTGAGACGTGGTTTGGTTTGTGATTATGGAGAGTTGTGGTGTGGTGAGGGAGGTGAAGCGGAGGGGGGTGGTGGGTCAGCAGGGGAGGGGGGTGGCGAGGAGGGAGCTGGGGCGACCCCTGCTGCTCCAAAGTGAGTGAAGTGAAGCTGAGGTTTCGTCTGTGATCGCATAGGGAGGTGTAGTGTGGTGATAGCCCGCATCCCGAAACCTCTCGCCCTGACCAGGAAGTCAACTGACTGCATTGTCTGACAACCTCCCGCCCTGTTGCATCATCCTCCCCGCCACCACCAGGGGCATCGATCTGAGTCTGCTGGCTTTAGCGCAGCGGGACGCACTGCTGGTGTTCTGCACGCCGCACCAAAGTCGAGTAACCAACCAGTTAACTAACAACCACCCACCTAGTCACATTCTCCCCACCACCACCAGGGGCATCGATCTGAGCCTACTGGCGCTGGCGCAGCGGGACGCCCTGCTGGTGTTCCGCACGCTGTGCAAGATGGCCATGAAGGACGGCACCGAGGACCTTGTTCTGCGCACCAAGGCACTGTCGCTGCAGTTACTACAGGTGGGTGGGTTGCCAGCAGCACGTGTTGGGCTGGCTCAGGTAGGCAACAAGACACTCTCCCTCCCACCACCTGCTGCTGGTGTTCCGCACACTGTGCAAGATGGCCATGAAGGACGGCACTGAAGACCTCGTGCTGCGCACCAAGGCGCTGTCACTGCAGCTGCTGCAGGTGTGTGGGGTGTGTGTGTCACATGCTTGCCTCTAGTCCAGCTCGCCAAGCCATGCTCTGCAAGATGGCCATGAAGGACGGCACCGAGGACCTCATCCTGTGCACCAAGGCTCTTTTCCTCCAGCTGCTGCAGGTGGGTTGCTGTGCCACGTGCTTGTCTAGTAGCTTCTGCAGGTGGGTGGGTGCAGTGGTCAGCACGTGGTGAGTGGGGTACCAGTGGGCCTGTGAGTCGCCTCAAAAGGCATTCAGCACGCAATGACGTGCAAGACGGCGAGCAGCGCATGAGCGGGAAATGCAGCGTATGAGCGTGCGGTGCAGCGTATGAGCATGCGGTGCAGCATATGAGCGGGCGGTGCAGCGTATGAGCGGGCGGTGCAGCATATGAGCGTGCGGTGCAGCGTATGAGCGGGCGGTGCAGCGTATGAGCGTGCGGTGCGGCGTATGAGCGTGCGGTGCGGCGTATGAGCGTGCGGTGCAGCGTATGAGCGGGCGGTGCCGCGTATGAGCGGGTGGTGCAGCGTATGAGCGGGCGGTGCAGCGTATGAGCGGGCAGTGCAGCGTACGAGCGGGCGGTGCAGCGTACGAGCGGGCAGTGCAGCGTATGAGCGGGCGGTGCAGCGTATGAGCGTGCAGTGCAGCGTATGAGCGGGCGGTGCAGCGTATGAGCGGGCGGTGCAGCGTATGAGCGGGCGGTGCAGCGTATGAGCGGGCGGTGCAGCGTATGAGCGGGCGGTGCAGCGTATGAGCGGGCGGTGCAGCGTATGAGCGGGCGGTGCAGCGTACGAGCGGGCGGTGCAGCGTAAGAGCGGGCGGTGCAGCGTACGAGCGGGCGGTGCAGCGTACGAGCGGGCGGTGCAGCGTACGAGCGGGCAGTGCAGCGTACGAGCGGGCGGTGCAGCGTACGAGCGTGCGGTGCAGCGTACGAGCAGGCGGTGCAGCGTACGAGCGTGCGGTGCAGCGTAGGAGCGTGCGGTGCAGCGTATGAGCGTGCGGTGCAGCGTGTGAGCGGGCGGTGCAGCGTATGAGCGGGCGGTGCAGCGTATGAGCGTGCAGTGCAGCGTATGAGCGGGCGGTGCAGCATATGAGCTGGCGGTGCAGCGTATGAGCGTGCGGTGCAGCGTATGAGCGTGCGGTGCGGTGTATGAGCGTGCGGTGCGGCGTATGAGCGTGCGGTGCAGCGTATGAGCGGGCGGTGCAGCGTATGAGCGGGCGGTGCAGCGTATGAGCGGGCGGTGCAGCGTATGAGCGGGCGGTGCAGCGTACGAGCGGGCGGTGCAGCGTACGAGCGGGCGGTGCAGCGTACGAGCGGGCGGTGCAGCATATGAGCGTGCGGTGCAGCGTGTGAGCGTACGGTGCAGCGTATGAGCGGGCGGTGCAGCGTATGAGCGTGCAGTGCAGCGTATGAGCGGGCGGTGCAGCATATGAGCTGGCGGTGCAGCGTATGAGCGGGCGGTGCAGCGTATGAGCGGGCGGTGCAGCGTATGAGCGGGCGGTGCAGTGTATGAGCGGGCGGTGCAGCGTATGAGCGGGCGGTGCAGCGTATGAGCGGGCGGTGATGCGCTCGTGCCAACCACTGCCCACTCTTCCCCCACTCCTCCGACCCCCTCCCTCCACCAGGGTCTGTTAGACTCAGTGAGTCGCGAGTTCACGCTCAACTTCGCTCATGCGTGCTGCTGTCTCGCCCTCTGACCACATCCTTGGCCTCGCCTGCTCCATCTTCGCAACACTCATCCAGCGCCCCCTTTTCACCCTCTCTCTCCCTCGCCTCGCTCCCCCCCACCACCCCCTTCCTCCTTGCAGGGCCTGTTAGAATCGGTCAGCCGTGAGTTCACGCTCAACTTTGCCTTCCTCGACTCCATCAAGATGTACCTCTGCTACGCGCTCGTGCGCGCCGCCGTGTCGCCCTCCGACCGCATCCACGGCCTCGCCTGCTCCATCTTCGCCACGCTCATCCAGCGATTCCGCGAGTCCCTTAAAGCCGAGATCGGCCTCTTCTTCCCCCTCGTCGTCCTCCGGTCACTCGACTCCCCGGATATCTCTCCAACCCAGCGTCTGGGGCTTCTGAGAGTGTTAGAGCGGCTCACAGCCGAACCACAGCTGCTAGCGGATGTCTTTGTGAACTACGACTGTGATTTGGACGCGTCGAATCTGTTTGAGCGTATGGTGACGTCTCTGGAGCGGCTTGCTCAGATGCCTGTGGTGGGGATTGCGGGCGGAGGGGCAGGGGCGGGGGGGGCGGGTGCGGGAGGGGAGGGTGGGGCGGCGCTGGTAGCGGCGGTGAAGCTGGCGGCGTTGCAGTGCTTGGTGAATGTGGTACATGCTTTGGATACGTGGTATGGGAAGGATAAACCTCCGGTGCCGGTGGGTGTGGTGGGTGAGGAGAAGGAGGAGGAAGGGGACGAGTGGAAGGCGGATGGGTTGGGAGCGGTGGAGGAGGAGGAGGAGGATGAGGATGAGGAGGAGAGGGAGGGGCGGGTGGCGAAGTGGGCGGCGGCAGAATCACAGGCGGATCAGTTTGGGCGGGCCAAGGCGCAGAAGGCAGCGTTTGAGACAGCTGTGGAAAAGGTGGGGTGGGAATCTTCAAAGCAATGGTTAGGTCACAGGCGGATCAGTTTGGGCGGGCCAAAGCGCAGAAGGCAGCATTTGAGACAGCTGTGGAAAAGGTAGGTGGGAGCAGCAATGAGGCGTGGAGAAGGTTTGGTGTAGATGTGATCTGATTTGAATCAGAAGGCAGTAATGGGAATATCTATGAAAAAATGTTGTTTTGAGGAGCAGGAAGGTACGGTATGGTGCTCATGCCCATTACAAGATACGGTACGGCAAGTTACAACATACGGTATGGTGCTCATGCCCATGGTTTCAAGTCACCTGCAACAACCTTCTCCCTTACACACACCTCCCCACCACACCTCGCCACCTCTCCCATCACTCCCCACCCTTCTCCCCCACCCAGTTCAACATGAAGCCAGAGAAGGGACTGGCGTTCCTGCGGACGAGAGGGCTGTTGGCTGCCGATGCTGCTGCCACGGCTGAGTTCCTGCGCTCCACCCCTGGGCTCGATAAGGTGAGAGACGGTGTGAGGTGGTGTGAAACGGTGCAGAGGAGCGGATGTCAGGTCAGCATACGTGGGGTAGGTGAGTGGGCTGGCCTTTCTGCGGACGAGAGGGCTGCTGGCTGCCGACGCTGCTGCCACAGCTGAGTTCCTGCGCTCCACTCCTGGGCTCGATAAGGTGAGAGGGGGTGTGAAAAGGTAGGAAAGGGTGGGTGTGAAACGGTGTGAAACGGTGTCAGATGGTGAAGAGGAGGAGTGGATGTCAGGTCAGCATGCCTGAGGTAGCATGAATACTGCTGGCTGCCGATGCTGCCGCCACGGCTGACTTCCTGTGCTCCACTCCTGGGCTCGATAAGTGCGATACGGTGTGGAACAGTGTCAGACGATGAAGAGGAGTGGATAAGGTAAGCTGCCTTGCGAAGTTGAGTTGGAGTTGATCAGCTGGCGAGGAGGCTTCTTGTTCTTGCATGCCTTGGTGGGTGGCACTGGCATGCACGCCTTGGTGGGTGGCACTGGCATGCACGCCTTGGTGGGTGGCACTGGCATGCATGCCTTGGTGGGTGGCACTGGCATGCATGCCTTGGTGGGTGGCACTGGCATGCATGCCTTGGTGGGTGGCACTGGCATGCATGCCTTGGTGGATGGCACTGGCATGCATGCCTTGGTGGATGGCACTGGCATGCATGCCTTGGTGGGTGGCACTGGCATGCATGCCTTGGTGGGTGGCACTGGCATGCATGCCTTGGTGGGTGGCACTGGCATGCATGCCTTGGTGGGTGGCACTGGCATGCATGCCTTGGTGGGTGGCACTGGCATGCATGCCTTGGTGGGTGGCACTGGCATGCATGCCTTGGTGGGTGGCACTGGCATGCATGCCTTGGTGGGTGGCACTGGCATGCACGCCTTGGTGGGTGGCACTGGCATGCATGCCTTGGTGGGTGGCACTAGCATGCATGCCTTGGTGGGTGGCACTGGCATGCATGCCTTGGTGGGTGGCACTAGCATGCATGCCTTGGTGGGTGGCACTAGCATGCATGCCTTGGTGGGTGGCACTAGCATGCATGCCTTGGTGGGTGGCACTAGCATGCACGCCTTGGTGGGTGGCACTAGCATGCACGCCTTGGTGGGTGGCACTAGCATGCACGCCTTGGTGGGTGGCACTAGCATGCACGCCTTGGTGGGTGGCACTAGCATGCACGCCTTGGTGGGTGGCACTAGCATGCACGCCTTGGTGGGTGGCACTAGCATGCATGCGGCACAGCACAGCACAGCCAGCATCTAATACCACGCACACACATCTGCATGAAAAGAGGTGGTTTTTGAGACGTCTCAAATACACCTGCATGCCTTGGTGGGTGCACTGCCAAGCACACACATCTGTGCTCCACCTCCCCTCCCCTCTCCATGCGTGTCTTTTGAGTCGACTCAAAAGTCGCCAAGCACACACATCTGTGCTCCACCTCCCCTCCCCTCTCCATGCGTGGCTTTCCTTCCAGACCGCCATAGGGGACTATCTGGTCTGGGGCATCACGACGACCATCATCAGGCGGTGATGATGCACGCATATGTGGACGGCATTCCCTTCCACTCCCTCACTCACGACATTCCCCCTCTTCCTCTGATTTTTTTATGTGTGTATGGTGTGTATGTGCGTGCATCTGCCCCTCCAGACGGCCATAGGGGACTACCTGGGCAATCACGACGACTACCATCTGGAGGTGATGCACGCCTACGTGGACGGCATTCCCTTCCACAGCACCTCCTGACCCACGGAATCCCCCCTCTTCCCCTGACTCTCCTGTGTGTGTGTTGTGTGTGCGTGCATCTGCCCCTCCAGACGGCCATAGGCGATTACCTGGGCCATCACGACGACTACCACCTGGCGGTGATGCACGCCTACGTGGACGGCATCCCCTTCCACAGCACCTCCTTCGACCATGCCATCCGCCTCTTCCTCAAGGGCTTCCGCCTGCCAGGGGAGGCTCAGAAGATCGACCGAATCATGGAGAAGTTTGCAGAAAAGTAGGTAGAAGTGGGTTTTGGTGGCTGATGAGGGAGGCAGTATGGATGATAAGTGTGTCTGGCTGGTTGATTTTTTTGTTCAAAAAGCTCCTTCCTTTAGGGCTTCCGCCTCCCGAGGGAGGCGCAGAAGATCGATTACATCATGGAGACGTTTGCAGAGAAGTGAGTCCTGGTTCCTGGCATGGTCTGGGGTTTAGGGCTTAGCGGATTGGTTCTGCTGCCTAGTCGAAGAGCACCTTCCTCAAGGGCTTCCGCCTCGCAGATGATAGATCGCATCATGGAGAATCCCTGACTCATGCTTTTTTCACCAGTTTTCACTGTTTGTTCCTTTGCTTAAGCGTCCTCTCTGCTACTGCAGCCCTTCGAAACATGAGTCAGGGTGACCCCTGGGATACCGGATGATCGATTGCATCATGGAGAAGTTGGCAGAGAGCTGATTCTTGGTGGCTGATGAGGGAGTGAGTGTGGTAGACAAGTGGTTGGCAGAAGTGAGTTGGGCTTGTTGAGAATGAGTGAAGGAGTTAGTTAGAGCTGTGAGGGCGTGCTCCTGGTTTTGAGTCGACTCAAAAGCTGAGTGAAGGAGTTAGTTAGAGCTGTGAGGGCGTGCCCCTGGCAAGCAGGGGCTTCCGTCTTCCCTGTGATCATGCTCAACATCAGCAACCCCTCCTCTCCATCCCCCTTCCCCAGGTACTGCAAGGACGACCCCGGGGGTATTCAAGACGGCAGGCTGTGCCTATGTGCTGGCCTACGCAGTGATCATGCTCAACACAGACGCCCACAACCTTTCCTCTCCATCCATCCCCATTCCGTCCCAACCTTTCCATTCCAGGTACTGCAAGGACAACCCCGGGAGTATTCAAAACAGCAGACAGCGTGTACGAGCTGGCCTATGCAGTCATCATGCTCAACACAGACGCCCACAACCCCTCTATTCCTCCCCCATCCTCTCCACCCCCTTCCGCAGATACTGCAAGGACAACCCGGGAGTATTCAAGACAGCAGACAGCGCGTACGTGTTGGCCTATGCAGTGATCATGCTCAACACAGACGCACACAACCCCGTGGTGACCGCCAAGATGACCAAAGCCGACTTCGTGCGAATCAACTCATCCCTCGAGGGCGAGGAGAGCGCGCCTAAGGAGCTCCTAGAGGCCATTTATGACTCAATAGTCTCCGAGGAGATTAAACTAAGGGATGATGGCGGTCCGGGGGGTGCCGGAGGGGGTGGAGCGGGCGGGGCAGGCAGGAAGGAGAAAGGGCAGCTGGTAACCGTGCTGAATCTGGCGTCGGGGCATAAACGCAGCACGGTGGATGTGCGGAAGGAGAGCGACGATATCATCAAGCGAACGCAGGCGATTGTGAGGCGAGGGCGCGTGCAGCGAGGGGTGTTTCACTCCGCTGCCCATGCTGACCTCGCTCGGCCCATGCTGGAGGCGGTAGGATGGCCTCTGGTCGCCACGTTTGCTGTGACCATGGAGGAAGGTCCGTCGGGAGAGAGTGCCGCTGCAGTGGCTGCTCTAGCGGCAGGGGGTGCAGGGGGTGGGGGGGCGAAGAGTCTGGTGGTGGTGTGCATGGACGGGCTCCGCTGTGCGATTCACCTGGCGTTTCTCCTGGGCATGGAGACTCTCCGCTACGCCCTCCTGACCTCGCTCGTCCGCTTCACCTTCCTGCACGCGCCGAGGGAACTCCGGGTGAAGAACCTGGAGGCGATCCGGACGCTGCTGGCGATAGCAGAGCAGGAGCCTGAGGCGCTGCAGGACACGTGGAATGCTGTGCTGGAGTGCGTGTCCAGGCTGGAGCACGTTGCCACGTCACCTGCCATGCTGGCGGTGCTGGGCGCGCCGCCCGCGCCGGTGGCGGTGAGGGAGGCGCTGCTGGGAGGTGTGGAGGAGCTGGCAGGGAAACCGCTGGAGCAGGTGCGTGGGGCAGGGCTGAGGTTGTTGTTCCCATCTATGCTTGATTGCGGTTTGCTTCTTGGTTGATGACATCTGCAGTGCTTGCTGCTACATCAATCCCTCTCACCTCGCCTCTCATCCCCTCCCTACATCGCTCTCCCCTTTGCTTGCCATGCCATGGCATGGGTGCTCCCTGTCTTCCGCCAGTATCATCTCCTCTTGCCTGCCATCAGAGACGCTGTGGTTCAGTTCTGCGCCATCGCCCTCTGCACCTCTGCCCCACTTCCTGACTCTCATCCCCTCCTTCCCCCCCTGTTTCAGGTGTGAGCTCTCGCCTCCCCTCAGACGCCGTGGTGGAGTTCTTTATCGCTCTCTGCGGTGTCTCCACAGAGGAGCTCCGCCAGTCCCTGCCCCTCACCACTCATTTACTCCCTCTCACCCCACTCCCTCTCACCCCTCACTCACTCAGGTATTTGTGGTGAGCTCGCGCCTGCCGTCAGACGCCGTTGTCGAATTCTTCATCGCTCTCTGTGGTGTCTCTGCGGAGGAGCTCCGCCAGTCGCCCCCGCGGGTCTTCTCCCTACAAAAGATTGTGGAGATCTCCTACTACAACATGACCCGCATTCGCATGGTGCGTGAGTGTGGTGTGGGTGGTAGCCCACATGGTACACGTGAGTGCACTTAAAGGTATCCAGGGGTGTTATCGCTGCAACAGACAACATGACATGCATTCGCATGGTGTGTGAGTGTGGTGTGGGTGGGTGGGTCCCATTCAGGGGCGTCTGAATAGTGCGTGTGGGTGGTAAGGTACATGACTCCACTTAGCGCCCCCGCGGGTCTTCTCGCTGCAGAAGATCGTGGAGATCTCCTGCTACAACATGACTCGTATTCGAATGGTGCGTTTCAAGTCCAAGCACGTGCTGCTGGGTTGGGCCCACAAGGTACTCGATTGTTTCACCAGCACTCGAGGCTCGTGGGTGCACTCAGGTGGGTCGTCTCGCTGCAGAAGATCGTCGAGATCTCAAACTCATGACGCGCATCCGCATGGTGGTCTATCTCATCACGGCAGAGGAAACCCCAACGAGCACGTCGCCATGTACGCCGTCCTCCCCCTTATTCCCCCCTCTCCCCCACCCACTCCCCCAAACCCTCTCGCTCTCTTCAGGTGTGGGCGCGCATCTGGTCAGTGCTAGCGGTGCATTTCATCACAACCGGCCAGAACCCCGACGAGCACGTCGTCATGTACGCCGTCGACTCCATCCGCCAGCCGGCGCTGAACTCAACTACCGGGAGCGCACTCAATCACCAGGAGCGCATAAGGTCGCTGCTTTGAGCCGTCGCCAACCACCCCCTCTTCTTCCCTTTCTCCCCTCTTCCCCCACGTTCCCCCTTCCCACTTCCGCCCCCCTCACCCACCCCCCTCCCCCTTCATACAGGTGTGGGCGCGCATCTGGTCAGTGCTGGCGGTGCATTTCATCACGGCCGGGCAGAACCCCGACGAGCACGTCGCCATGTATGCCGTCGACTCCATCCGCCAGCTGGCGCTGAAATATCTGGAGCGCGCTGAGCTGGCGCGCTTCACGTTCCAGAACGACATCCTGAAGCCGTTTGTCGTGCTCATGCGCACGAGCCGCAGCGAGAAGACCCGAGAGCTGATCGTCCAGTGCGTCGTGCAGGTGAGGGTTTTCCCAACTGTGGTGGGCGTCATATGCCTGCCTGTGTGCGCCTGTTTGTGGTGCTCATGCGCACGAGCCGCAGCGACAAGACAAGAGAACTCATCGTGCAGTGCGTTGTGCAGGTAAGGGTTTTTTGGGTTGTGGGTATCACATGTCTGGGTGCGCCGGTTTGTGGTGTTGATGCACATGAGCCGGAGTGATGGGTCTAGGGAGTTCATCGTGCAGTGGGCCATGCAGGTAACTGTTCTAGCTGTTCTGTGTCCATGAGCTTCTCATCCCCTTCCCTCTTCATCCCCTTCCCTCTGTCCCACTCTCGTCACCTCTGTACACTTAAGCTTCCCCCCACCCGTCCTTCCTCTCACTCCCCTCCCTCTCCCCCACCCCCCCCGTTCTTTCCCCCTTGGCATTGCTCTTTGATGATCCGGGTGAAGGTGGCCAGCATTTAAAGCTCTGAATGAAATGCATTGCTCTTTGCTCTATTTTCCCCCTCCGCCTTTCTCTGACTGCACATCACCACCCCACCCCCACATACCTGGCCAGGTTTGAGGTTTGCTCTCAAACCTCAAACCTCTTGCCCCCCCCCCCCCCCTGCAGCGTGTTCATGGTGCTCACTACTGCCGCCGCCTGGAGCCTTCAGCTGGTCATCCCCTGTCCTCTGCCCATCCCCCTCACCTCCCACTCAACCCTTCCTCTCACTCACCTCCCTCTCACACCTCTCTTTCACTTTTTGCTGGCACCAACTTCAGATGATAAAGGTGAAGGTGGGCGGCATCAAGAGTGGGTGGCGCAGCGTGTTCATGGTGCTCACTACTGCTGCCACCGACAGCCACGAACCCATTGTGGAGAGCGCGTTTGAAACCGTGGAGCAGGGTGAGTGTGGTGTGGCTGCGGCAGTTGAAGTGAGCTGAATCTGATTGCGGGTGTTTCTGCCCGTATAGCTTGAGGGGCATGCCGCCACTGACCGCCACGAGCCCATTGTGGAGAGTGTGTTTGAAACCGTGGAGCAGGGTGAGTTGAAGGAGTGGGGGAGGGAAAAGAGGGGGGGGGAGGGGGGGGGGTGGGTGGGCTTCAAGTGAGCTGAATGTAATGTGCCGGTGTTTCTGCCCGTATAGCTTGATGCATTATGCCAGGGTGTTTTTTTTTAAGTCTCAAGCATACCTCGATGCATGCTGCCACCGACAGCCACAAGCCCATTGTGGAGAGCTCCTGTGAGATGGTGAAGCAGGGGGAGCTGACTTGAATGTAGGGTGAGTGAAGGAGGGTGAGTAGAGAGGGTAGAGGCTGGGGAGCACTTTCAGCAGCGGTCAGGAGACTACCTCATGCCCTCCTTCCCCTCCACAACCCGCATTGCCTTCTCTCCTCCCCCCTCTGTCTGTCCCTTCCACCCTCCTCCCACTGCTTCAAGGACTGCGTCAACTGCCTCATGGCCTCCTTCCCTCCAAACCCCTCATTGTCTTGTCTTCACACCCTCTATCTGTCTCTACTCTTCCCAACCCCCTCCCTCTGCTGCAGTGGTACTGGAACACTTCGAGCAGGTGATAGGAGACTGCTTCATGGACTGTGTTAACTGCCTCATGGCCTTCGCCAACAACGTCCTCGTCCCCCGCATCTCTCTCAAAGCCATTGCACTCCTCCGAATCTGCGAGGACCGTTTAGCCGAGGGCCGGGTCCCGGGAGGCGCCCTGCGCCCCGTGAATGAAGGCGAGAAGATGAGCGACAACGAGGTGGCGGAGTATTACTGGTTCCCGATGCTCGCCGGGTTGTCCGAGCTGACTTCCGACCCTCGCCCGGAGGTTCGGAGCTGCGGCGTGGAGGTGTTGTTTGATCTGCTTCGGGAGAGGGGGCATAAGTTTTCGACGCGGTTCTGGGAGAGTGTGTTTGAGAGGGTGCTGTTCCCCATCTTTGACTATGTGCGGCACGCTGGCACGGACGGGGAGAGGCCCCCCCCCACGGACCTGTGGCTGAGAGACACGTCCATTCACTGCCTGCACCTGCTCTGCGACCTCTTCTGCGACTTCTACCAGGTGGGCTGGTAGTGCTTCAGGTACGGTACAGTGTGATGCAGTGTGATGCGGTACGGACGGGGAGAGGCCGTCCCCCACCCCACGGATCCCTGGCTTAGAGGCACGTCCATTCGCTGCCTGCACCTGCTCTGCGACCTCTTCTGCGACTTCTATAAGGTGGGCTGGTAGTGCTTCAGGTACGGTACAGTGTGATGCAGTGTGATGCGGTACGGACGGGGAGAGGCCGTCCCCCACTCCACGGATCCCTGGCTTAGAGGCACGTCCATTCGCTGTCTGCACCTGCTCTGCGACCTCTTCTGCGACTTCTACCAGGTGGGCTGGTAGTGCTTCAGGTACGGTACAGTGTGATGCAGTGTGATGCGGTACGGACGGGGAGAGGCCGTCCCCCACCCCACGGATCCCTGGCTTAGAGGCACGTCCATTCGCTGCCTGCACCTGCTCTGCGACCTCTTCTGTGATTTCTACCAGGTGGGTTGGTAAGGCTTCAGGCTCTTTATTGTGTAGCCAGTCTGGTAGTTTCTCTGCTACTCTAATCTGCCTCCCCCTCCCCCCGTCACCCCTCAGCACGTGGGTTTAGAATTCATCTTAAACCCCAAACCCTAAACCCGACACTCTAAATAAACACTTCATCCTGCCGTCCCTGCTCGGTCGCAGAGCTGAGGCTCATCTTACCTACACCCTTACCCTACACCCTACACCCCTCATCCTTCCCTTCAGGACGTGGCCTTCATCCTGCCGTCCCTGCTCGGTCTCCTACTGGACTGTGCCACGCTCACTCCAGCTCCTCTCTCCCCTCTCCTGCACCCGCACCCCTACACCCTGCACCCCTCACTCAGGACGTGGCCTTCATCCTGCCGTCCCTGCTCGGTCTCCTACTGGACTGTGCCACGCGCCCTGACCAGTCACTGGCAGCCATAGCAGTGGGAGCACAGCTGAGGCTCATTGACAGGGGGGCGCCGCTCTTCTCCTCCCGTGACTGGGCCGTGCTGCTCGACAGCCTCAGGTGGGAGTGACTTGACATTTTTGGGTTGGACATGGCATGGCAGTGGGTACACAGGGGGGGATGTGCGGGGAGCACAGCTGATGCTCATTGACAGGGGGGCGATGCTCTTCTCGTCAAGGGACTGGGCCGTGCTGCTTGACAGCCTCAGGTGGGAGTGACTTGACATTTTTGGGTTGGACATGGCATGGCAGTGGGTACACAGGGGGGGATGTGTGGGGAGCACAGCTGATGCTCATCGACAGGGGGGCGATGCTCTTCTCGTCAAGGGACTGGGCCGTGCTGCTTGACAGCCTAAGGGGCGGGTTTGATAGCCCATCTGATTCCGATCGCCAACCGCATTGCAATCCTCATGCCCATCCACCCTCTGATGTTGTTTGGAGTGGTTAGCCCGATAGGGAGTTGCCATTAAAACCACTTGCCCCGCTGTTATCCGCAATCAAAGAAACACTTGCCTCACTGAAACCCTTGCAATCACTTCTCCCCTCCCCACCCACCCCTTGCCCTACCCACCCCACCTTCTTCCCTGCCCACCTCACCGCACTCCACCCCATCCCACCCACGATTTTCTTTCGAAGTTGCCACACGAACCACTTGCCCTACCGAACTTCTCGCCATCACCGACACCTCTCTCGCTGCCTCTGCCTCCTCCATACGTCTTACCTCCCCACCAACCTTCTTCCCGTCCCACCCCTTCCCACCCCACCCCACCCCAGAGTGGCCACACTAACCACTCGTCCCACCGAGCTTCTCGCAATCACTGAAGCATCCCTCGCTGCCTCTGCTGCTGCCGCCGCCAACGCCGCTGCTGCTGCTGGCGACACCGCTGCTGCCACTGCCGCCACTGCCGCTGCCACCGCTGAGCTGTCATTGGACAATGCTGTGCTGGAATCCGGCGCTGCTGACCTGGCGGATCATGCGTCAGGCTCGGCGATCCGTACCAAGATTCCCACTGGTGACGTGGCGACGAGCCTGATGGGGCCGAACCTGAGTGAGAGGTTTGTGGCTGCGCCTGGAGGTGTGACTGTAGCCGAGCAAGTGACTGAAGTGGATGTGACTGTAACGAATGGAGGGGCGGAGGGAGAAGAGGGTTACGGGGTGGTGGATAGGAGTGGGGCCAATGAGGAGGCGGCGGGTGTTGGGGAGGGGAAGGGCGAGGAAGACGGGAAGGTGGAAGGGAGTGGGGAGGGGTTGGCGAACGGGGAGGGTACTGCCATCAAGCCTTCAGGTGAGCTCGTTTGTCAAGTCGTGACTGCCAACACTGCTGTGGTAACAGCCTGCTCTCCTCCTCATCCCTCCTTTGCTCGAAAGCGCTGAATGCTGCCCCCATTCCATCTATTGCCGCTGCTTCTATTGCGAAAACCGTTTGACCTCCCTGCCCTCTCCTCTAGCTCCCTCCCCTCTCCCACACACCCCCCCTATGTCCAACTCCCTCACTCCCCCTCCTCTCTCTTCCGCAGCATCAGCCAAGGGCGACAACTTGGACAAGCGACTGATGGACACGCTGCTGCTGCTGCTGCTGGTGGTGGTGCAGGGTGCTGCTATGCTGACAGCTCTATCTCGCACTCTCCCCCCCCCTCTACCCCCCCTCCCCCAGCATCAGCCGAGGGCGACAACTTTGGCAAGCGCCTGATGGACACGCTGCTGCTGCGCAACCTCTCCATGGCGCTGGGGGGCGCGCCCACTCCCGCTGCTGCCTGCACTGCTGACAGACTTGCCTCTCCCACACCCTGGCCCCCACACAGCGTCAGGAGAAGGGGACAACTTTGGCAAGCGCCTGATGGACACGCTGCTGCTGCGCAATCTCTCCATGGCGCTGGGAGGCGCGCCCACTCCCGCTGCTGGGGGGAGCGGCAGCATCTGGTCGCGCGCGTCCAACGCAAGTGACGCTGCCCTGGCGTCTGCTGTGGAATCCGAGGTGAGTGCGTGACGGGTCTTACCATGCCTCAGGGGGGCATGCCCACGTGCACACGAGGTGGCAGCATCTGGTCACGCGCCTCCAACGCAAGCGCTGTGGAATCCGAGGTGAGTGCGTGCAGTCTTACCATGAAGTTAGTGCCTTGTTTGTATTCAAAGTCTTTCCACGGCGCTGGAGGGTGCGCCCTCACCCGCTGCTGGCCAGGGTGGCAGCATCTGGTCACGAGCCTCCAACGCCAGTGACGCTGTCGATTCCGAGGTGAGTGCGTGCTGGAATCCCCGCTGTGCTTGCTGTAGGCGCGTGAGGGATTGCCACACGGCCCATAGCTTTGGGAATCTCTCCATGGCGCTGGGGGACGCCCCCACGCCTGCCGGTGGTGGTGGCAGCACGAGCATGAGCATCTGCCCAGTGAAGCTGCTCCAGTCCGTCCATGGTGCCAGCGCCAGTGAAGCTGCTCCAGTCCGTCCATGGTGCCAGCGCCAGTGAAGCTGCTCCAGTCCGTCCATGGTGCCAGCGCCAGTGATGCTGCTCCAGTCCGTCCATGGTGCCAGCGCCAGTGATGCTGCTCCAGTCCGTCCATGGTGCCAGCGCCAGTGATGCTGCTCCAGTCCGTCCATCACTATAAGTCTCTTCCCAATCCCTTCTCGTTTATGATTTCACAGGAGCAAGGCGATGGGGCCAAGGAAGAAGAGGAGGAGGAAGAGGAGGATGAGGAGGCATCGGCCTTCCCGGTGGCAGACCCTGTGCGGGTCAAGTGCTACACGCAGCTGCTGCTGCTGGGGGCGCTGAATCAGCTACAGGTGTGTATGGACTGAACGTGCTCCAGGTGTGTATAGACTGAACGTGCTGCAGGTGTGTATAGACTGAACGTGCTGCAGGTGTGTATGGACTGAACGTGCTGCAGGTACGTGTGGGAGGACAAGGTTCATCCGAGTGTGAGTGTTCATGTGTGAGAGGTTATGTCTGTGGCAGAGCTGCTGCTGCTGCTGCTGCTGCTGGGAGGGCTCAATCAACTGCAGGGGGTATGGGATGGCTTGTATGAAACGCCCCACCAGGAGAATTGCTGGCAGTGCCTTCTCCCCTTCCAAGTCCTACTCCCTGCTCCCTTGGTCCCTACGCCTTGCTCTCCCCACCTCTCGCCCCTCCAGGAGAAGCACTGGCAGCGGCTGCGGGCGGCGCACCGGCGGCAGCTCTTGGACTGCATTGCCACCAGCATTGACTTTGCCGCCCGCTTCAACTCTGACACGCACCTGCGCATGCGCATCCAAATGCTGCCGCCCGAACGGTGCACTCTGCCCCCTGCTTCTGCAGTATTCACTATTTCTTTGCTCGCTGTGTTGTGCTGCTTGCACTGTTGCACTTGTGTGTTGCGCTGTGGATGTGAACCTCTTGTCTCCGCCGTCCCTCCTACGCCAGGAGGTGACCTGATGAGCAACGCAGCTGTACCGGATCGTGCTCCTCCGCTGCCTCAACGACCCTGCTCTCTCCTCCCTCCCTCCCATCCCTTTTCCCCCCCACCCTACCCCTGCCTCGTTTCCCCTCCAAACAGCCCTCCCCCATCTCTGTTGCGCCAGGAGGTGACAGCAACACAGCTGTACCTGATTGTTCTCCTGCGCTGCCTCAACGACCCGGCAGCAGCGCTGCTCCCACCAGCCCTCTCCTCCCAGATGCTGCTGCAGTCAGGGGCGGCTCACGGGGACGGCGCAGGGGAGGGGGAGGAGCATGTTCATGGGAAGACAACCCCTGGAGCAGCAGCGACAGAAGGGGGGAGAGCAGCAGCAGGAGCAGGGGTGGGAGCAAACGGGGGAGCTGCGGCGAAGGGGGTAGCAGCAGGGGGTGGGGGAGAGGGGGAGGGGGGTGAGGAGGAGGAGGAGGAAAGGAGGCGGTTGGGAGAGGAGGCAGAGGAGCAGTTGCTGCGGGTGTGTGGGAGGGTGCTGGAGATGTCGTCTCGCCTGCAGCCCAACACGGGGCAGGCTGTCGAGGCCGAGGTGCACCGCCTGCTTGCCCTCCGTGCGCCTGTTGTTGCCAGAGTGAGTGAGGGAGGGAGGGAAGAAGGGAAGGATGCTGAGGAGGGGGGGGGATGGGGAGGGTGCAAGAGTGCATGGAGGCTGGGTGGATAATCACCTATGATTTTTGTGTATGGGTACTTGTATGCCCCGCCTTATTCTGAGTGTGTCACGCCATATTCCGTGCTGGCATACCATCACCCCCAGGTACTGTCAGCGCTGAGTCAGATGGACGTGGCACGCTTTGAGCGCTTTGTGCCGCACCTCTACCCACACTGCACGCGCCTCATCTGCTCCGACCAGGTACCACCTCCCTCGGTAGGCGTTTTCCCAGGTACCACCTCCCCCAGTGGCTCGCTTTGAGCGCTTTGTGCCGCACCTCTACCCGCACTGCACCCGCCTCATCCGCTCCGACCAGGTACCACCTCCCTCGGTAGGTGCTTTCATAGGTAACCCCTCCCCCAGTACCACCTTCCTCCAGTAAGTCTTTTACTGGTTCTTTAGGGTTGAGAGTCTGCTGATCCTATCACCTCCCAGGGTAGGTTCCGATACAACCTACCTCTAACCGTTTCCTCTATGTGCCTCCTCTGCCATGATCTGCTGCGTTGGCAGTTATCGAAATCCTTGCATTTCGCATCTCGCTCCCCGCTTGCACCCCTCCCCCCGCACTCCTCCCGCTTGCACCTTCCTCACTCTTCTCTCTCACCCTCCTGCACTCTTCCCTCTCACCCTCCTGCACTCTTCCCTCTCACCCTCCTGCACTCTTCCCTCTCACCCTCCTGCACTCTTCCCTCTCACCCCTCCTTGCCTTTTCTCCTGCCCATCTCACCAATAAGGTGGAGGTGAGAAAGGCTCTTGGGGATCTCTTCACAGCCCTTCTCACTCTTCACTCTTCTCACTTTTCCCTCTCACACACTCCTCCCTCTCACTCACCCCTCCGTGCCTCTTCCTTGCGCATCTCTCGCCAACCAGGTGGAGGTGAGGAAGGCTCTTGGAGACCTCTTCAAGGCCCGCCTCACTCCTCTTATTCCAGGCTCCGATGCACCTTCACCTCCCATGACGGCTTCCGCGTAACAATGTCGCTCATGTTATTTACAAGCGCTGTCTTTGTACTGCTTATATTCCAACCCGTTTGGTTCACTGTCGCTACAGTAGATAACGAGCCATGCGTGATGGGATTTAATTTCTATGCTGGCATTGAAAGGCAACCCCAGATTGGTACATGGAATATGCCGTTATGTTTCATGAAATGCTCAGATGAGGCCTTAGTGTACTAGTGTCTGAGAAGTATGTTCTTGTTGACATGAATGGTGGTGTCTCTGAACTGTAATTCAATATTGTCAAGGTGACGTGTAACGCTTCTGTGTCCGAAGAAGGCAGACATACTTGCAACCGATCAGCTTGTAAGGATTTTTGACGTGACAACGGAACAGATCAGCAGCTTGATTGCCGAGTCCAGATGCAATTCTTATCGCACATGACTCAGGTGCACCAGATTGGTGCTTGTCCTTTCTTGTTTTTGCTGTCTTGCTCTGCGCAACAGTACATTATTGTACACGTACATTCGGAGAAAAAACACATGAAATGAAATACACCTTGACCTGGACTGATTTTCACCTTCGGTTCCATGTGTTGACTGCTCAATCAGAAACGCCGTTGCTGCTCATCCCCAATGCAGGCATTCTTCCTAGAAATCCAAACCACCTGACGGGGGAAGGGCGGGCCAAAGGCGGAAGCAGCACTCGGATCCTCTGCTTCGACCGGGATTCATTTTTTTGGGCGAAACTCCATTTTGCCCGTGGCGAGACGATTTTACTCGGATTTGACTCGGATTCGGCGCAAAAGGGTGTTGGATCTTACAAAATCCAAACCACCTGATGGCGCAACGAAATGGGCGCAAGAGTGGTTACACTACCGGTTTGGATTATCGACGGTCGCACGAAAGCGACGTCGCAACCACTGTTGTACAGTATTTGTATATAAACTTTGTTGTTGACACTTTGGTGTAATTCTGACAAGCAGAATGTCAAAATGGCTAAGTCAAAATTCTATATGGTTTGGCTCATAACTCCATCATTTGTTGGTCATTTGCACACAAATATGGATTTCCAGCATCTCCTTGATGTCCTCTACAAGCGGGCATGAGTTTGTTATTTTGTCAAATTTGTTCCATTTTGTCACTTTTCTCTCAACTAAGATTGCTCATAGCACATGTAAAGTCATTCTCTGTGCATCACACACATGTGTTATGTGGTGACCATTTTTTTTGCATTGTTAGTGTTATGACACCTGTTCCAGCCCCCCTGAACATTTTCAGCTATATGCAAACTGATTTGGTGGACTTTTTCTTGCAATGAAGTTAGTGTACAGAAATGCCTGGACTTAGGTTTCAATTGAAATCACCCACTTCTCCTTGAGCAAATGAGCTGATTTTTATAGGAGACTCTCACCACACATATTCCAGACCCCCACATGAAATTCACCTCATTTGCCCAAGGTTTGATATGTGTTTTAAGCCTTGCTGTGCAGCAGTCTGCAGAATTCTGTGCAGAATTGCCTGGACTTAGGTTTCAATTGAAATCACCCACTTCTCCTTGAGCAGATGAGCTGATTTTTATAGGGGACTCTCACCACACATATTCCAGACCCCCACATGAAATTCATCTCATTTGCCCAAGGTTTGATATGCGTTTTAAGCCTTGCTGTGCAGCAGTCTGCAGAATTCTGTGCAGAATTGCCTGGAATAAGGTTTCAATAGTAATCACCCACTTCTCTTTGAGCCAATGAGCTGATTTTTTTAGGGGACTCTCACCACACATATTCCAGACCCCCAAATGAAATTCATCTCATTTGCCCAAGGTTTGTTATGTCTTTTAAGCCTTGCTGTGCAGCAGTCTGCAGAATTCTGTGCAGAATTGCCTGGAATCAGGTTTCAATTGTAATCACCCACTTCGCCTTGAGCAAATGAGCTGATTTTAATAGGGGACTCTCACCACAAATATTCCAGACCCCCACATGAAATTCATCTCATTTGCCCAAGGTTTGATATGTGTTTTAAGCCTTGCTGTGCAGCAGTCTGCAGAATTCTGTGCAGAATTGCCTGGAATCAGGTTTCAATAGTAATCACCCACTTCTCCTTGAGCAAATGAGCTGATTTTTATAGGGGACTCTCAACACACATATTCCAGACCCCCAAATGAAATTCACCTCATTTTCTCAAGGTTTGATATGTGTTTTAAGCCTTGCTGTGCAGCAGTCTGCAGAATTCTGTGCAGAATTGCCTGGAATCAGGTTTCAATAGTAATCACCCACTTCTCCTTGCGCAAATGAGCTGATTTTTATAGGGGACTCTCACCACACATATTCCAGACCCCCACATGAAATTCACCTCATTTGCCCAAGGTTTGATATGTGTTTTAAGCCTTGCTGTGCAGCAGTCTGCAGAATTCTGTGCAGAATTGCCTGGAATAAGGTTTCAATAGTAATCACCCACTTCTCCTTGAGCAAATGAGCTGATTTTTATAGGGGACTCTCACCACACATATTCCAGACTCCCACATGAAATTCACCTCATTTGCCCAAGGTTTGATATGTGTTTTAAGCCTTGCTGTGCAGCAGTCTGCAGAATTCTGTGCAGAATTGCCTGGAATAAGGTTTCAATAGTAATCACCCACTTCTGTTTGAGCAAATGAGCTGATTTTTATAGGGGACTCTCACCACACAAATTCCAGACCCCCACATGAAATTCACCTCATTTGACCAAGGTTTGATATGCGTTTTAAGCCTTGCTGTGCAGCAGTCTGCAGAATTCTGTGCAGAATTGCCTGGAATAAGGTTTCAATAGTAATCACCCACTTCTCTTTGAGCCAATGAGCTGATTTTTTTAGGGGACTCTCACCACACATATTCCAGACCCCCAAATGAAATTCATCTCATTTCCCCAAGGTTTGATATGTGTTTTAAGCCTTGCTGTGCAGCAGTCTGCAGAATTCTGTGCAGAATTGCCTGGAATCAGGTTTCAATTGTAATCACCCACTTCGCCTTGAGCAAATGAGCTGATTTTTATAGGGGACTCTCACCACAAATATTCCAGACCCCCACATGAAATTCATCTCATTTGCCCAAGGTTTGATATGTGTTTTAAGCCTTGCTGTGCAGCAGTCTGCAGAATTCTGTGCAGAATTGCCTGGAATCAGGTTTCAATAGTAATCACCCACTTCTCCTTGAGCAAATGAGCTGATTTTTATAGGGGACTCTCAACACACATATTCCAGACCCCCAAATGAAATTCACCTCATTTTCTCAAGGTTTGATATGTGTTTTAAGCCTTGCTGTGCAGCAGTCTGCAGAATTCTGTGCAGAATTGCCTGGAATCAGGTTTCAATAGTAATCACCCACTTCTCCTTGAGCAAATGAGCTGATTTTTATAGGGGACTCTCACCACACATATTCCAGACCCCCACATGAAATTCACCTCATTTGCCCAAGGTTTGATATGTGTTTTAAGCCTTGCTGTGCAGCAGTCTGCAGAATTCTGTGCAGAATTGCCTGGAATAAGGTTTCAATAGTAATCACCCACTTCTCCTTGAGCAAATGAGCTGATTTTTATAGGGGACTCTCACCACACATATTCCAGACTCCCACATGAAATTCACCTCATTTGCCCAAGGTTTGATATGTGTTTTAAGCCTTGCTGTGCAGCAGTCTGCAGAATTCTGTGCAGAATTGCCTGGAATAAGGTTTCAATAGTAATCACCCACTTCTGTTTGAGCAAATGAGCTGATTTTTATAGGGGACTCTCACCACACAAATTCCAGACCCCCACATGAAATTCACCTCATTTGACCAAGGTTTGATATGCGTTTTAAGCCTTGCTGTGCAGCAGTCTGCAGAATTCTGTGCAGAATTGCCTGGAATAAGGTTTCAATAGTAATCACCCACTTCTCTTTGAGCCAATGAGCTGATTTTTTTAGGGGACTCTCACCACACATATTCCAGACCCCCAAATGAAATTCATCTCATTTCCCCAAGGTTTGATATGTGTTTTAAGCCTTGCTGTGCAGCAGTCTGCAGAATTCTGTGCAGAATTGCCTGGAATCAGGTTTCAATTGTAATCACCCACTTCGCCTTGAGCAAATGAGCTGACTTTTATAGGGGACTCTCACCACAAATATTCCAGACCCCCACATGAAATTCATCTCATTTGCCCAAGGTTTGATATGTGTTTTAAGCCTTGCTGTGCAGCAGTCTGCAGAATTCTGTGCAGAATTGCCTGGAATCAGGTTTCAATAGTAATCACCCACTTCTCCTTGAGCAAATGAGCTGATTTTTATAGGGGACTCTCACCACACATATTCCAGACCCCCAAATGAAATTCACCTCATTTTCTCAAGGTTTGATATGTGTTTTAAGCCTTGCTGTGCAGCAGTCTGCAGAATTCTGTGCAGAATTGCCTGGAATAAGGTTTCAATAGTAATCACCCACTTCTCCTTGAGCAAATGAGCTGATTTTTATAGGGGACTCTCACCACACATATTCCAGACCCCCAAATGAAATTCACCTCATTTGCCCAAGGTTTGATATGTGTTTTAAGCCTTGCTGTGCAGCAGTCTGCAGAATTCTGTGCAGAATTGCCTGGAATCAGGTTTCAATTGTAATCACCCACTTCGCCTTGAGCAAATGAGCTGATTTTTATAGGAGCCTCTCACCACACATATTCCAGACCCCCACATGAAATTCACCTCATTTGTCTAAGGTTTGATATGTGTTTTAAGCCTTGCTGTGCAGCAGTCTGCAGAATTCTGTGCAGAATTGCCTGGACTTAGGTTTCAATTGAAATCACCCACTTCTCCTTGAGCAGATGAGCTGAGTTTTATAGGGGACTCTCACCACACATATTCCAGACCCCCACATGAGATCCACTTCATTTGCCCAAGGTTTGATATGTGTTTTAAGCCTTGCTGTGCAGCAGTCTGCAGAATTCTGTGCAGGGTTGCCTGGAATCAGGTTTCAATTGTAATCACCCACTTCTCCTTGAGCAAATGAGCTGATTTTTATAGGGGACTCTCACCACA